ATGTTGTATTGTGTCAGGGTATTTTCACACACTTTAATGCGTCTTTTCTGTATGATGGATTTAATTGATAAAAGTTAAGCATGAAAATTAAAGGTATCGATGTAGTTAGCTTGACACATGCAGTAAAAATATATGCATAGTGATATTGATATAAATATGCAAGTACTTCTAGGAGAAAAGGTTGCAAAATTTTTGTTCTGTAAATTAATTCCCGGGCGTGGGAACTTTGATGAATTGTCTCATATATACAGTCTAACATTTGTATTGCCTACATTAGAGGAAAACATGTAAAAGAAGAAGAGGGCGGGGGTAAGGTTATCAGTTAGATTGTCCTCACTGAAGCTAATATCAATTCTAATCAAATCATTCTAATCAATAAGATACATAATCTATAGCATTTGCACATAATATAGTAATAATTCAATATTTTTTTCTTATTGATAAATAAAAATTAAAAAACTGTCCAAAAAACACAATAAGTATTGCTGTAACAAAAATAATTAAGGACAGCCCAGGCCCTATTGTTTAAATGTTCCATTCATAAATACATTAAGTTCTAGCCTTATTCGTGGATGAAACGAAAATAGAAAGTAATGAAAGAAAAGAGAGGTGAATGCTCCGATTGGGGATCTATCCCCCCTTTCTTCGGATTTGCAGAATTATGAAATTATATACTGACGCAAACAGAAAATGCCCAAATGGTTATTTTTGATCTCCAAATCCAATATCTGTTTCCGGTGCATTCCTTTTTGTTAACTTATTATTCAGTTATCTCAATTTTTTATTTGGTTAGCCATGATAATTCATGAATTCAATGTGCAATATTGTACAAACTTCTATGTGATTGTTGACTAATTTAGCTATTACACAATTATATATGAATGACATTTTATTTTTGCAACAGGTTAAGTCAAAGCATTACTTCGAAAATACGGCTGGGGGTAAATGAAACCAAAGAAAAGAATACATTGTATTGTAAAAGGGGAGAGGGTGGGGTAATAGTGTTTCACAATATCAAAGCCGGATGAACGGACACACAGACTGAAATTAATATCCCCAAATTTCAGCGGGGGACAGCAACATTAAAAGAGTAACACTGGCTACGTAGTCTGTAAATAATTGATGTTATTATACCTCATTATAAATATTCTAAACAACGCGTTATTTGATTGGTTCTAAGTTATCACGTGATAGGGCAGTAAAACTTCATATTTCCCGGCCGTCTGCATGTTTTTCATCATATTCCACCTCTTCGGATACTTAGTGCATTTTCCCGCAAAAATTATCGTTCGTTTAAAGAAAACTCCCGAGAGTATAGTAGACGTCACAATAACCTGGTTTACGTCACAAAATTGATGAAGAGTTTTAGTAACTTTTTGTTAAAAATGAAAGTGAATTTGAGAGCGGTGCCGAATTTGAAAGTTTATGTTTATTTCAAAGGTTTTGCTTGTTTCGGTATCATAAACAATTCATTGCATGAATGTTCGGGAAACATGAAGACTTATTCAGCCAAGAAATATCATATTCCCCTTGGGCGAAGCCCTCTGGTAATATGATTTTTCTTGGCTGAACAAGTCTTCATATTTCCCTCACTATCATGCAATAAATGTATATTGTACAACTCTATTGGATCTGCCACTTGGACGCGAACCTCCAGTCTTGACACACGCACACCCTACCCCGAACTCGAAAAATAAAAGCACTGAATCATGATAGAATAAAATACTCTATAAGCAGTTCTTTTTTTTACTTAAAATAATGTAAAATAATTCATTTCATCCAATATGTATGAGCATAGTCACAAAGTCTGGGGTCACCCAAGTAGAATAAACGACAAGAAAAAAACGGAGATTTAATAATCAGTTTGACTGAGAGGGTTTTTTAAGGGGGGGGGTATTTTGGTAAATCTGTACTAAACTCAGGTTTTGAAAAAAAAAATGGATGAGAGGCACAAACATATACTTTTATGTCCCCCTCTTCAAAAGTAGTGATTTGTACGAGAGCTCCTATGACTATGCATACCATCTACATTTAACTGTTGATGTCTCTCAATCCCCCTTTTTTCAAAACAATTTTTGAAATTGCATCAGCCTATAATCGTATAGGAAAGCAAATACATGGTACCAGAGTTTTCACTGAATCCCGAGTGAAGATGTTTTAGAATTCCCGCCCCGTGAAGTTAATCGAATAGCAGTGTATTCTCACTTCTTCCTACGGAAGCGTAAATGGCTCTACACTTGTTGTGTTATAACTTTGTATATTGTCTTATATTTTATCGACTTCTCAATATATAAAGTGTAATACCTCTTTATTTATGTACATATTTTAAATTGTTTCAAGATTTCTTAACATAATAGAAGGCAACTTCTTTTGTTCAACAGATTTTATCGCTTTAAGTTTTATCGACTGAAATAATATATTGATTTTCAGATATTGATTAAAACAAAATATTTAATCATATCGATATAATATTGTTGACATGAAAAAATAAAGATATAGTTATATCACTTATAATTTATCAATATTTGCAATAAAAAAGTCAGAATAAAGTGTTTTTGAATTATTTTGGCGGGGGCGGGAATTCCAATGAACCTTCACTTCACTCGGGATTCCGTGAAAGCTTACATGTATGTATCATGTCAGCATGTATGATTAAAGGCTGAATCAAATTAAAAAGTATATTAAAAAGGGAGATGGAGACAACTTGAAAGTTATAATCAAAGTGGGCTGTTGCACCGATCACCACTTTTGAAGAGGGGGAGACAAGAGTATCTTTGTGCCCCTCATCCATCTATAAAAAAAACTCAAAAACTGAGTACAGCAGAGATCCACTGAATTGTTCCCAAATTTAAGAAAATTCTCGCAGTTAGATTATTTAATCCCTGGGGTGTTTTTCTTGTTATCAATTTATTTTGGCTGACACTATACTTTCCTCCTTTAAACTTTGTGAATAAGCTTATACAGATTTGCTGAAGTCACAAATTATTTTATATTATTTAAAGCAATGAGAGGTTAGATCTGGTGTTATTATATTTTTATGCAGGGGGAGGGGGGGGGGGAGTTTCAAGACTGTGGAGGTTTGCATTCATGAGTCAGATCCTATGTATACCATAAAGTGGAACAACATCAAATATTTACAAAGTACATATATAAACAGTGTTACTTTTATAATAGTGTTAGGTACTTTCCATTTTCTCTTCATTAGCATTTACAATCCCCATTGAACTCAAGAGATATAAGCAGTGAACCATGATAGAATATATCAGATTCCCTTTTCAAAATGATGGGTATAATAATTTCCCATGACAATGCATATAATTTAATTTTTTGATGTCTCTCCATCTCCACTTTTCAAATATTTTTTTAATTTGTTTCAGCCTATAATCGTACACGATAGCAAATACATGGTACATAAGCTTCCCAAGTGAAGTGAAGATTCATTAGATTTCCCGCCCCCGCCAAATTAATTCATAAACACCTTTTTCTGACTTCTCTTGAAAATATTCATATATCTATATCGATAAATCTTCCTATTTATTTCTTCATATCGACAAAACTATATTGACATGAATAAATATTTTGTTTAGATCGATATTTGAAAATTAGTATAATATTTCAGTCGATAAAAGTTAAAGCAATAAGATCTATTGAACAAAAGAAGTTGCCTTCAATTATGTAAATACACCTTAATACAATTCAAAATATGGGCATAAATAAGGAGGTATAACACTTTATATGTTGATAACTCGATAAAATATAAGACAATATACAAAGTTTTAACACAACAAGTGTAGAGCCATTTACGCTTCCGTGTCTTCCTCACAAATTTTCTTTAATTATTTTTCATGATTTTCGACAAAAACTATATTGATTATTTAAATATTTTGTTTGATCGATATTTTAAAAATCAATATGATTTTTAAGTCGATAAAACTTAGAGCAATACAATCAATTAGATAAAAGAAAGAATCTTACATTATTTTTAACACAATTAAATACAACTCAAATTATGTGTATGGATAAGGAGTTTTTACGCTTTATATGTTGATGAGTCAAGAAAATATAAGACAATAAATTATGAACAACAAGTGAAGAGACCTTTACGCTTCCGTATTCAACATCTGTGCCTATCTTGCAAATGAAAAGAAAAGAAATATCTGGGTATGATATGAAAATTTGAAAGGTTGATGTTAAATAAATTCCTGAAGAAAATACATTATGATAAATGTTTAATGAAGAATAAATGTAATTATAATATATTTTAAAACTATGGTCGTTCAATTTCTGTGTGTGTGAAGAGGAAAGACGGGAATGCCTGGGTATGATATGAAAATTGTAAAAGTTTATGTTAAATTTTGTCTATTCTAATATACTGTGAAATTACTGATTTTTGTGGATGCTTTATTTTCGTGGTTTTTGAGGTATGAAGAGACCCACAAATTTGTGTTTCGATGAAATATAATTTTTCACAGACATTACTACTCAAAAATTCACCATCCATGAAATCAAATCCTCACAAACCCATATTTTTTTCCTCAGACCACGAAAATTTGACCCCACAAAATATGTGATTTACCATTGTATGTTATATTGAATTTCAGCATTGCAACTACAACAGCGTCAAATAGAAGGTAAGATTTGCAGTATTTTACTGCATTAATAACATCTATTAATCATAAAATACAATGATCGTGAGTACGGTCGTTCAATTTCTGTGCCTATCTTGTAAATGAAGGAAAAATACAGAAATATCTGGGTATGATACGAAAATTTTAAAAGATGATGTTAATTTTTTTTTCTATTCCTGGTGAAAATATTTTACGATAAATAATTTATGCACGATAAATGTAATTATATTTGTAAAATTGGATTTTAGAATTGAAGCTGCAACAACGTCAAAAAGAAGGTAAGATTTGGAATATTTGCTGTCAAACAAGATCAATCAATTATAAAATACTATGAATATGGTTGTTCAATTTCTGTGCTTACCTTGCAGATGAAGAGAAAAGAAAGAAATATATGGGTATGATATGAAAATTGTTAAAACTAATGTTAATTATTTGTCTTTCTTTGGTAAAATATAATATGATAAATGTTTCATGAACGATAAATGTAATTATCTCTATACTTTAGAGCCCCTACAGAATCCTTGGAGAACAATATCTGCTAAATGGGAGGATCCTTGGGCTAAAGAGGTATTTTTTATTCAATATGAACAACATTTTAATGTTTCTACAATCTTTTTCAACCATCTTTATTTCTCAAATTGTATCTATTTGTAACTTAACATGCATTCTCTGTAAGCACCAAAAATGTACTATAGGGCTTGGGAACGACATCTCTCCGATTTTGATGAAAGTTGCACTACAGGTGCGTCTTGGTACAAAACTAGCAAACATGGTGTTGGAAGTTTCACACGTTCTCCTGGTTGCTATGGAAACGGATCCAATAAATATGACCATTTTTGGCCCTTTTTGACGAAATAAAAACATTAAAATTGAGGAAATGTAAAATGTAATTGTATCTTTATGTAGTAAAAAACAAACATAAATCATTGCATCATTAGAAAACATTTAAGGTATGTAGGGCATAAATTCGGATATTCCAGAATTATTCCCACTCTAAGAAAAAGTTTCTGCAAAATGACATTGTTTCTGAAAATGTGAAAATTTGGAAAATAGGTATTGATTCTTTAGGATTAAATTAAACAAATTGTCTATGAATTTTTTTAAATATTGTGTGCGATTTCATACTTCGGTATTTGAAGGGTCATTTCATGAAAAAATTGGAGTTGGATCTCAATACTTTTTCGTATCCTGTATCTATAAATATACATATATAAAAAAAATCTATTAAAAAAAATTCGAATTGAGCAGAGTTTAAAATGCCATATTATTCCAAGGGATTTCTATTTTCTATTTATGGCTTCAAATGCCTAAAGATAGATTGTCTCATAATATGTGAAAAAATAACTATTTTCTATCATTTAGAAGCTCCAGTAAAACATAAGTGATAAACATACTGCTCTCACCAATATTTTATCAATTATAACAAGGGATTATACAATGATTCACACATTATTTAAGATAGGCTCTTATTTCTATAAATGGTACAAATGTCCAAAATTAGACACATTGTATACTAACGAAAAGATGTAGATATGTGCACTATTTCTCAAATTAGAGATCTACAATTTGCAAACAAACTGCAATTAAATGTAACTGACATAATGTGACTTACAAGTAAAAGAGATCATTTCCTGAAATGTAGAATAAGCGGAGATCTCCATTTCTATTTATAGTAATAATTGTTTAAAATGGACATTCTTCAAATAATCAAGGATATGTAGACTTTTGTATTATTTGACTCTCTGAAGAAACCTTCGACAGAGGATATTTGGCAAGAATACCTTAAATACTGACTAGTATCATGTTTACTAATGTTTTTTACCTTGATTCGTATGTGTTAAATATAAAACTTGATGACATGCTTTAATTTCGTACTAAGGGCCCTCTATATACATTGATGAAAAATGTTTTTTTGGACTTTGAGAAAATTAACTAGCAAAAGGAGGATACTTTGAACTCATTTTAATGTATTTACTCGGGATTTTTTTTTTCAAAAACAATGAAGTAATAATAGATAAAAATTGCCTTTGCTTATTCAAAGGGATAAAATACATGTCAATAAAGTTTTCAAATACTCTATTTTGGTCTAATGCTTAGAATATTTGGCTTGGAAATATTCTAAACTGTGTGATACAGCTCAGGTTACAATTTATTCTGTCTACGTATTAAATGGTTTTTTCCGTCTAATTACACAAAAGTACCCTGAAATTTAATGCAGTGTAGAGAGTGTCCTTAACTTGTTTCTGTATAATTTGCTTCATTTCTTCGTATTTTTTTAGTTCAAACAGGAGCTTCTGCAGAAAATAATCACGATGAGACCAGATGGAGACATAAGTTATTTTAATATTTTACTTCTTGGTCAAGCTGCTTCTGGAAAGTCATCATTCTTTAATACCTGTGCAACAGCAATAACCAATGACGACAGAATAGTGACGACAAACCTGGTCTACCAAAAGGCCTCGAAAAGTGTCACCACAGCTGTAATTTTTTCCTTTTATTTTTGTACAATGCTTTACCAATGTAGAATTATTTTAATTTCTTGGGCCAATTTTCATAAACTTCTAATAATATAATTTACAGCTTTAAAAGATCTTGTTACGGAAGATTTAGCTTAATCATTAATAAAAAATCCTTAGTTGTAGAAAAAGCACGGGTACGGGTATATAATTTGCAGATTTGTAGCTTACATGATTTTTTTTATGTATTCCTATGTTAAAATATGGTACCCCATTGTGGCCCCACCCTAAACCAGGGTCATGATTTGAACAAACGGAATCTACACTTCCAGAGGATGCATCTATTTGAGTTTCATCTTTCCTGGCCAAATGGTACTTAAGAAGAATTTTAAGGATTTCACATCACATGGTGATGCTTCCACATGAGTTTCATCTTTCCGGGCAAAGGGGTTCTTGAGAAGAAGATTTTTAAAGATTTTTCTAATGTATTCCATAGTTAAACTTGTATACCCCATTGTGGGCCCACCCTACGTGATTTGAACAAACTTGAATCTACATGTCATGGTGATGCTTTCACATGAGTTTCATTTTCATGGCCCAGTGGTTCTTGACAAGATTTTAAAAATATCCCATTAATTTTTCACTAAATCATAATTATCTCCCCTTTGATGAGGACATGGCCCTTCATTTGAACAAACTTGAATCTCCATTCACCCAAGGATACTTTGTGGCAAGTTAAGCTGAAATTGGCCAAGTGGTTCTTAAGCAGAAGATGAAAATGTGAAAAGTTTACAACTATGACGACTACAGACAACAGATGAGCCAAAATAGTACGCTTCCTTCATTTTGAATCCCATTCTTAGGCTACTGCTACTAAACACAAAAATCAATTAATAACGTATCGAAAACGTATGCTTCGAAATAAAATCTAGAAGATAACTACTTAGGCATAGACTTAGATTGTGTGCAATATCTAGACTTGATCATTACCCAGGCAGGAAGTCTTTAAGAGGATATTATTTAAAACCCATAGAATTTTTAAAAGTGAAATAATTTTGTTTTTCTTTTAACTATTAACAAGCAAGATACGTGTGTTAGAAGAATTAAAACAAATACGAATGGAAAACATTATGAGAAACATTTTGGCAGCCAAAATACGAAAACAATGTCGAATACTGTACACTTTCCATGAACTTATAGATTTAACATTTTTACACAATGGCTTATTTCTTGCATGAAACCTCTGACCGTCGTCCTACATTTTCGGGTCTCCTTACCCTTATCTGCAACGATGAAAAATAGTGATAGTTGAGTACCTCAAGTTAGTTTATAACTTGAGTATACTTCAATATCACCAACAACCTGTATTTCAAAGATAGTTGCATAATTATATCATTGCATGCATGCTTCTGCTTTAGAAGAATACAGTAATCAATATCCAAGCTATTCAATATCCAATACTTTCAAGGTGTCATTGTGTATTCGTTCCTTATTTATCTAAGATACCGGTATGTTTATTTTATAATAAAGTAAAATTGATTTTTATGTAAGACATTAGCAGAAATACTATGCTAAATATGTACAAAGGCATTCATTATTTAGAGTTTTTAAGAAAATATTTTAAAACATTGCCCGTGCTTGTTTATTCAAAAAGAAAATTAGTGGGGGGTTTTAAGATTCATAGCTGCTAAAATATTATATTTTCTTTTAATCTTCCTTCCCAGCTTGAATCAATTCCAATGCAAACGAAAGAAGGGAAGATCTTACCGCTGCGGCTATTTGATTGCAGAGGACTTAATGTTGAATACGGGGTTCCAACAGAGGACATTAGAGCAATCGTTGAAGGACGTGTTAAAAGCGGATACAAGGTTATGGAATATACGGTTAACGCGTAAACATGGATGTTACATATAATATCTCTTTTTTAAAGTAATATTTCTGTCTCCTTTTTTTCAAGAATTTTTTTTTTCAAAATCCAAGCAAGTAGCACAAACTGTGTGCTCTTCAAGCACACAAATACTGTAAATACTAATTTTAAAACAGTATACAATCTAGGTACATGGATAAGATGAAGATAATGAGCAATGAACAATCTCTTATATTCTATAAACAATACAAATTTAAAAACAAAAAGGGCAGACAACACCTACCCCTTGACATTTTAAGGGTGTGATCAGAGGTCTAGGAGGTCTAGGAGGTTGACCGATGACACACACAGTTAGCCCTATGTATACATTTCTTAGTCACATTCAGTATAGAAACAAAGGCCTACCAATTGATACAAAATACGTAAGCGAAAAATACGACCAAATGATCAATTATATTTGCAAAACAGGATCATTATAAGTACTACAACATTTACAAAATATTAATTTCAATGTCAGTAGCCAATCTCTGTTCATAAATTCACTGTACTCGGGTCATGCTATTGAGTATTAAATAAGTTGGGAGTTCTAAACATGTGAAAGCGGAAATTACTACACAAAAAAAGAAATTGCTTGTGGAAAAGTTATCTCGTTTGTAATGTAATTCAATTGTTAGTTTGTCCTTATTGTTTAGAATCAGAAAAAACTTCCAAATATTAAATTGTTTTATTTCAGACTCGGTTAATTAATATATTGCAGATCAATCCGGTAGCGGCTATAGACGAAAATGATGCTTATTATAGAAAGAACCCAGAAACAAAGGACCGCATGCACTGTATTGTGTATGTCGCCAATGCTGAGAATCCTTCCGAACATTTGACGGATCACAAAACCGAGGAGCAATTACGATTTGTTCGAGAAAATCTAGCCTCGCAGCGTAAGATTTTACCAAACTTTCTTAGAAAACATACACTTAAATGCTTTAACATCCGCTCTGGAAAACAACAAAACAAAACAAAATATTTTTTGTTGAATATTGAATTAAAAACATATATCTAACCTCAAATCATGAAAAATTCTTTTATCAAATATTTGAAACATTATTATCAAAGCTTCATACGCCTGTCAAACATATCATTAACTAACATAAAAGAGTATGTTAGAGAAATGTGACATCTCCACTGAAGAAACAATAATTATCGTTTGACCGTTAAAACCAAGAAAATTAATGAAAGCAGTTGGCCATCATTTCAACCTACAAGGACACAAATAGTGTTTAATGACCATAACGCAAATGGAAAGATACCTTACCAACTTAACTACTGACCCATTTTTGCGTTTTAATAATTCCTCTTCATTCTTTAATACCGGGCATATAGTTCATAGGACAATATTTATTATTATACTTTCATGTTAAATACTAAAATCTGATTGGTTTAGACGCAGTTAACAATCCGTTCGATTACCCTCAGCCTTAGCAACACACGTGACAACGGGTAACACAACGGTAATGCCACATGCGTGGAAATTATGCGCGTACGGTTCACCGTAGAATTCTCAAAATGTCAGTTGCGCGTTTGAAAGAACCGGAATTAACTTGACGTCAATAAAAGCTTGCGTCCGATATAGCTTACTTGAAAACAACAAACGACAGACGATACATGCTTGCGAGTGTAGGAAACATGCTTGCGAACCAGAAATAACGAAGCTTTATATGATAAATGACTCTAATTCGAGTATCAAGCAAACAATAAGGAGATTAGTGAACCGGTGAGTGTGAAATCTTTCTATACATGAACGTAAAGACGATCGACGGTTTTTTTTGCTGACGTCTTTAATCAATAAGACATTCAGTATAATAAAATAAATGGTGCCTGTTTTGGAGGGTAACATTTGAAATTGACACCCCTCGGAAAACCATTGTCAACCTCCGCTAACGCGTCGGTTGACAATGGTTTTCCTTGGGGTGTCAATTTCAAATGTTACCCTCCAAAATAGGCATCATTTATATAATGGGATCTTTTTTTAAATATCCAAGTTTTAGTGTTACAATGATTTTACGTGAATGCGATCATGGATTATGGATTGATATACCGGTATCAAAAAGTGCAAAAAAAAAAAAATAATAATAATAATAACAATAATAGATAATAAATTCGCTTTTTATTGCAACAATCCCGATAAAAGTTCATAACAAAACACAAACCTAGGGTTAGCAAAACGTAAGTTATTTACAGAAATGCAATGATTACTCACTTGTTGTATCCTTTTGGCTATTCATTTCACACAGACCATATCGTCGTTTGAGTTATTGATGCATGTTAGACCGAAATACGCACATTAAAGTGTTTACTTTTTAAACTCGTAATTATTACGTCAATTAATTAAAGCATATTGCAAATAAGATATGTTTGTGAAACATTATATGCCACCGTTGGTAACATAAATCTGGAGTGGGACGTAGACTGAAGTGGAATCATTAGTTATGGGCTAGGTTAAAGTTGACAAGAGACAGATAGGCAGACTAACAGACAAGACAAAATAAAAATACCCTCGGGATCTTTTAATCCAGGGGCATAAAAATACGAGCTCGAAAAAATCATCAAACCTTTTTAATAAGTACATCTTACATGTAGATCTTAAAACTTAGAAAACAAAATGTCATCATGATATTGATATAGACCGTTTTATTGTTGACAAAAAAAAATATAGCGCTTTTATTTACACAACCCTATGTGCCTGTTCTGAAATAATACCAGTAGCACCCAAGTTATACTTGGACTCTTGACAATGTATTTTATGGACGGAATGTGACAAAATTATTTATGTCATGTAGCAAATATTACAATTGAAATTTTATATGATTACATTCATATTTCTAGATTTACCACAGACAGTTCTTTTCAATAAGGTTGATAAGCTTCGCATCTCAAACTCAAATAGCTTGCGGGATATCTTTCGAAGTCAGAATGTGAGAGATACATGTACGAAAGCTGCCGAGTACATGCAGATCCCATTAACGAATGTTTTCCCAATGGCAAACTACCACGAGGAAAATCTTCCCACACTGGAAAAGGACATTCTAGCCCTCTTCTATCTCCTGACCATGATGCAAAAGGCTAACGACTTTATCAAACGTCTTACCAAGAAAGATGCTCCAAAGGATTTTTACGATTAATTTTTACAAAATCTGCTTCTCCTTAGTTGCTCACGGAGACATTGTATGATAGTAAAAAGTTCTCCTTTTTCTCAAAAATACTAGAGTCATCAGAATTAAAAAACTTTGTAATTACCTTCGTTTGACCTGCTTTTATAAAATATAAGGAATGTAATAAGGAGTCTGAGAATTATTTTTTTCTGATTTATACTTGGAATCTAAACGTACAATTTTCATTATCACAAGACATATGAACTGTTTTTTATGGAAAACTTAGTGTTATCAACTTGTGTGGTTTGTAAAGAGTTTTTCAATGTTTATGTACATATAAAATCATATTTGTATTCATTTCTTCATTGCATATATATAATCCAGAAAAAAGAATTTTACTCTAAACATTACAATATTCATTATCTTGTATTTATAACCTAGAAAAGATAATTTTATATTAAAAGTAATCAATATTTATTATCTTTGAGTTTGTTTTGTATTTTATTTTTTAAAGATTTTTTTTAATTTGGCACATAAGAAATGTAAATATTGATGGATTGATTGATTGACTGAATATTAAATATTGATGGAAAAGGAACGTATTTTCAAAGAAGCAAAGAATTGGAAAATCTTACACCTGTTGTTGAAACTCAACCAATTTCACGCAATATTGACTTCATTCTGAAAAGCAATTGACAGAAGATGAATTATGTCTGCTATACATGCCACATTTCCATATTGTTTCTGAAGCTATTTTATCCAGTACATGTTTATCATAAACAAAAAACAGCTTGCTGAAATACTTTCTTCCCTGTTCTTCCCTTACGCATTGAAACCGGTCGCTATAAAAGTGAACCCCTAAGTGAAAGAACGTGTGTTTTCTGCTCTAGTTCTTCTGTTGAAGATGAAAAACATTTCTTATTAGACTGTCAAATGTATGATAATGTTATAAAAAATAATTGATATTGTATACAAGGAGCACCCAAATAGTATGATAATGATTATTTGTTTAAACTTCAAAATTACCAAATCAAATTAGCCAAATTTGTACATACAGCATTTAACTATCTGCATGTGTAATATATATATATATATATATATATATATATATATATATATATATATATATATATATATATATATATATATATATATATACATGTATGTATGTATTTAAATGGAAAAAATGGGCCGGGTGGAGATTCAGTTTGTTGTATTTTGTTTACAATGTATATTTAAATGTCTATAATGCACAGTGTCACTATAATAAATGATTACTTACTTACTTACTTACTTCAATTTATAATATTTTGCTTTTTGTTTTCTTGTAGCTTAAGTATTAAATGACATGCTTTTGAAATATATGTATTTTTGACAATAAAATTAATGCATCATAAAATTCTTCGGAATCACAGTTCTTATTTAGAAACCATTTTAACCCCCACCCCCCCTATTGAATAAAATATTAAGCGTGATTGTGTTTGCTTTGAAAGTTTATCTATACTTCTGAGAACTTCTATACAGGCTACAGATGAGTTGATCTGGTCCTTAGAAAAATGTATACACATGTGGAGCACACTGCATGCCTGTTTTCTTTATATGCAAATGTGAAAGTACTTTGAATGTGGGCACGGTTGCTTTGTTTGACCTTTATATAATTATCAATTAACAGCAATTTTAGGATATTATTTTAATTTAAGTCCTATGAGCTTTGACAAATAATTAATGTCTACTTTTTCATTTAAATAAAATGGTAAAGATAAAATGAAATGTCACCAACCCTGCATATCGTAGATCTCGTTCACAATATATAAACAATATATCATAAACAGGGGAAATCACAAGCCGGTGGAAAACATGCAGCTATTTAATGTACATATATCCAAAAATGTACTACGACTTGGCAACGTCAAACCGTGACTGCCAATGGTATATTTAAAACATATATCTAGATCCCTAAGAAACGCTCTGTAAGAACAGGAAATCTTTTCCTTCTTCGATATATTGGTATGAAAATCTGGTAAAAATATTAGAATATGATAAGCTATGAAAGATGCTTATGGTGAATACAAAAATAATGACCACCAAATTGATTTTTTTAAACCACTCATAACATATTTTTTTCACTTACAACATCATATTGTACATGCATTCTTGTTAAATTTCCTGAAGTAAAAGAAAAGAAAAATGAATTTAAAAAAGTTAAGTAAACGCTTATTTTAAGAAAGGAAATATCACTTCGATTTGAACATATTTTATTATGTAAAATACATAATTGGATTGGGCAGCAGGCATAGCCTATATGAGCCCTCTCCAAAATATCACTTCTTCCTAAAAGACTCTCTTAATTACATAATCAATAGATATGATAGTTGTTATGCCTCAAAATAAATACAGACATATAAAAGATTAAATCTAAACCTTGATTGAGTTTTTTTTTCCTCTTGGATATGTGACACACAATTGGCCTTTGATTGTAAAACATTTTTTTTTTAATTCTGGATTAAAAGATTTTAATATGGAAAAAATATTAAGCGATAAAATTCCCCAAAATTTAAATCAATTCTTTAAATATAAGCTAAAAGAATATTGATATACAAGTTTATTTTACAAAAAGAAAACCTACATTTTGAAGTGACCCTATTTTGCATTATTGTGTTGCATTCCCGACATCTTATATTTTTTTATTTAACTTTGTTTTAAAAATTATAACACACAAAAGCTAATCCTTAGTTTGTAGATTAGTTTGTCAGTTTGATATTTTTAATCATTTACAGCACGTTCTTTTTCATATTCAAAACATGATTATTTGCAATTTGTAATGAAAAATATTCCTGAAGGGACTGCTGAATGTTTTTAATTTGTTGATAGACATAATGAATTAAACATCAAATAGTATCAAACTAATTTTTCATTTATTTTCAGTAAAAGTCGTTGAAGATCATTGATAATTGTAAAACAATTTTTTTGCACCCCTGACTGCAGTAAAATTTAAAATTAACACCATAGAACCCAAAAAGTCATAAAAATTGTAAATATTTGTAGTCCAAAAACCTCATTAGGAAAACACAAGAAAGAATTCAAACATAGCTTTATATCTTGAATTATGTTAATAATTATTTATGTTAATAAACAAGAACATTTACATTTGCAAATATTTTTATTATATAAACCTATTGAAGAGAAAACATGTTTAGCTTTGTATGAACATATTTGGAGGCCAGGGGTCATAGCGCGACCGAATCACATGGGGAGATAATACATTGTTTACATATATTTCTGTCAAGTTGTAAATTACTAAGATAAAAGCGATGAAAAAGTTCAAATAACTGAAATATATAGATATTTTATTTCATCAGATGTTCAAAAGATCTTCCTCCGGTGTGAAGAATGTTTTAAATATAATCAATTAATTAGCCTAAAATCGCACTCACCTTAAATTTTAACCCGAAATTCCTTTAAAGTTATGAAAACTATAACAGGTGATATCACTGCTTTTGACTTTAAATATATTAAGAACTCATAATATTGTAAGATTTGTCTTAATAGAGATTTTTCTTACATTATAAACAGATAAGGATATGGAGATAACAAACAGTATTCAATCTCAAAGTCCATTAAACAATACAAAACAGGAGCAGAGCAAACATGGACCTCCGAAACATCAGAGGTGGGATCAGGTGCCATGGAGGAGTGAACATCCCCTGCCCACCGGTGACACCCGCCGTGTGCTCCTTGTCATGATCAGGAAATAACGGAAAAGATCCGTCGTCAATTCAGTGTATAAATAATGGACTAACAATTGGTATGAAAAACGTCAGTCAGTATTTGACTCGATGATGAATTGTATTTGCTGACAAGGTCATCGTATCGACCATAGAACCTACGAAATTATGACTTTAAAGGAGACTACTGATATTCTTGTTTCATCAACTTGTTTGTCAATAATTTACCTTTACCTCTCTTTAGAAATTGTTCATACGTAGAGCATGCTCTTGCATATCAAATCAACTGAGGTATATAAACTTCGCATGCAGGTGATGAAGTTATATTGCTGCATAAGTAAGGGCAGTTGACGATAGAAAAGTCAAAATCATCACGTTTATCACAGAGTTTGGTTGTTAGATTACAATTTACATCTTTTTCTAGTAAACTATCCAAGTGTGAAACAGGTGTGTCAGACTCCGTGGTATCTCTTATCTCAAGCTCTCCTGGATATATCGTATCGACATAAAAATGGAAATTACCATAGTTAATTGACAGTACGTCGTCGGTATATCTAAATATCGAGATGAAGGATACAACAAGCGTTTTCTTCTATTCACACATACGGTTTTGCACAAATTCTGCTTCATATAAATACAAAAATAAGTCTGCTAATAACTGAGCGAAATTGGTACCAATGGGAATTCCAACAGATTGTAGGAAGACCTGATCTCCAAAAACTACATACATATTGTCAATCAGAAACTCAAGCATCGTTTTTATGCCAACTTCAGAGTACTTGTGTGTACAACCAGAATGTTTTAACAAAATAATTTTGCAAGTGACCAATGACCATATAAGTAAATTTATGAGTTGCATTTTAATCTAAAAAGCAGCTGTCAATGATATCAAAAAGCCTAGTAGACTTTAAATTATTGTGGGGAATGAATGTGTATAACATGTTGTATGTCTTTGAGCGGTGAATTTTGGTAAAATTATTTGATTTCAAATTGTCCAAAGATTCTTTGGAATTTTTGAGTGTCCACATTTGAGTCACACCGCTTCTTGAATATATTGTTGAACAGTACTCTTAAAACTTGAATATAATTTAAAGACAAGTGGTAATATTTTAATAACATCTTCCAAATAAAAACTGCTGTCTCATCCATTTCAAATAATTGATTTTTTTCCTGCTAATTCTTTATTAGAATGAAACATATGGAGATATAATTAATATAACGAACAGTATTCAAGATCAAAAAGTCTATAAAACAACCCAAAATAGGAGCAGAAAAAACACGGACCTCCAATACATCAGAGGTATGATCAGGTGCCATGGAGGTGTGAGCATCCCCTGAAGACTGGTCACACCCGCATGTAGATTTTTTTTCATTTAGGGGGGTGGGTGGGTTGGGGATAAGAGTTCAGTTAAAGAATATAACAAATATTCTAAAAAAATTAAAACTTTGATATAAGATGTTTTATTTTTTTCTATGTTGTCAAGTCGCCCGCGTAACACAGGTTACAGCGTATGCCCTAGAGTTGCGAAGTAAATCTTAAAGTCGCGGGTTCGAATCCACTGTGGGACGTGTAGATCAGTCTTTCGGATGAGACCGTATAAACCGAGGTTTCGTATCCCGATAGGTACTGGCACGAAAAAGATCCCTCCTGCTCAATGGCCCTAAGTGTCCAGTATAGGACAGAAATTTGCAGCTCTCCACCGGCAATTGGTGGCGCCTCCATATGAGTGAAAAATTCTCGAGAGGGACGTTAAACAATATACAAGCAAACAACCTATGTTGTTAGTGATATTTCTTCAAGCATTAGTTACTTATTGTTTTTCAGTCTTTTACACGTTATAAATATTAAAGTTTTTTGTGATAGGTTTGTTTCCTCAACGGCTTAATTGTTCGTACCTATTTTATAATTGTATGATTTCAATTATGACATATCATAATATTTGTAATTTTATTAACTATAATTTTCTTTGCCCATAAACTATATTCTAAAGTACATATAATTTTCCAATATTTTAAGATCATATACTACCAAAACCAGGCCCGCGTACACATTTAAACCCTGTTCATTGTTTAACAATACAATATTTGATCTATGAGGCAATCAATTAGTGGATATTTTGAAGGGAAAAAGATCTTAGAAAGTATCAATAACATTCATCGGTGGACACGCATATAAGGTAAATTTAGTATTAACTATTCCACTTTTAATCTAAAATTTATCAAAATATAGATTTCAATATCCACGCAAAATTCAAACATGATATGGTGATATACTTTTTTGCAAACTATAAATTATTGTATATGTATCAGGTTTGATAAAAGAGAAATTGAGTGGTAAAGAAAAAAAACATATATTCAGTAATGTATTATTACCGGAAATGTGCCTCTGCATTAACCTGATTGTGCACTTCCCCATAACATTAGTGTTTTAAGGGGTTTTTTTTATATTTTCAGACGCCTATCTTAACTTTTATATCAACAAACAGAATAAAATGTAATAAATTTATGCATGGAAATTCATTTAAGATATATACATTTGTTGTCATAAAAAGATCTTCACTGAAACAAATTCCTGTTCGTACATCAAAATTGACTTACCTAAGCTTCTCGAAAATTTTTAAGTGTATTAAAAAATATTAAATAATTATATAGAGCAATTTTTTTCAAAAATAAGAACTTAAAAAATAAACATCAGAGCAGCTGATATCAAGAAAAGTAAAAGAGATGGCGATTTGTTTAAACCTAGAGAAACGCTAGTTTGACGAGTTATCGCCTTTGTTCTTCTCACTAGCCAATCATAAGCTTGTCTGTCATTATTCATCAACAGAGGACCGATAGTTGCCTGAACTTTTTTGTGGAATGCATTGATCCATTCAATCTGAAGAAAGCAAAAATGAATTATATCAAATGCCTATTAATACAGCATTTTTAAGAAGTATAATTCTCAATTGCATTAAAAATTTTGAAATAAATAATATCTAACAGAGTATTTTAAATGAAAATCCCCCAAAAAATATGTTATATGAATTGGCCATACCTGATCTCCGGAAAGCATGTCGTATTGGATGAGGTTCGGTTCAAATGGAACCAAAGTGATAGTTTCGAATCCAAGGAATTTAGAGTCGGAAAACTTATACTGTAGGATAAAATATATTTGTTAATGTTTTAAATGTATTCTCAAACTTCTGCGTGTATACTTGTTCAAAGAATAAAAACCTTCATATTCTTCAAGAATTTCCCTTTAATGATACAAGATTCATCAATAACGTATTATTCCATTTCTAGAGTTTATTTAAGAGAAAAAAATCCTATCACAAAGTTGTCAATTAGTTCAGCTGGGATTAAGGCATTTAAAAATAAACTTGAAATATTACAAATACTACTGAATATTTCAATTTTTATGCAATGTCTGATGGCAAATTAATGTACCAGTTAATTCAACAATAAATATTATACATTACTTTTCTAAACATAAAAGTTTTATACTTCAATATTTTCAAATGAATTTAGATTACAAACCTTCAATTCCACTTCCTTAACCATCAGTATGCTCTCTATTCGTACACCAAAGCTGCCGTCTTCATAATAACCAGGTTCTATAGATATATATTTGATAAGTTTGTTGTATGTAAATAAAATCTCTTAATTGGTTCTTACAATTTAAATATACGTTTTGGATTCGTAACAGATTTTAGAAAAAGATTACAAATACCATCAGAAAAGAACTGTCCCTCTTTGATTGGGGCATCATTGGAGGAAATGGGACGTCCGTTCATTCCTATCGATGGAGGGTCTGAACGAAAACTGAAAATTAATATCTGAAAGATTCTGTATAAACAAATATTTTACTAAAAATTTCTTCAAATTATATTAGATTAACGAAGAATATTTGCATTTTCAGATGACAGAATATTTTAAGACTGGGAAGGATTATTTATTGGATCATTCTCGCTATTCTTTGTCATATATGTACATGTATACCATGACTGATATTTGGCTCAATGTTGGGACGTTTTCCTTAAAGTTTAAAGTCTATACGTTTGGTTTTATTAGTTACATAGTCTATATATATATATATATATATATATATATATATATAATTTCATACCTGGCGAGGCGGAGCCGAGTCAGGTATGAAATTTACTAACCAGGTATATATCCCATACCCTGTCACTAAAAGACTGTGTAACGAATTTACCCCACCGATGAAACATTTACGTTTTGTCTGTAGTTTAAAAATGGTTTTCTTTGCTAAATGCTTCATCACGCTTATACTATGCCTATTATGACGCCACGTTTGTGTTTGTGACGTAATACATCGACCGGGTATAGATTCACAACTGACCGGGTATAGATTTACAACTGACTGGGTATAAGTAATCCAATGTCTTCACGTGACAGACTTTAACCAATCGTAAGCCAGGATTTCACGGAAAAATCGACAGAGGTGGGGTAAATGTATTTATCCCGCTTCAGACAAATTTGTCGATTGCTGATTGGATAAAGGCTGATCACATGACGCCCTGAAAATTTCCGTATTACGTCTCCATTTCCATATTACGTCTCCGTCGAGGCGTAATATGAAAATCGGGCACGCGATTCCGTTCGAAGCGTTGTTATTGTAAATAAAAATGGCGGCTAAGAAACGGTTAAACGTAGGTAGTAAGTCTACGGTAGTTCAATTAAATTTCTTGTTACCGTAACGATATTTTATGTTGATTGTTATTGGATAAAAACTAATATTTTCATAATATGCACAAATATTTTTTTTTATATTGAAAAAGGTCTTCAGCGGGATAAATTCGTTACACAGTCAGTTAGTGACCTAATACGGATTCATACAGGGTGTGAAATGGAAATCCGTATTGGGACTCGGCTTCGCCTCGCCCAATACGGATTTCCATTTCACACCCTGTATGAATCCGTATTAGGTCACTAACTGACTGTGTAACTAATAATACATGTGCTTCTTGTATATATACATACGAGCACATGAAAGTTTTTGCTTTATTGGGCCTAATCAATTTTGCAAATTACTAAGTACTTCAATGTATATATATATATATATATATATATATATATATATATATATATATATATATATATATATATATATATATATATATATACCATGATCCATGATCACTTAAGAGTAAACATGGACTTGATTTTTCATACACTGCATACCCTAAAATGTACCACAAAGCATGTACCCTATTATACCATAACAAGAGGCCCAGGGGCCACATCGCTCACCTGAGCAAATGGCTAGAAAAATGCACATATCAGTTCAGAACTGAAAGTTTACTGAGGGCGGGGAGGGGGGTCTTGAATTTTAACCCCCCAGGGGGTCATGATTTCAACAAACCACAATCTACAATACCTGAGGATGATTCCCTATGAATATCACTAAGCATGGCTTTGAACATCTTCGCTAGCCAAGGGTTTCCGATCCGATACCTACTCTACTAGAGTAGGTATCGGACCGGAAACCCTTGGCTAGCGAAGATGGGCTTTGAAGTACTTGAAAAGAAGATTTAAAAGGTTTCCCTATATATTCCTTTTTAAAACTTTTATCGGCCATTTGGCCCCACCCTACCCCTGGGGGTCATGATTTGAACAAACTTGAATCTACACTACCTGGGGGTGATTCCACAAGTTTCATCTTTCCTGTCTCAATGGCTCTTGAGAAGAAGATTTTTCCTATGTATTCCTATGTAAAAATTTGATCGGCCATTTTGGCCCCACCCTATCCCCGGGGGTCATGATTTGAACAAACTTGAATCTACACTACCTGAGGATGATTCCATATGAGTTTCAACTTTCTTGGCCAAGTGGTTCTTGAGAAGAAGATTTTTGAAGATTTTTCCTATATATTCCTATGTAAAACTTTGATCGGCCATTTTGGCCCCACCCTACCCCCGGGGATCATGCTTTGAACAAATTTGAATCTACACTACCTGAGGATGATTCCACATGAGTTTCATCTTTCCCGGCCAAGTGGTTCTTGAGAAGAAGATTTTAAAAGATTTTTCCTATATATTCCTATGTAAAACTTTGATCGGCCATTTTGGCCCCACCCTACCCCCGGGGGTCATGATTTGAACAAACTTGAATTTACACTACCTGAAGATGATTCCACATGAGCTTCATCTTTCCTGGCCAAGTGGTTCTTGAGGAGAAGATTTTTAAAGATTTTTACTATATATTCCTATGTAAAACTTTGATCGGCCATTTTGCCCCCACCCTACCTCCAGGGGTCATGCTTTGAACAAACTTGAATCTACCCTACCTGAAGATGATTCTACATGGCCCATTTTTCATTTTCCTTTTTTTTCATTTTCATTTTTCCTGGCCCAGTGGTTCTTGAGAAGAAGATTTTTTAAAAATGCCACTAATTTTTCTCTAATTCATAATTATCTCCCCTTGGAAAAGGGTGTGGCCCTTCATTTGAACAAACTTGAATTCCCTTTACCCAAGGATACTTTGTAGCAAGTTTGGTTGCAATTGGCCCAGTGGTTCTTGAGAAGAAGATAAAAATGTGTAAAGTTTACAACGACAACGACGACGACAACGACAGACAACGGACAAATTTTGATCAGAAACTTGAGCCTTTGGCTCAGGTGAGCTAAAAATACTAACATTCATGAACCCCTAGGAACATCCCTATTCCATGACCAGTTCCATGTTTATAATGAAGTCCAACATCCCATAAAGGACGACGAGCCAGAATGTCAAGTTCCTGACCTAAGAGAAACGAAAATGGCATTATTTTCCTGATCATCATTAAGTGAAATCATGGTTTTGCTTTTGCAGTTAACGCACATTAAATCCCTTTTATAAAATTGTAACAGAGGGATGTATTATAACGAATTCATTTACTGATGGCACAAAAATCAAGCCAATAGCTAATTAACTCATTTCATTAATAAGTTTTAGAATATAAATATCATGTTTTTCACCGTGAGGACCGTTTTTACTCTTCAGGATCTTAACTCTGGCAAGATCTACCGACCCCATCAACACACGAGTGTAGCATTCCTGTTGGTTAGAATAGGCAAATCAATATTTTGTTTACTCTTTAATCTTTATTCATTATAAATATACACATCATGGTTGAAGCACAGAGGGGCTTTTTTATCCAACATTTGTCCATACGAGTCCATCTGTCTTTAATGAGTCATCTAACCAAAACGCAAACAATGAAAATCTGTGAATTAAATTGTTTAGAAAACAAATAAAATTTTGGTGGCTCTAAGGGCGGGATCTCATTTCTATTTTTTTTTTACATTTATATCATTTGTAAAAGTAAGAATTGACTTAAATAGGTATTTAGAAACCTAACAAAAAATAATGTCCTTGAAATTCCTGACAAGGAATGAGAAGTTCTAACTACATTTTTCTGTAGAAAGCATATCCTTTTTTTTCTTTTTTCTACCTTTTGATAATCCGTTGGAGTTCCAAAATGAAATGTTCTCGTGACATCCGTTGTCCCATCTCTACCGCATGAAGAACATAAAAGGTTTATAAAACTTTGAGACTATATAATGCATGTAAGTACTAGTATATCTTTTTTCGTATTTTTAATATAAACAAGATATTTTTTCCGCATTCAAAAACATAAAATTAATTCGTATATTTTTTGTAAAAAAACATTTGAATGAATAGTATTTGTATTCCAAGACCTTAGGGTTAAAATAAATGTTTGTTTATTGGTCTTAGTTAACTTACAGATATTGTCCTCCAGAATCCAGTAGGTACATCTCTGTTGTTGTTATCTCTTTATCTGTCAGGTTTGTGGGAGCGTAGTGGATCACTGCACCATTGGATCCACTCGAGGAGATGGTATCAAAACTCAGACCGCGATTGTATTGTTGCTTCCTATGATCGATAAACAAAGAAACAAATATAATACGATTTAAATTTAAAATAGAACAATTTTTCACATTATCTTATATCAACATTAAGTAACTGAATACATTATTTACATGTATTTTCTCAGAAATAGCAAACAAAAAGATATATTTACATTCCGTGTAGTTTTCCTTATGAAATTCATTAGAGATCCACGACATTCAAATTTCCATAACACACGCGAAACCTTGTCACCGCGCGGTAGAATACACAGTAGGAACTATATGCATTTTCTACAATCTAGGAACACAAAAATGTACAATGTTTTGACTCAATTTAATTAAAGACTATAATCCTGTTAAATTACCGTAGAAATACTACAAATGTGCGTTTAAAATTAATTTGTCACTTTTTTTCCTCGCAAAGTTTTTTTGCGTTATTTAACTTTGCAATGTCATCTGACGTCACAAACGGCTCTTACGTTTATTAACCACGTCAGTTTTGAAGGGCGCTAAATTCACATTAAAGATTAACAAAATAAGCAATTATGAAGAATGAAAATTAGAGAATGTAAATATAAGCATTGAATTCATATTTTTGGCTGTCTTCGGTCCTATAACACACCTGGCCGTGCCGACAAATTTATCATACCGCGCTAACGCGCGGTATTCAATTTGTCGGCACGGCCAGGTGTGTTATAGGACCGAAGACAGCCCAAAATATGAATTCAATGCTTAATTATTTCTATATCTTTACGTCATCGTCTTTAAATGGTTTTCCTGTAGAAATACGAGAAGTAATTAAAGTTATAAATTACCAATAGATGCACTATTTAAACATATATATATATATATATATATAAATGTAAATGACAAAAATTTCTTAATTGTAAAGTTGATATCATTTTTCATACGATTTAGTTGAGAACTTCCTTGATGCATCTTTTGACATTTGAGTCAATATCGTTTAAAGTTTCAATGAAATTAACAATGTATGTTTTATGTTTGTTTATCTGAGAACACTATTTTCTTGAGGTAAAATTTTACGAGTTTGTAATTTTTTTCTCACCCTCTAAATTTGGCCAGATCTTCAGCCGCTGACAATTCTGTCCATTTCCTTCCCGCTTTAACCTAAACACAATTATAGCCAAATGCAAGTCATTATTATTATCAAATCCTTCTAAATTAATTTAAATAATTTTCTAGAAAAAGCCGCAAAAAAAACAATTCTGATATCTCATTCACTTGCTTAGTAAACAATTTTATAAAAGTAGACATAGTCATATTATGACCCTTATTTTTAATTATATGGGTCATAATTATATCGTAATTTTAATTTTAAAAGTTGTTTTAATGTAAATGAATCTCTTTACTCGGCGAACAAACCTTTTATCTGAATTTAACTTATACCCTTTCAAGGATTTCTTATCTTTTGTGATCTTGCAGAGTTACAAGAGTTAAACTTAAAAGAAACAGTATGAGAAAAGAAAGTATAGATGCGGTGTTTGACAAATTGTTATTTAATTTTCTGGCTTCAGTATGCACATGCATGGCGACAAAATGTACTATCTGAAATCTTCATACCGGGTATTAGACTTTGAAACAAAATAGGATCTTTTTACGTGCCTGATTGAGCCTTAAGATTAATCACTTAAATTATTAAAAGCACAGCTCTTTTAAAAAACTACAAGAGCGAAGATTTTGTTCCAAAAACATTTTAGGAATCTGAAAAAATACATTTGAGAAATACATTATTATTATCATGGCATTAAAAAAGACACTGTTTTTCACATGAAAACTGCAATCTTATTTTCAAATCACGTTTGGACTAATGTTTCTTATATATCTCTCTTTCTTACACAGTATTCTTTCTTACCTCCTTCTCCAACTTTGCAATGAAAGATATCAATGCAGCTGCGTCACGTACCTATTCAAAGTCATTAGTCATTAAAATTTACTTTTACATTTGAAGTTTAATTTAAAGAAATTATTAGCAAATAATTTTAATAATGTTTACATTAAAAACGTATAGATTTTGCATGAAGAAATCTTACGTGTGAATTGATCATTCCGCTTTTCTCGACTTCATTTTTTTCTGCCTTTTGTAATTTTATGGGTGTGTTTTCCTGTACCCTCTTTTCCTAAGTTATAAAAACATAAAGTAACACATCAAAGAATGAAAGAATGGAATATAGCTTATAAATGCCGACCCATGGCCAGCGTTTAACCTTACAAAAGATTGATTGATTGCTTAATTAATTGATTGATTGATTGATTGATTGATTCATTCATTCATTGTTTAACGTCCCCCTCGAGAATTTTTTCTTATAGAAGAAAGCTTGAATTGGTGACAAGTACGCAGAGTTATATTTTTAAAAAGTGACAATGCAAATGATTGCAAACGAATTCATTATTGCAGATCTGTAGCGTTTTGGTTTTATATATTTGTCTTTGACCATGGTCAAAGACAAATATATTATACATATATTAAATGGCTTCGAGTGTGACATTATATTTAACATTTTTGAATAAGTTTTCTTATTATATCACAAATGTAATAAGTTTCGCTATAAACCCTGAAAAATTGCACAAATACCGCTTTCCAATGAACTTTACTCTGAGTCACACCGGAAACAGTTATGTCACGCCGGAAACAGTTATGTCACCCCCGACGGAAACAGTTATGTCACCCTTTCGATCATGTTCACGTGTTTTTACGTTGCGCATTTTAGTTCGGGTTCGAGATTTTATGACGTCGGTTGCCAAGAAAAAGTAAACAAGTCGGCGTATTTCTTAACGTCAAGAAGGCATTTTTGGATTATTTGTGTAAATTTTAACGATTCTGAATGATTTTCAATTTTCTTTTAATTTTAAAAATGTCATATAACATATACCACATGGCTTCTCGGGCGATTATACCAGAGTATTTGCCCCTGGAGTGTTATGTCACCCGATGCCGAAAAGCCTTGGAGCAGACTCTCTAACCACTGCACCATGCGGGCGACCCTTATAGAAGAATGCTGAATTGGTGATAAGTACGCAGAGTTACTGGTATATTTTTAAAAAGTGACAATGCAAATGATTGCAAACGAATTTATTATTGCAGATCTGTAGTGTTTTCGTATTATATATTTGTCTTTGACTGTTGTCGAAGACAGATATATTATACATATATTACATGGTGGCTTCGAGGGTGACATACCAGAATATTTGCTCCTCGGTGACAGGAAAGCCCTGGAGTGTTATGTCATCAGATGTTGAAACTTGGTATAATTCCATATTCCTTTGATGAAGAAAACTTGATGTGCATATTGCATTTAATTATGGCAATTAAGGAATGCATTACCTTTGGTACAACTGAAAATATTGCATAGCTACATTTGAAGGTGAAATCAAGACTTTCTCGCTGTTAGCAACCACTGAACTCAGCTTATTTATCATTTCCTTCGGTTCATATTCCAAAACCTAAATGTAAAAAGATATATTTATATCAGAAAGGAAACCTAGTTTTTTTTTTTAAACATTCCTAGCCATAGCCATCATGGCTAATGAAGCAAAATCAAAATGTTTTTTAATATCTTTACAATCATGATGTACACAGGACTATGAATTGAGTCAACTTAAGTTTCCATTTAGAATCACGATTAAATTGAATGAAAGCAGCTTCAAAAATAACAATAAGAACAGAAATAATAGAAAGAAAGGCCTGACGCAACTGACTAAAAATTTACCAAGAAACATGTCACAAACTAACGTCATCAAGACACCTGTAGTACTTTATTAGGTCAAGTCACCAAGTCATAAACTAACCTCGTCAAGACACCTGTAGCACTGTGGTATTTAGACAATGAGAGACTAAAGAACTAGATCTTAAGTGATCAGAGTAGTTTACTGTTTCTCGGCAGCAGCTTATGAAACAAACTGAAGCAGTGATTCTACCGCAATTAGCTTTCCTAATTAGAATACCAAACAGGAGAGATTGTATTTCATTTATGTTCTTTGCAAATGTCAGATAAGTATTAAGTGGTTCATAATTTATAAGCTCTGATAAGCTGAGAAATACACATTGATTGGCTACATATACAATGATTTGATTTAAATGTTTCAAGGCGCATGTTCATAATCCAATGTAATCATTTTATGTAAAACATTAAATAAACAATTTTACTATGTTATTAAAAATAACATTCCGAGTCTATTGTTTGACATAAGATATATTTTTCACATACCATTACACAATATCCCATCTGTCCACTACAAGAACCTGTACTTCCTGTGTTAAGATGTTCATGTAGTTTTTTAGTAGTTTCTGGATCTGTTGGAGGCTGTGTCAGTTTCCTGGTATGATCTTTTATATACAACCTAGTCAATGAAATTAATAAAAAAAAAAAAAGCAGTTCTTTCAAAATAAATTCATAGCATAACAGCAAAATCTGGGGAAGCAGTAATCATAGAGTTAACCAATATGTTCGCAGTATTTACTCTTTTGTATACATCTAAGTACTGATTTCAAAATTATAGAACTTTTTTAATACGTTATTTTAAAACAATAAATATAATTAAATGAAATTAAAAAATAAAGAATGCTTACGTTGTTTCGTTCTTTTTCCTGTCAACAATTATATAGGAGAGAAAGAATGGGCTGTATAAAATGTCCTCAGCTCTCAAGTTCAGTAACCCTAAAAAGTATTAAATGCTGTAAATGCAGCAAAATATTTGCTTATAATAATTATGTGAATCAATATAAAGGGCAAAAATAGCGCTCAAAGAGTTGTCTTCTAAATTTTAAATCAAGTTAAAAATGATAAAAACAGTGAACATTCTCATATAAACTATAAACAATAGAATTCTGCATTAGGCATAAACACTGACTCCTGGAAATTTAAGATGAGGGATTAGGTAGCCCCTGATTTAATTAAGTCATAAATTCACATTTATGCTTTTACAAAACAGCTGTTAATAAACGGAAAACTGTTTTAACAAATACAACAAAGTTATCTTAAATAAACTCACATGCTGTTTCATCCAGACTTGATACAATCATAGAGTCAGTTCCTTTTTTCTCCATAGCTTTGTGAATGTCAGTAATCTTATCCTGCCAGGTTTTTCCTAAAGTTTCATTAAAAAAGTTGTTACATTCCACATCTTATATATTTTATTTGTATGCTCGAAATACCATCACAAAGCAAAGGTATCGCATTAGATATAAAATCGAATACATTTTTTGAAAATAGAAACAGGGAAATTAAAAATAATCATTGTACACTTCATTTAAGTACATTCACAGTGCATTTTCCCATTAGCACCTACATGTGTTCGGTGACTGAACTTCTAGCCTGGCTCCTATGCCTACCTCAAGGGTTCTTCGATTATAATAAAATATCATATTTTTTATCTTTTATAAAAGAACAATATTCATTAATCTTTCAGTATTTGTGAGTATTTTTTTTCATTACAGGTTATTTTAATTTCATGACTATATTTTGGATTTTAAGATTTTTTAATGCTTTTTAAACGTTACACAGAAGATATTCCGTTAACAGAAATGGTTCGAGCTATGTCCCCAAGCACCCCCGGTTATATACCTATACCTGAGAATTTGTATGGAAGAGCGTTTATGGGAGAATTAGGTTCCTGTGGACGTCCAGTTGTCCATATTTTGTCAATTAAGTCTTCATCTGTCTTTGTCATTGTGATGTTTTCCTTAGAAAGTTCTTCTTCGTAGCTCTCCCACTTTTCTTTAATAAAAGGATAAATAATGCGTCACTATAGTGAGCAATGCATTGAAAAACAACTTTGTATTACTGTTGTGATTAATATTTTTTTTTCTTCCAGAAAAAGAAGAAGAAATCTCTAGCTTGTAGAATCAAACCATTGCAAATACTATATGACTTTGATGACAAGATCTTACGTCAAGATTATAATTATACCTATAAGTAATACCTAACGACATAGCGAACACAATCTTAACATTTTTTTTATTTCAAACCATTTTAAGAATATTAAATTATAACAAACAGCCTGTCAGGCAGAAAGTTAGGTAGACTTTTGTCAACCATCAATATATTTATTTACCATTAGGGGAAAGACATATAACAGAAATGTTTCAAACTCTTCTTAAGACACTTAAAATACATACTACTGCCAAGAAAGAACGGATACGCTCCAACTTTGGCATTTGGTGAATCTTCAAGGACTGATACTAGCCATTCTGTGGCAGAAGGTACTCCTGTTTCACCTATTATAAAATTGGAAGAAGAAACAAGCTTTAAAATATGTTTTAAAAACAGAAGACATTTTTGTCAACTCCAAACACAAACACTGGTATAATTCAATGTCTCCTTTATTCAGATAAACTCTCTCTCTCTCTCTCTCTCTCTCTCTCTCTCTCTCTCTCTCTCTCTCTCTCTCTCTCTCTCTCTCTGACTTCAACACACGCGAACATCTTTATAAAATGTATTATTTATTACCCAATTTCATTAGAATCCAGTTACAATCCATCTCATCTTCTGCCTGTAAAAAGTAACGTGCGTCCGTCCACAGAGCTGCCTGTGTCTGAGTCACAATCGCATAACCTTACAGAAAAGTCATTTTACTTTTAAATAAATCAAAAATAAAAAATACTTTGGAAAAATAGCTTAAGTATAATGTTTTTAACCTCTCTCCTTCCCTATATACAAATTAATTTTGAAAAATTAAATTTCTGGCATATTGATATAATATTCATGGATGAATGTTAGTGTTATTGTTGGTTGCATGTTAATGTTATTGTCATGTAAGCATAAATATGATACATGCTCCACTACAAATTTAATTATAACATATCTTAGTATTTTCTTTTCATTTTAAAAGAATGATACGAAAAAGACGTTAATGATAATTTAACAACAAAACTCTCTGATAAACGTGATGACTTTAACTTTTCTATCGCCAATTTCCCTTACTTATGCTGCAATATACCCTCATCACCTGCATACAGAGTTTTATATCTCAGTTGATTCGATACGCAAGAGCAGCATGCTCTACGTATGAACAATTTCTAAAACGAGGTAAATTACTGCCAAACAAGTTGATGAAACAAGAATTTCACCTGTCTTGTTTAAAGTCATGATTTCTATGGTCGATACAATGACCTTAATTATCAGCAAATACAATTTTTAATTGTGTCAAATGCTGACGGAAGTGTTTCGTACTAATTAGTCCATTATTTATACACTGAATTGACGACAGATTTTTCCGTTATTTTCCGATCATGACAAGGAGCGCACGGCGGGTATGACCGGTCGGCAGGGAATGCTTACTCCTCCATGGCACCTGATCCCACCTCCGATGTTTTGGAGGTCCGTGTTTGCTCTGCTCCTTTTTTTGTATTGTTTAATGGACTTTTGATCTTGCATATTATTCGTTATCTCCATATGTTTCATACACAATATGTTATGATTATGTAACATGCATAATGTATATTGAAAAATAGAAACACGCTATATACATCTACAATATCCAACATGTAAAAGCAATCTTTTACATATTAAACGTAATATTATCATAATTTCTACATTGAAATGTTTGCTGATGTAACATTTTTTGTATTTTACTAAATAAGATGAAGCGTTTTATACGACTGACGTTTAGCCATGGATTAATGCACTCAATTATTTAGACTTACCAGCAGATCCCGAAAGACCCGATATAAATTGTCTTCTTTTATCATATGGAGAAGTGTACTCACTCTAAAATGAACAACGGTTCCTTTAGAAAAAACAGGATTATCGAACAACTTCACCAATTCCAAAATATCATACCATTTCTTTTCATAAATCTTATTTAATATGCACGACATTCAGTATACAGGCCGCCAAGATTATATGTTACAATTTGGACAGTATATACAATGTTTATAACACATTTTGTTCAATTCAAAATTCATTACATTGGGTTTAACAAAATCGTAAAATTGGTTCATATAATCTGAGACACAATTTATAAATTACTTTTAGAGTCCCTAGAAAAGGAAATAATGCAAACTTTAAGTTTGTTACCTTCCTGATGAGAGTTTGTTGACTATTTCTGTGATAAATATTCATTATCACCACAATTCATATCAGTTATGTAACCTTACCTGATGTGCATCTTCTGATGGTATAATATAAGCTTGGATTCCTAACCGATTCATCTCAGTTCTAAGGTCCCTTAATCTCTGTGTTGTATTTATTCTGTTTGGAGGAACAGACTACAAAAATAAAATAATTGATATGTTTGATCATTTAATATAATTTCATCATATTTGTTATGTATCTGTAAACATGTAACCAAATTCAATTTCAATTTAATCTTACCTTATATCAATTATAAGAAGTTAAGAACGATTATCACTAATATAAAAAAAAAACAACAAAAATAATGATACATGTAATGCGTCATATCAAAATATTCTATGGACCCTAACATTACCGTGGCTTTACATTCTCAGAAGATAAAAGAAAATTCATATTGCAGTTTATAGAGACAAACATTTTTCACTGTGAATTTCCACTTTGTAACATTCATGTTATTATTAATTTGGCGTGCATACAGAGTTTTTGTATTCGAGCTTATTTTATACTTAAGAGTAAGATAGATTTTTAAACAGAGTCAAGCTTTTGGCAAATGAATATTTCTAAAGGGTTTCGAACATCTAAAGTAATAAAGTTCGATTGTGTGAAAGTCGTTATAATGCAATTGTTTTGTTTGTTTGTTTGTTTTTTTTAAAAAAACGTTGTTCTTTAATGTCCCCTTCGACTATTGTTCACTCATATTGAGGTGCCACACTTGCCGAAGGAGGGTTATACGAGACCCTCGTACTCCGCTCTCAGGGTCATTAAGTAATGAGGTATTTTTTTGTGCCAGCACCACTGCTACTCAAGGACCCTGACCTTGACTGCCAAACGCTAGTAGATATAACCAAGCTATTTCTTTGTCACAGATGTCATGCCAATCAAAACCCAACTGGGTTGCATTTGTCTATCACCTTAATTTCGTTCTAAATTTAGTGAGAATGGCACTACTTCTGGTTCACCCTCGTACTTGTTAATTTCCATTACCATTCACCTGAAGTCGAAAATAAAGGAGTTGATTTAAATATATTTCGATCATATCTATTCTATTTGTTTTCCCTGTGTTTACTCTGTAAAAGTTGAGATGAGTTGCGGAATATACTAAGTAAATTTCGCCGAGCTAAGTTAGCCTAATATGCATGTAAATTTCGTGCGGCTGTCTGTATCAGACGTCAGTGGGCAGGGACTATTGAAATTGTTATGGGAAAGCTCGTGTAAATTTTATCTATTACAAAACATTTTTTTTAATCTTAATTTACAAATTTCGTGATGAATTGTAAGTACAAGGAATCAATGTCTAGTTTGTTGGGTACGCCAGGGACATCAACGATAGTTAGAAACGTGGGATAATTCATACATAAAAGGGCTTCACCCGTTATGCAAATTATCCTACGTTTCCAACTATCGTTGATGCCCTGGAATACCAATTTAACAGGACAGTGATTCCTTTGACGCGTGCACTCTATATGCTGAACTTATGAACAATTTCTATAAAGAAGTAAATTATTGACAAGCAAGTTGATGAAACAAGAATACCAGCAGTCATAATTTTGTAAGTTTTATCGTTAATACAATGACCTTGCAAGAAAATACAATTCATCATTAAGTTAATTGCTGACTGAAGTTTTTTTCATACTACCAGAAATTGTTAGGCCATTATATACATATTGAATTAGTCACGGATTTTTTTTTATTTCCCCATTTTGATAAGTAGCACACGGCGGGTTTGACCGGCAGGGAATGCTCATTTCTCCATTGCATCTGATCCCACCCCTGCTGTTTTTGAGGTCTTTGATTGCTCTGCTCTTAATGTGTATTGTTTAATGGACTTTTGAGCTTAAATACTTTTCGTTATCTCCATATATTTCAAGTACATACAATGTACTCCATGTTATCAAATATAACATTGCAATCAATTGAATTCTAATTGACGGAACGAAAGAAAACATAATTTTTTTTCACAAAGCAGGATAAAGATGGGATATTGCTGATTCTTTAAATTACTAGTATATATTATAAAGTTTAGATAAATATTTGTTTAAAAAGGCTTTCCTAAAGTTTTTTAATTAAAGAACATTCAAGTGAAAGGAGTCAGTAAAAATTTATTCGTAATAATGGCAATTCAGTTCAACTGTATAACTATTGGTACCTTATAAACTATATAGGAAAAAAATCTTGCGTCACTAATGCGTTTTCTACATGAAAACATGATAACACGATTATGCACGTTCTGGAGCCCGTAATTTACCCTGACGAGTCAGCAGTAAATGAACCCACTGAGACAGGAACAACTCATTATAAAACATCACAACAACTGTACTCAGTGTGTAATTCGACGTATAGCCTAGCAAAGAATTTTTATTCTTTGCCGTTATACTTTCTTGCATCATTCTAGATTTCACTTTTCAAATTGAAAATATAGCAAAAATTGATTAAGTCCTATTTGGAAACGTTAAGCTTGGTGTTTTGCTTTAACGTACTATGTCTGTATTTCCCATATTTGCATTTTTTTGTGAATTTCTCTCAAAATATAATTATATAAATCAAAGATAGACAAGTTTCACCCTGAATACCTCCATCACTGCCTTCATTTTATCTTTTATAATGATTGATATTTATAGGTTAATATACAGAAATGACACCTTTGTACGACATTACTTTCCTTTTCATGTTGGCATACTCCGGTTGTATTTGCGATCAAAAGCAAATAAATCTACCGTCACTTTTATTTATTCAATTTTCATATTCTGAATGTGATAATACCAGTCTTGAATTACCTGACTAGATGGACAGGATGGCCTGCTGTCTGGAGATAAGTTCTGAATTTCTGATCTTCTGCTTCTCGACAAATCACGCTTTGTCCGATAATGAATATCCTCCACATGCAGGTTTTGAACAGCGTCTGAAATTTGAGATAATTAGATGTTTTACTTGCAGATACATGCTAAAAAAGAGGTCAATTGAGCTGCATAAAAATTAAAATCAATTGACCTCTTTTAGGCGTTTCTTAGTTTATATTTATAATTTATTTATCATAGACATTTCAATTTGAAAATTAATATACATGTATTCTAAAAATAGAATGTCACACAAATCCCTTCTAATGTTTCAAAACTAAATTAGACATTTTTGTCGCAAATTTGTTTTTTTTTTTCATAGAAACCATAATCAACTTTTAAAGAAACATTAACAATAATAATTGTAGAATTTGCCTGTCAATACATGCATTTGTGTAAAATAAATCGGATCAAAAATCAAAGGCATTCGTCAGCATAAGCTTACCTGTATGGTAGAATATCAATCCGAATATAACTAGATTAAAAAATAGCATCTTCCCTCTTCTTTGTAGGGCAGTAAATGATTTTCTGTGACTACGAGTAGGCTGAGGGCGTTTTTACACACAGGGAATGTGCTGCACTACTGAGTAATGAAGCGTTCAAAACATGCAACCGTATGTACACGTATTGTCTCTTTTCAAACCCAATGTATCTTTACCTCTGCGTTGTTTATGTCTGCAAATGAATATAGGCCTGACCTATTTCGGAATAACCTTTTTAGAGTGCATGTGTAAATTATAGAATAAAAAAAAAGTAAAATGTGTTTATCATGTTTACAATGTATGCAGCATTTTGTTAAAGGTATTTGTATGTAAGCAACGTAAATGTAAGGAAAAAGTGCGATTTCTTGTCTTGACTTCATTAAAAAATACAATGCATCTTAAAACTAATTATTATAAACAAAAATCGTGTAGATAACATAATTAACGTCTGCAGTTTTTCCTCCTGTTTTGCATTAGGTCAAATACTGACTGACGTTTTTAATACTAATTGTTAGGTCATTATTTAGGCACTGTTTGACAGATTTTTCCGTTCTTTCCCGATTATGACAAATTGCACACGGCGGATGTGACCGGTCAGCAGTGGATGCTCACTCCTCCATGGTCCCACCTCTGATGTTTTAGAGATTCGTGCTTCTTCTGCTCTCGATCTGTATTGTTTGATGGACTTTTGAGCTTGAATACTTTTCGTTATCTCCATATATTTCATAGTCTATGTTTTAAAAAAAAACATTGTTTTCTTTCTAAAAATAAAATAATCATGTCAAAAATCACCTCCGTCTTCCCGGACAATCTCTTACAATGGGGTTTTATACGGCCAATTAAAAAAACATCGTGCTTATAGATACTCGAAAGGTCTGGTCGGGGTATGGGGTCAAAGGAACTTGTAACGAAGCATCCCCAAAATAATACCAAACTAAATATCTCATTTGTTTTTCTGTTTATTCAAATTTTACCTATCAGTTATGTTTTATTTCATATTTGTCTCTCGCACAACTGAAAAATTACCAGTGTATCTTTTTTAGTTAATGTATGTTTCACATAATTTTTTTTAAGACGGCATAAATAAAATATATCACTCCTACTTGAATTGGTGTTGTGCCAAATGGATTTATATTTTCTCGTGTAAGAGCGTACCGCGTTTATTATCCTTTTACTCAAACCTAGTATATTTTTACACATGATACAGTATATTGCAAATATTTGAACACATTCAATTTTAATGCAAAAATGAATTAAGTATATTGATTGTCTTTTCGTTTTCATTTAGAATTTACAGTAATTGTTTTTTATTCCCAATAGCAAATTAAATATTACAGACTTTCCTTGGAGGTCAGGCATTCATTTTTGAATGTCTTATTTACGTATTTTAAAAGAAATTAATACTTTTTTTATCATTTTATTAATTGCATTCTTGTATACTATTTAAAATGATTGGATAATAATATTTATTGGATATAAATGCATGTTATGTTATAGTCATCCTCATCTGGATTTACATGAAATGTCAGTGTCGATAAAGTATATGTTAAGACTTAACTATGTCATGTAAAAGCTTTATAAAAATATAATATGGAATCAAGGCAACCAAAACATCTCTCCAGCTAAATAGCACACTTTAGTAAAAACTCGTCCTTAAATATCTTTTATGAAGATATTAGAGTAAAACGTAAATTACAAAAATCGCCAAATTAAACGTTTTCATAAACAGGACAAACAAATACTCAAACTTTCCAAGAATATACATGTTATTTCCCTTTTTAAAGAAAAAGTGTTAGAAGACAAAACACATCATATAATGTGAATGAAAATGAAACAAAAAAATCTTTTCAAAAGAATAACGGCAAAGATTTTTGTGCAATTTCACTTTTGTTATCAATTTCCGGATTATATTAATACAATATGAATTCAACAAAAGCATTCACACTCAAAAGTCCTTCTGAACAAAACAAATTGCTAGTGTGACAAATACCAAGCTCTGGATCTTTGAAAACATCAACGATGGGACGAGGTGTCAAGGAGAAGAAAACATCCTATGTCTTAAAATCTCATCCGCAAATAGCCCCTTGTCACGTCAGGTTAAGGGAGAAATAACTACAGAATCATTTCAAAATTAACATTTTTAAAATTTTTCTAATTTAAAAAAAGTTTATAAAAAGTAAATCAACATTGGGCTTACGGCTTAATCTAAACAATATAATTGTATTGTCCAAACAATTTGCAAAATGTTCATACAATTAATATTTAAACTTATTTTCTGTGGCTGTCTTGTATATAAAGGGATCGTAGGTATCAAAAGCTCTTATGGATCTAATGAACTTGAAAATATCAACATTTAAATACAGATAGAATAGGACAAAACTTGAACAGTGTGACTTTTCTGCTGTAAACTTTCTTTATTCATGTATCAATCTACTCTTATCGACTGAATTGATTAATTGTGAAGCTACATTGTATTGTCTTCCAATGTTTAGAAAGCGATTAGAAATACCAGTCGTAAAACATGGAAGTGTAACATAATTGTTTGCTGTGTGTTTGTTTTTAAGCTACTAGGCTTATGCATTCAATCAATTTAAAATTGAATCTAGTGACGCAAACCTTTTGTCTTTACTTTCCGTGAATAATTGGGTTTTGTATAATATTTTTTTCCCTATTATTCTATCTTCTCTATACGGAAAAGGGGAAAGTCCTACATCTAAACTTTTTCTTTGAATCTCCTTCATAAAAGATGTCCAGTGGCTCCAGAGAAGAAATAGAGAACGGAAAAATTAACATGGTGGTCACGCACAGACGACAATGGTAGATAAGAAAACCTCATTTACCTTGAATACCGTTAGTTATCTCTATATTTCCTATAAATAATTAGGAATAATCTAAAAAGGAACATTCAGAAAGCTTCTTTAAAGTCTTTCTTCAGTGTTCAATTCTCTGTTGACTTTTGACTATTTAAAATTTTAAATGGCTAAAGGAAAATATTTTTAGAAAAAATACACGTTTTGTATTAAAAGAAATTTAACTGCAAATGGCAATAGATTTTTATTTATATACATAAGTATACATTCAGTTGATTATATGAAACGATTAATAATGAGTCTTTTACATTTATAATATATTTACAATATTCTATGAATAAAATATACCAGTGTGAAAAGCAGAAATTCATTTAATCATGCTCACACTTTCAAAGTTACCTCATACAACTACTTTGTATTTTACAACATTATTTATTACAAAAATACATGAGAACTAATTATTATTTAATACATATGAATGCGGCAGTATATGCCAATCAAGGCTTTTTAAACACTTACACGTAAACACATAAACATACTTTACAGTAAAAATAAAAAATATTGAAATGGTCGAAACACAGACCTAAATTAAATAAAGTCGAAACAAAGATTTTATGCTTGTACCTTATAAGGTGCATCGTAGGGAAAAGTTCATAAAAATATTATCTACAGAATATTTTGGGATACTGAGTAATTAAAATAAAGAACTCAAACAATTAAACATTTATCTATATACACAATACTATACTTTACATACTTCTGTCCCACATACTTATGTTACTTAGAAAAAGTTTGAAAATATCCCTAGTGTTATCAAAAGGACGGATGGAAAAATTAAAGTAGTTGAACTGGATGTACGAGTTATGGTCCTTGTTCTAGATTCCAGCCAGTTATAGGCTTCCGGATTGTTGACACGCAGTTCCGGTCCTATCAACTCCAATACTTTTTTATGATAGTCATTAATCCAGTCCACCTGAATAATTCATATAGAATGTCATTACATCCTTTCACTATACTGTTTACATATCCTGAACAAAAAAAAGACATTTTTAACTCTTACCTGGCTTTGTGATAGCATGTCATATTTAATCAGATTAGGTTCATAAGGCACCATTGTAACGGTTTCAAATCCAAGAAAAGTGGTATTAGGAAATTTATACTGAAAATAAATTTTTAATTAATTTTTACATAAACACCTTGCTTACAAGTTTCCGGAGTCAAATTTTTTGTAGTAAAATATTAGTGCAAAATCATTTTGCGCACCTTTGTATCGACTTCCTTCACCATAAAAATATTTTCTAATCTAATACCAAACTTTTCGTCCTCATAATAACCTGGTTCTGTGGAATAAACATGATAAGATTTTGAAAATTCATATTTTTTCCAAAATAAAAAGTAGATTTGACGTATTTGCAATATCATACATATGTTCTTAATAACTGTTTCTGAGAGTAATATAAATTATTTCATAATATTAAAATACACATTATTTTCAAAAAAATAAAAATGGAGTAGATCTGACGTATTTTTTCTGCGATATCTTATATGATCTTTATAACTGTTACTGGAAGTAATATGAAGTGTTACAAAATATGAAGTTGAGAAAAAAATTAGAAAATTTTGTAAATACCATCAGAAAAGAAATTCCCGTCTGCCAGTGGTGAGTCACTCTCAAAAGGCGCATGAGACAATGAAATCCGCCCTGGACCTAAAGTCAACAAAACAAATCTATATTCTATGATACTTTTTTATTTGCTGTTAGGTTTATTTGTCCTTTGAGAGAAAAAACAGATATTTATAGTTAGACAATTGGAGCTGCACTAGTGCAATGTACATCTTAAATCAACTGCTGCATTTTTTTAATTAATAAAGTTAAGTAATTCAAGGAAGCAAAAACATCAATAACTCCTATCCTGAGAGAATGAAGCATTGAACCATCGTAGGTGAACAATTATTAAAGTCAGGAACATAAATTTTAAAATTCTTGCACTTCATATTCAGCTGCCAGTATACTTCATAGTTAAGTGTTAAACAGAATAAGTCATGCTCTAGAATCACCTTCATGTACACTTAAGAACATCCCTATTCCGTGACCAGTGCCATGTCTGTATTGAAGACCAACCTCCCATAAAGGACGACGAGCAATAGCATCAATTTCACGACCTGCCATGTTCAAATATTATGAAAAACATAATACAATAAGACATTATCTTACTTTACATCAATAACAGAATTACATAAAAAATGTATATGAACAAATGTATAAAAAATAGGTTGATATAAGAGATTCCGAAATTCTGTCAACGATTATTTTCAAAAGGACACATATTTATAAGTTAAAATGAAGTCAATTTGACAAATTAAATCAAAACTTCCAAATGACAAAAAGTTAAGCAATTGTGATACTAATAACCTTAAAACAGTTAATCACAGAGTTCACATTATTTCACCAAATCATCTTACTTAGAACAAACGTTATTCATTCTTATTTTTTTAGCTACTGTGAAAACAGATACTGTTGCGTTATCTTACCACCAAATATCTACAATAAACTCACTCATGCTGTTAGTAAGTATTCAAACATGTTACATGCTATGCATCATTTAGATACCAATATATTCTAACAACCTCATGCTGTGGCAAAGTATATTTTTAATTTTTATCAAACAACATGCCCAAGGCTTTGTAAAATAAATTGCTGTAGGTGAAATTCCCTCGTACATTGCACATGTGTCCCTTGTCCTATTTTCAGTTCACCTTTTTGCACTAAATCATCCCTGAAGGTAGCAAATGAGGCTAAAAACGCTTCACCGTTCATGGCGTAAATAGTTATTACTCCATTTCCATGCAGTTAATTCTCTGTGTGCTGCAAATTGTTGCAAATGACTATCACATTACTACACGTTTATTTATATGTATGTATCACTTAGGTGCCCACTCACTAACTATACACGTGCAAAAACTATTTAGGATATTGCATATCTATAGGATAATGAGTGGAATGGTCCAAAGCAGGTAATGCACGCGTGCACACTATACCAACTCTTACCATAAGGACCGTAGTCTGTTTTGGCAAACTTAAACCTTGCCAGATCAACTTGTCCCATCAACACTCGAGTGTAACATTCCTAATACATGAAAATATATTAAAATGCAACCGTTATATATAGTTTTAAAATATATAATTTTATAATCAAGATGCAAACTGCATATGAATGACTGGATTTGCAAATACATTTTTGAATGTTTAATCAGTTAATTTGGGGCATATAAAACTATCAAATCCATATGCAACTTACCATCTCGACTATTTAAGTACATGATTTGATTTCTGAGTTTTTCAACATTCAGAAATCAAACGATATACAAGAAAAATTAAATCATACCATAAAGGCCGGAGATAAACTTCATCATAGCCAAATCCACGTGTCCCATCAATACACGTGTGTAACTCTCCTGGAAAGTTTAGGTCATAAGCAAAGTAGATTTGATATACATGTATTTAAAATTTTTAATGCGTCATTTTATGCATTTATTTTGTTATATTGTCCATAAAATTGCATATATTTCGCTAAAGAAATAAAATAGCCGAATTAAATTAATACAAGAGAACATTGATGTAACCATCAATTGTCGCCCGGAAAATATATAAAGTAAACAATGGAAATAAGTCTTGATCATCAAACCGCTTTGATATGTGTGAAAAGGCATGCGTCTAATTGATGGAGACGATAGTGGCGAGTATTTTGAAAACTCATAGTCGGATAAAAATCAAACAAAAACGATACCATTTTAAACTTGATCAATTTCTCAAGTAAATGTTGGCTGCATAAAATATAAATTGAAGTTAGACACATGCATCACCTACATGTATATTCAAAAATGTATTTTAATTTTCAATTTTCGAATATAAAACACGAACTGTGCAGAGTACGTTTTTATGCGAGAAGTAAAATTCGATGTTATTCATTTTTTCCATCGTAAATGATAAGCAACTTTATATATTAAATATGAAAAACATACATATTTTTACAGATTCACTTTATGGAAGTAAATATATTATGTATCTCCTAATTTATAAAGGAAAGAACATTCTGATTAACACTCTTTTCAATGTTTAGGAAACCTTTAACGCTGAATAACTACTCCCGCCCCAATTCCCCATACACCAACACTTAAACTTATATGTATAGAGCAGCCCGGTCCTCCGGGCTGCAATTAATCGTGATACACGTAAGTGCAGTTTTTGCAACCTTATGCTGTTTATATGGAACACTGCTCACTGAAACAGATTTTGTTACTAATACACAAATAGAACCAGATTTTAAACAAAAAAATGTCATCCAGCAAGTATGACAATGCACTGAATATGTTGTAGATATTGATTTGTTATATATACTAGTATATATAAAGATATCCAAAAATCTCTATTTATACAAATGACATATTGATATTTTTCTTGAAAATGCATTATTTATACTGTTCTGCGCCGCACTTTCTTATACAAATACAGTCAAAATATTTAAAATCACGGAAAATGTCAATAAGAAGAATATAGAATAGAGCAGACAAAAAAAAGGTTCTCTAAAAGTTTATCTACTTTAGGATAAAATTGTGCTCTTCCTTTTATCCAATACAACTTCACACTCTAACTGTTCTATAAAATTGCATCTCTAAAATTTATTTAATACGATTTCTGTAAAACGTCCAGTTGAATTAAGAAACATAAGACCATGTGTTACATTTGTCTGTTGTCTACTGAACATTTAATATTCAACTTACATATATGACATTTTAGTGGCATTATTTTTAAAAGCCTTTCGGTTGGTTATATTTGTATTACAATTATAATAAAAGATAGGCCCATTACCTTTTCAAAATCTGTTGGTGTTCCAAAATGAAAAGTTCTTGTAACATCTGTTGTTCCATCTCTACATATATATGAAGAAATTTTTTTAATTCAATCTTTGAGGAGGGCGGCATTAACAGTGAAAATCAATATCATTATTTCAATCCCCACTTACAAATATTGTCCACCCGAATCTAGGAGGTACATCTCAGATGTGGTGATTTCTCGATCGGTGAGGTTACTGGGAGAATAGTGGATGACTGCCCCATTAGAACCGACAGCGGATATGGAAGGGAAACTGAGACCTCGGTTATATAGCTTCTTCCTGAAAATTTTTAATTGCACTGACAGAAAAAAGTACAAAAATGAAAAGAAAAAGCAATTTGGGGTATCAAATGCTAAAATTTGCATGAATTGGCACGTCAAGTATTATAGTTTGGACTTTTTAAAATTCTAAATGATACTTATATCAAAGATCGATCTTATTTTTACTTTACATTGTTATGTCTTTGAAATTTACTTACTCCCGATGCGTTTTGAGATCTTGTGCTGCCGACACTTCTGTCCATCGTTTTCCCTCTTTCACCTAAACAGTATAAACATGTATTAGTATAATTTCGAAGACTCCGTGCATATACAGCTATGCCTTTAAAATTGCATTATGAATTATCTTAAAATTGTTCACCTCTTTCTCCAGTTTAGTCATAAAAGTAATAAGTGCCTCTGCATCCCGCTTCTGTTTGACAGGAAAGAAAAAAACGTAAATAAAACTGAAGAAAAATAAAACTTTTTTATTGCATTTAAACAAAAGAGCACATTTGCCAAAAGTTTAATAACAATAAAAACCTATGATTACATACATAAGTTGTATATCTGAAGTGTATATTGTGAACACCCTTTACACAATACAATTTTTTCAAAATAAATATGAAAAATTGTGAAAATTAAAAAAATATTACACTTCTTTGTAAAACCACTAAATCTTTCAACCAATATCGTAACAGTGCTTTCTGGAGGTATTAAAGAATATATTTTGGCGTGAATCGATCGTTATTTACATTTATTTAAAGAAAGAACCCTAGTTAACCTCATATTTGAACACATAAAATTTTACATGAGAATTCCTCATCCCCTGTCTTTCAATTTCATTCTTCTGTGACTTTTGAACAGCTGCCGGAGTGTTTTCCTGCAAGCGCTTGGCCTATATAATCATAAAAACATATATCCCAATCGATTCCTTTCTTGTGAATGTAATCTAGAAAATCACATGATGCATTATTTTGCAAGAATCTTTAAAAACATTATAAACAAAGAATGAGTTACGTGTACCTCTGGTATTTTGGAATACAAGGCATAATTACAAGAAAAGGACACCAGCACGATGCCACTATTAGCAGCTACAGTCTGCACCTTAGTCTCTACTGCTGTTGCATTATACTCAAATACCTTAAATTAAAAAATATAACCTTCTCATCCACGACAATTTCATATTATGAAATATGAAGGTAAAGAACGGGCATTGGGTGTATTGTTTAAAAAAGTCAAAATTTAAAGTGAAGAAGAAAAACAAACTGTAGATAACGAACACTGATCGATATCAAAAATTCTCTAGACAAACAAATATGTGCTAATGAAACAAAACACGGACCCTGGAAATTCCACGGGTGGGATCAGGAAGAGTAAGCATCCCGGTTGACCCGTCACCCCAGTCGTAAACCTATATATTGATCAGGTAAACGGAACAGTCTATTGGCAAATTCAGGAAAGGTCCAAGAATTGCAAATCAGACAAAATTCAACCCATTTAGCAAATTCAGAATGAAAGGTCCTAGTAATAGCATATGTCTCGCTTTTAAAAATTGATCGCACTTGGAGCATGCTCTTGAGAATTGAATAAGTTGGGAGATGTAAACACCATATGCATGCAGGTGAAAGCGGGATATCTCTACTAAAAGTAAGGAAAGTTGACGAAAGAAAAGTTCAAAGTCTTCTCATGTGCCATACAATTTTGTTGATAGTTGGCCTTTATCGTCTACAGTAAGTAAAATATCCGAATAAATAATTATAGATGTTTAAATATTTGTACGGGAAAAGGGGACTGTCAACAATCACATGAAAATGTCCCTGATCCTATTTTATTACTAATGCGTATCTTTAATTCTCCAGTACTACACTGTATCAGGTCCTACCTTTACACAGTACCCTGCTTTACCAGAACAGTCCCCATTCATTCCTGTGTTCAGATGCTCGTAAAGTTTATCTTTGCTTTGCTCATCCGTCGTATTCTGAGTTAATTTTGCAGCATGATTTCTTATGTATAATCTGTAAATTCAAGAGAATTTTTTCATATCTTTTGATTAAAATTAACTTTCGGAGACTTTGATTACAATTCAAATATCAGTAATTATAAAGTAGTCCATACAAATTCGAACATTTTTGTGCTTGTCTAGGTTTAAGTGCAGTAATAAGACCTTGAGAAATGAGTTTTTTTTCAATTCAACGAGAGAGGAAAATAATTGGAATTTAATATTTCTCTTTTGTTACATTAGTATTTGATTGTCATTTTTTTCGGTTTAAATCCATATCAATAACAGTTAGAAATTTAAGTATCAAGAATAAGGAAAGCACAGATCCGTCGAAATCTCAGAGGTGGGATCAGGTACCACATGGGTGAGTAAACATCCCCTATCGACTGAGATAAACCAAATAAATCCGCAAATAAGTAGTATGATAACAATTGCAACAGCCTAAGCGATAACAGATATGAGCCGTCAAGTAAAACATAACAGTAACTCTATTTTGTACGAAAAGATTACTGACAAAATGGTAAATAAATACCATTTTGCACACTTTGCTGTCTAAATACGCAGTATTATGGTTAGGAGATTCAAATGTGATTTGTAGTAGGTTTGCATCTATACAAATACATTTCACAGCTACATGTATATGCATTTTGTCTTTGAGGAAAAATAAATGGAAGGAATGATACTGAAAATACTGTCCTATACCAGTCATTCGGTTTCCACATATGACAGAGTTACTCTAACTTGTTTATGGAAGGATCTTACCGGTAATCGTAAAATTTGTATGAACAGATTGTATTTGCAAACAAGGATACTGTTTCTAAACATATGGAGATAACGAACAATATTCAAGATCAAAGTCCTTTAAACAATATGAAATAGGAACAGAGCAAACACAGGCCTCTAAAACATCAGAGGTGGGATCAGATATCAATCTCTACGGAGAGTTATCGTTCGCTTCGCTATAATACCTCTGAGGTATAAGTGGAACGATAACTCTGGGTAGAGATTGGGATCAGATGCCATGGAGGAGTGAGCATCCCCTGCCGAACCGGTCACCTCCGCCTAGTGATCGTTGTCATGATCGGGAAATAACGGGAAAATCCATTTAAAAAGCCAGATAAGTTTCGGAATTCATTTTTTTATGAGTAGCAACATATTAGCTACAATTGTACATGTAAGCCGTAAGGATGTTCATATATGCAAGTCTCTAGGTGTCATAAACAAAATACTAGTGTATCGAAAAAATGCAATGACCCAGCATTCATAAGAGATGGACACTTTGAATAACCAAGTTCCTCATTAATAATGATGTAACTACATGTATATTGTAATTTACTCTTAGTAAATGATCGCATTCAAGGACTGACATTTTAAGTGTTGAAAACTTACGTTGTTTCATTCATTTTTTTATCCACAATTATGTAAGAGAGGAAAAAGGGGTTGTATGCAATGTCGGCACCTCGTAAATTCAGCAACCCTGGAAGAAAATTAGTTTCATACGTTGGTTGGCAGTAGAAAAGAACTTTATTTTATTGCTTTAAATATCGCTGTCAAAGATAATGAAAAAATTAAATAAGAAACATAATTATGATTAACTTGCGTCATTCTCAGTGTCAAGTCGGTAATGAGAATTTCAGTTTCAATTATTTGTCACAACTGAAATATGATATGAAGACATCTGAAGTGTGTTGCGCTTGGCATTTTTCATTTTTCATCATGGTATTTATATCACGTTATTTTTAAACATGGTTTACTTTCATTGTGTTGAGGAATATTAGCTTTGTATATAATATGCTATACATTCTATATATTTTCAAATGTTTTGAAATTGACAAGGTTTGACATCAAGCAAACACTTTTACAGCATCGTGTGTAAATAAACTCTGATATAACTTCTGTTTGTCACGTTGTCATTTGTAAAGCAGATTTGGAAAAAAAAAATCAAAAGAGTGAAATCAGTATACATGTATTCAACTAATATCTAGCTGAAAAGCTGAGAGTTGTATTTTTATTGAACTATCTTTAGATTAACTCACATGCTGTCTCATCCAGTCCTGTGACAACCATGGCGTCTACATCTTTTTCCGTCATCGCCTCGTGCATATCTGCCAACTTATCCTGCCAACTTCGACCTAAAAAACAAACAAAATTGATGTTGATTGATCTTGTTAAGCTTGTAGAGAATACTCGCTAGGAATGTTGGTAAGACAGAAAATACAACATCACAAAGATTTCCAAGGCCTTTTCTCGTTCGTTTGTCGACACGATATACCGAACGAGCTTTAAATAAAGCAGAGATTGTACCAGGGTCTAATATATCTTTATTTTACTAGAAAAATACATTAATGGTAACCTAGCAATAAAACTTAATGATTAACGTGATGATTTCGATTTTTCAACCCTCAACTTCCCTTAAACCTTTGTAACAATAAATTTTTTCACCAGTGTATGGGATTTATACATCTCAGTTGATTCGATACACAAAAGCATGCTCTAATAGTGTAAGAACAATTTTTAAAACAAAGAAAGTTATATGGAATGAATAAGATAAGAATTATTTAAAGTCATCATTACGCAAGTTCTATGGTTGATACAATGGCCATGTCACCAAATACAATCTATCATGGAGTCAAATGCTGATAAGTGTTTTGTATACTTAATGTTAGGCCATTATTCACATACTGAATCGTTTTGTTTTTGTTTTTTTTGCACCTTTTTCGACCATGACAAGTAGCATTCAGGCAGGCGATAAAGTTTGGCAGGAGACGCTCACTCCCCCAATGCAACTTATCTTACCCCTGATATTTAGCGATCAATGTTTGCTCTTAATTTGTATTTTTAGAATAGACTTTCTTTGAGCTTGAATGTTGTTCGTTTTCTTCATATTTCATAAGAAACCTTTGCAATCTAGTAATATACATATTAAATGAACGGGATAAACCTTAATTGTACAATGATCAATTACCATGGTAGTTGAAAATATGCTTAAATCAACAAACATTTTTATAGAAGTAGTCCATATATAATATCAATAGCAATCTAAGTACAACAGAGTACCTACCTGCGAATTTTACGGGGAGAGCGTTGATTGGTGAATCTGGTTCCTCGGGACGACCTGTGGTCCAGATTTTACCCACTAAGTCTTCTGTTGTGGTCGTCATGGTTATGTTTTTTGGGGACAAGGCTTTTTCATACCTCTCATAACTACCTGAAATTTTTATAAATTTATACAATAAAAAATACAACAATTCTCGATGTAAAATAAAAATTTTAGAGCAAAATTTTTAAAATTATAAACTTTTAAAAGAGTTTTCTTTATTTATAAAAATTCACAGGCTGATAGCTGTTACAAACCACTGTTAATAAGAAAAGGATAGGCTCCAACTTTGGCATTTGCTTCTAAAACTGATATCAGCCATTCAGTGGAAGAAGGCACACCAGACTCGCCTGAAAAGTGGAACTTTGATAAAATGTCTTTAGGAATTTTAGGCACTCACAGTACTATATTATACAGGTATTTTCGTTTATTTTCCCTAGCTGTCATATAGTTGCTGGTCTTAAAATTCAAGTGAAGTGATATCAATTATATATTTAATATGTATATAAAGATCTTTTGGCATATGAATTACACGTATTATTATTTTTTTTTTTTTTGAAAAATCTTTTTTACAAATGAAGCGATCATTTATTCACCATACAGTAATATAACTTGAATTGATGCATTGTTAATTTATATCATCCCCACCTACCACTTTTCATTAATATCCAGTTACAATCCAGTTCAGCCTCCGCCTGTAAAAAGTACCGACCGTCCGTCCACAGGGCCGCTTGTGTCTTAGTCACGACGGCTAGTCCTTTAGGAAAGAAATTGTTTGACAATAGAAAAAAAAATTAGGCGATTCTTTTCCCTGCTAACTATTTACAAAATAGTCATTGTATTATAAAATGTACATGTGTATTTTTAATATAAAATTATGTAAATTAGGTCCTTAACATGTGAATCTGTACAAAATGTATCCTACCAGCTGATCCCGACAAGCCTGAGATAAATTCTCTTCTTAAGTCGTAGTCTGAAGGATACTCGCTCTAAAAAAGTATTACAGCAATGTTTAAAATGGTTATAAATATTATCTTTTATAAAATATTAAAGCAGTATTGAAATGACTGTAAATGTTTTCCTTTTTTTTTTTATTAATTTGTGCAGTACTTTTGTAACGACTGTATTCAACTGTTAAGTTGTTATAATGCTGTTGTAAAGACAATGTTTTCTTATATTGTCAGATCTGTGAATGTTTTCTTCTTATTATAATTAAAGCACTGTTGTAAATGCTGTAAATATTTTCTGATATTATTATTTTTCAATCCTGTAAATGATTTCTGATATTATTATAACAGCGATGTAAGGGGTGTAAGTGCTTTCTGATATTACCATAACAGTAATGTTAGGGCTACTAATGTTTTCTGATATTATTAAAACAGTGTTATAAAAGCTGTATATATTTTCTGATACTATCCTAGCTGTGTTGTTGTTAATGTCGTAAATGTTTTCTGATATTTATATAACAGTGATGTTGAAAGGGTGCAAATGTTTTCTGATATTAATTTAAGTGTTGTTAAAGCTGTAAATGATTTCCGATATTAATATAACAGTGATGTTGTAAGGAATGTAAATGTTTTCTGATATTATTATAACAGTGATGTTGTAAGGGTTGTAAATGTTTTCTGATATTATTATAAGTGATGTTGTAAAGGGTGTAAATGTTTTCTGATATTATTGTCACAGATGAAAATGTACCATCGGACATTTTGACAATTACTTTGCATATTTTTCGATTCAAAATTCTCACATCTGTTTTTAATTTAATAATGAGTTGTCATATTTGTTTCAACCTGTCAGAATTATCCTTTGAAATGTTTAATTATCTTAATTAGCCATGAGTGATATGACCAGATGGACTGTGCTTTGTGTGACTTAATTATTGTTTATTTATAATCATTATCTTCAACTCTACTTGTAAATCAAATTAACTCATGCCATATGTTACTCAAACTTGTCAATTATCAACATGTCTATAAATACATATTTTTGTTAAGATTCGGGGAGTTGGAATCGGGATGCACTTGTCCCTGATACTGTCCGACCCGACGAGAAATAAAGGTCTGCAAATCGTAAAGCGGCTTTATCTTCATTTACTAATAGTCCACCCTAGTGGCTTTACCGACAAGCACACGCATCTAACGCAAGGGTGTGATAAGTGGTGCAGATAACCGGGTACGACCCCCTCTCACAGCCAAGCGAGTTCTACCATTTGATTCCCCTAACTTCTACGAGATTTCCCCCAATTCAGAAGAGTAACTATCATTTCGTACACGCCGCTATGAATCGCAGCCTTGGACCACAACGGAGACCTGAGGACCATTACTTTCAGCGTCATCATCCAGTTTGTGGCCGATGCGGAATTGTCCATGGACCGATTTGCCGTGCTCAAATGGAGAAGTGTTACAGATGTAAGCGTCATGGTCACTATGCAAGAATGTGCAGGACTGTCCTCTCTTCCCCTGGGAGAATGACCATGAAGGCAAATACTAGTGCACTAATCCAAGAGCAACGTTCCGGTAGACGAAAGTCCAGAGACCAAGTTCGTTTAGAAAAATACATTGAAACCAAATCTCACCTCCGCGAATTGCCATTCTTCAGTTTGAGAAATACAGCGTTCCACGAAACCCTAAACATACATCAAGGACTTAAAACTGAAAATCAACAGTTACGTTTCAAAGTGAAAGAAATGGAAATAATGTATGCCGAGGCGGTAAATGTGATTATTAACTTGGAAGAAAATGTTAATATGAATTCAACGAGACAGCCATCTGAATCTCACTCATCTATCTGCAATACCGCCGAAGATAAACTCATCATTTCAAAGTTGCAACAAGAAGTTCAGACTCTACGGCTTGAAAAGTCATCTCACAAACAGCTAGTAGATTCAATTAGTGCTAACGTCGAACAAGAATGGAGAGAAAACAAAGCAAGACTTCAAGAAAGGGACAACACCATTCTGACCCTGAGAACCGAAAACATTCAACTCTTGAACAACCAGGAATTGTATTTACAACGAATTCGTGAACTAGAAAATGAGCTTTATAATCGTTCCATCAAAATTCCAAATAACGGACAAAATCGGCAAAATATTCATTTCGGACATCATATTCATTCATGTGAACAAACATCTAGTGTATCGATTCAAAACACGAGGACGTGTTTTACTGGGGCAAGGGGGTATTGTCACAGATGAAAATGTACCATCGGACATTTTGACAATTACTTTGCATATTTTTCGATTCAAAATTCTCACATCTGTTTTTAATTTAATAATGAGTTGTCATATTTGTTTCAACCTGTCAGAATTATCCTTTGAAATGTTTAATTATCTTAATTAGCCATGAGTGATATGACCAGATGGACTGTGCTTTGTGTGACTTAATTATTGTTTATTTATAATCATTATCTTCAACTCTACTTGTAAATCAAATTAACTCATGCCATATGTTACTCAAACTTGTCAATTATCAACATGTCTATAAATACATATTTTTGTTAAGATTCGGGGAGTTGGAATCGGGATGCACTTGTCCCTGATACTGTCCGACCCGACGAGAAATAAAGGTCTGCAAATCGTAAAGCGGCTTTATCTCATTTACATTTAATAGTCCACCCTAGTGGCTTTACCGACAAGCACACGCATCTAACGCAAGGGTGTGATATTATTATAACAGTGATGTTGTAAGGGTTGTAAATGTTTTCTGATATTATTATAACAGTGATGTTGATATGTTTTCTGATATTATAACAGTGATGTTGTAAGGGTTGTAAATGTTTTCTGATATTATTATAACAGTGATGTTGTAAGGGTTGTAAATGTTTTCTGATATTATTATAACAGTGATGTTGTAAGGGTTGTAAATGTTTTCTGATATTAATATAACAGTGATGTTGTAAGGGTTGTAAATGTTTTCTGATATTAATATAACAGTGATGTTGTAAGGGTTGTAAATGTTTTCTGATATTATTATAACAGTGATGTTGTAAGGGGTGTAAATGTTTTCTGATGTTTTCTGATGTTAATATAACAGTGATGTTGTAAGGGTGTAAAAGTTTTTTTCCTAATATTATTATAGCAGTATTGTTAAAGCTGTAAATGTTTTCTTATATTAATATAACACTGATGTTGTATGGGGTGTAATTTTTTTCTGATATTATTATAACAGTGATGTTGTACGGGGTGTAAATGTTTTCTGATATTATTATAGCAGTGTAGTAAAATTTGTGAATGTTTTCTGATATCAATATAAGTGTTGTTAAAGCTGTAAATGTTTTCTGATATTAATATAACAGACGAGTGATGTTGTAAGGGGTGTAAATGTTTTCTGATATTTAGATAAGTATTGTTCAGTCTGTAAGTGTTTTCTGATATTAATACAAAAGTGATGTTGTTAGGGGTGTAAATGTTTTCTGATATTATTATAGCAGTGTTGTAAAATCTGTAAATGCTATCTGATACTTGTATGATTTTAAAACTGTTGTTAAGGTTGTAAATGTTGTCTGATATTATTATAACAGTGATGTAAGGGGTGTAAATGTTTTCTGATATTATTATAACAGTGATGTTGTAAGGGGTGTAAATGTTTTCTGATATTATTATAACAGTGATGTTGTAAGAGCTGTAATTTTTTTCTGATATTATTATAACAGTGATGTTGTACAATGTAAACGCTGTAAATGTTTTCCGATATCATTATAGCAGTCTTGTATAATCTGTAAATATTTTCTTATATTATTGTAATAGTGATGTTGTAAGGGGTGTAAATGTTTTCTGATATTAATTTAAGTGTTTTTAAAGCTGTAAATGTTTTCTGATATCATTATAACAGTGTTGTAAAATTTATAAATGTTTTCTGATATAATTATAACAGTGATGTTATAAGGGGTGTGAATGTTTTCTGATATTAATATAACAGTGATGTTGTCAGGGGTGTTAATGTGTTTTTTGATATTAATATTGCAATAGTGATAGTGATTTAAATGCTGTTAATGTTTTTAATATTATCATAACAGTGTTGTAAATGCTTTAATGATTTCTGATATTATTATAGCAGTGTTGCAAAGGCTGTAAATGTTTTCTTATATTATCATAACAGCGTTATAAGGGCTATAATTATTTTCTGGTATTATTGTAGTTGTGCTCTAAGGGCTGTAAATGTTTTTTTTTTATTTTATTATAACAGTGTTGTAAATGCTGTAAATGTTGTCTGATATTCTTGACAGTGTTGTAAAGGTTTTAAATGTGTTCAAATAAAAGGATTATTAGACTTTAAGAAAGGGGACAACAAGGAACTCATTTGTACATAAATGAACATGCAGTGAAATTAAAAAAAAAAGACAGTTTTTCCCATATCTGAAAATTACATTCAATAAAATTCTGCAGATTTTAAAACTATATTCTAGTATTCATTAAGTAAATCGTATTTGCTTTCTTTCCTTTATCATTTGTGGTGTCTAAAAACATAAGTTCATATACACTTTCTCTTCTATTGATTTTTGGGTAAGGTTTCCTTTTTATATCTACCTTCTCTCTTTCAATTCATTAAGAATGGATGGTAATACCCGAAAGTTGCTAAAAACAGAACGTTGCAGAAACTTGGCGCGTTACCTGATGGGCATCCTCAGAAGGGATTATATAGGCTTCAACTCCTGCCGTTAACATCTCACCCCTCAGGTCTTCTAGTCTCTTTGTGGTGTTTACTCGAGTGGGAGGGGTGGTCTGAAAATATGATTTAATTACTTTAACCTTTACTTGGAAAATTTTTTTTTAGCATTCTAATTTTATTTTAGTGTAAACTAACATCTTACAACAGGAATGTGCTCTTTATCAAAGATGTTAAATACCTTTGAATATTTTGCTTCTTGTAAAAAAACAACTTTTTGTTGATGTTTTGGTTCAAATACTTCATTTGAATGTCTTGACCTTTGCTATACTTTCTTTAGGGGACGTGACTGAATGACACACAAGTCAAGATAACGTTTAAGTCAAAATTTCTAGAGTCTTTTAAATCTTTAAAAGACATCAAAACGTAAAACATGTATATGTATTCAAGTTCGCCAGATTATTACTTTCTTCAGGCGATGCAAAAATTTTAAAATTCTGATTTTTTAAGATATCATAATTTACTACGTAGACCATGTTTTATAACCAAGAACAGCATTTCAAATGTAAAAATATCACGATCAGAATAGATATCTAATGGGTTAGAAGACTATTTTACACGTATGGGGCTGCTATTTTCTTTAACATATTCAGTATACCTCCTGATATTGCATATATCTAAAGGAAAGTTTTAATTTTCTTTTCGAATCAAATTCCATTGTGTCCAGTATCATAGAAATATTTTATTCAAACATTTTCTTCCCCGTGAATGTAGAAATACAACAGTACCAAAGGTTTAGAATGCTGTACGTATTTTAAACTAATTTTCACCAATAAAATGCTGCATGGTTTATCTTATCTTATTACAACCCTTCAATCAAAGCTTAAGGAGAAGTACAATTGACCTCAGACAGAGGCAGATTTTACAAAAACAGATCAAGTGTTTCTTCAACTGGGAACCGACACTGAATGAAAAGATTTGTTTTAAATTTCATAATTCTTCATTCACAATTAAGGTTTTTTAATTTTTTTGTGAAAAATATATTCAACTGGAAAAGAAAAATTGCATTTTAAGTAACAGGGAACAATTTAGGACTCGGCTCAGCCGATAATTTACAGTTTACATTACAAAACAAAGACAAAAAACAAACAAACCATAAATTATAAATGATAACGAGAGAAGGTTTGGTGCACATGTGCGTTTTGTAATTTTTTTGGCTTGTCAGCAATACTTTCTTCGGATCTCTGCCGACCTAAATTACTCCAATATATCCATGACATTATTTTACAAGTACAAAGGAAATGTAAAGGAAACAATCGTGGTTATCTTCAGTAAATACCATAACATGCCGTTCTCCATTCCCTGGCGGCAATATTGTGTGTTAGTTTATTACTGCAATTCAGTTTTACAGGGACCATAATTTGACAAGGACTTGAGTACGCTAGAAAACCGATTTTTGATTATAATGTAACTGAAAGGGGCATTTACAGGCGACATAAATTACATCTTTATTTTTACTCTCAGGGTGGGATCATTATGCAGGAATTGAGGGTCGTCAACTTAAAAATAGACATCCGGTCTCCGTGTTGCTGCAATCTCGTCACCCTTAGTTAATTACCTGTTTGCCAATGTTTGTATCAGAGTCATTTTTTTAGGTGCAGAATCCCTTATATACGTTATATGTATACAAGTTATATACTGTATACGAGTTTTCTCGATGTTAACTTGAAATGATGTTAGACCTTTGTCCGTCTGTCTGTCTCTCCGTATACTGACTTACTTGTCCCGGGGGGCATGATGGTCGGTCGTTTGGTGACATGTTTTTAATCTCGGTTTTCCGGCTAGGTGATAGTGCCCGCTTAGCTCTATGATGTAGGCCTGCATCATTCAACCTTTGTACACTATCTGAAATATATAGACAATATACTCAAACCATTTGTACAATAGGGGAGGCATTCATGATTCTTTCACCTTAATTTATGACTTTTTTAAATTTCTTTCTTGAAAAAAAAATATTTCGGGTTTTTTATTCAACTTAATAAATAAAATTGATAAACATTTCTTTGTTACATATTCCCTTCAAAATGTTAAATTAAAAGGAATGAAGTTAACTGTATGCTAAATTGTGTGATTTTTAAGAAACAAAAATTTAATTCAAAATGTATAGATAAAATGGACAACAATGTGATAATTAAATAAATTGCTTGATTTACTACTGACTTAACAAAAGCATATAAAGCCTGGAAGAAAACTGTGAAAAATTAATACTGGGACCCACGACAAGTGATCCTGAGTAAAACTGTTTGCCATGCATTAGTTTTGAAAATAGCTTTTTCGATGAATGGTAATGCTGTTTACGAGTTACCTTTAAAGTGGATAAAAATGCATTACATTGTCATTCTTATGTTTAACACAAACATAATTGAGACAAAAAGGGGCACCCCTTACCCCACCCTTAAATTATGCCATTTTTTTTTTTTTTTTTTTTTTTTTTTTTTTTTGTTAAATTAGGACATAAGAAATTTTGCAAATATGAGCAAATTGAAATAAGAAGGCGAAATACATGTATCCAATCAGCTGTTCTGCAGAATTTTCCAGCCTATCTTCTTTTTTTATCACTTACTATATAACGGTTTGTGTCACAGTGCAGGAACAACAGATTTTGTAAACCGAACATGTTATAATTTCAAAGATTTCAAGCTGTCATAGAACATTTTAATATAACAAAATAAGACCCTGAGATCATAATATTTTCAATAAACGTCATACCTGCAAGAAGGAATGTTATTCCAAAAATAAAAATTCTAAACAAGAAGGTCCGTTCCATATCGCTCTTACTTATCGAGATTGCCTGCTATCTGAAGATAATAAACGATCCTCTCCCGCGAGAGGCGTGTGTTGTTTATCAACAAGGTCTAGTATATTACATGTGGGATGAACAATGGATCCACAAACAAGGTGTCGTATAAAATTACCCCCTCACTTTCTTCACGCCTCAGTAAAAATGTGCAGACGCAATAACATTGAAATTACAAATGAACTTTTACGTAGAACATTCTAATAAATCGGTGTACGAGTTTCGTGCAATTTTTTTTATTTTTAAAAAAAGGTAATTTGTAGATAAAAATCATGCAACACAATTAATAAAGAATTAATAAAACATATTGAAATTATTATAATTTTTATTATATAAGGAAGCAAGCACCGTTAATTAAATGCATGTAATTTTAAAATGCATGTAAAATAAATCCTTAGCCTGCCAATCTTTTTATATAATTATGCCGTAATAATTAAGATTTTTTTAAATAAGGTCAAACATCAAACAATGTCTTTACGTTATGTAGGTTGATTTTCTTGTCAGAATAAACATTTTTTGGACAAGAATTCTTCTAAATACATAAGAATTAGATTAGAATCAAGTGAGCTATAAACGACGGTATATTTATAACCTCCTTAGCTAGTGTTGTGTATATAATTTCCATTAAAGATTTAATTCAAATGGAATCATGATTACACGTGCATTTACAGGGATCTATTTAATTAAATTTACTACTCGTGAGCTAACAATAAGAGTACACGAGTGCTCAGGGATCCACTCGTATTTATTACACGTGTATTCATTTAGGATTTATTATACGTGTACTCATTGAGATCAAATGTACGTACGTTTATACTCACTAGGATTAATTACACGTATACTCACTAGGATTTATTACACGTGTACTCACTATGATTTATTTCATATGTACTCACTAGGATTTATTACAGGTATACTCATTAAGATTTATTACACATGTACATACCAGGATTTCTTACACGTGAACTCAGTTACCTATAGATTTATTGAACGTGTACTCACTAGGATTTATAACACGTTTACTCACTGCCATGGGATCAGTTCCATATATAAACACTAAGATTAATTACACGTGTAATCAGTTGGGATGTATTACACGTGTACTCATTTAGGATTTATAGCAGGTGTACTCACTAGGATTTATTACACGTATACTCAATAGGACTTATTACACATGTACTCTATCACTAGAATTTATTACACATATAATAAGTTGGGATTTATTACACGTATCAGTTGGGATTTATTACATGTGTGTATATACTCACTAAGATTTATAACACGTGTAAATAAGTTTGGATTTATTACAGGTGTACTCACTACGATTTATTACACGTATACTCATGCACTCGGATTTATCACACATGTTGTCATTTGGATTCCTAAAACGTGTACTCACTAGGATTTATAAAACATGTAATCAGTTGGGATTTATAACACGTGTAATCACTCGGATTTATTACACATTTACCCATTTGGATTCCTTACACGTGTATTTACTATGATTTATTACACGTCCACTATTTTTGAACACCTGTTTTCACTCGGCTTCATAAGAAGTGTACTTGTGTAAACTAGGATAACACAATTTTCACTGAATTCAATGTTTTAACACGACTAAATTATAAACATTCACATGTATATAGACTGACCTTGTCCCAAAAAACGATGGAGAATTTTTGTCTTCATTATTTTGAGGGTTTTTATAAATGTTTGCAGTTATAATTTTTCTAGACTAAATAATAAACATGTACATGTATATAAACTGACCTTATCATTTAAATTAAAATGTACGACTGAAGTCCGATCATTGGATTGAGTATTAGTAATTGAAATATCCACAGAAATTCAAATGTCTCTAATTTCACTTGTTATGTATAATTAACAATATTTATTCAAAGTTCAACACTAATTTTCTATTTTAGAGGGAAATTTATCAAATCTCAAATATATTTATGGAACTGTGTTTGACACTTGTTAAAGAAAACGCAAGGTTGGAATTGGAATTTTCATTAATGATTTTTTTTTTAATTAAATAATTAACGAAGCAATCAAAATCTGTCAACACATCGTATTCTTGTCAATAGCAAACATAAAATTTATTGTCCAATCCTATTATGATCATTCATAATAAAATATTGTAAAAAATCAAATCAAAATATATTATTCCTGGTCGATGAGAGGTGTCTGTATTTATCACAGGCACTTGTTTTGGAAATAAATTTTTACCCATGGTATTATAATAACAGTGTTATTATAATACTATTGGTTAAAAAATTACTACTGAAACAAGAGCCTGAGGTATTTGTACATATACCCCTCTTCCCAGCAGAAATTATTCCTCGTGCGTGGGTCTGATAGGAATTAAATGAACGTACTGGTAACTCAAAATATCACAGGCTGTAATACATGTATACTGTAACGTTATTCCGATATTTACCCGCTATTTAAAAATTTATGTACCAAAAGCAATCACGTTTGTAAGGAGTTTATGCATAATTTTTTTCAATCACATCTAAAATCAGTTATTGATATATATTGTATGTATATTGTGAAACCACTCTAGTATAACCTGTTATTACATATCAATTTCAAAATCGACAATACCATAAATATTTTTGAAGGGTCGTAGGTTAACTCAAGACCTATTTAACAGCAATGCAAGTTTTATTATCCACTTCTGTGTACATTTCTCTACTCCTGGCTGAGACAAGCGCAGATGTAGGCAATGTGTTATAAAAGTGTAAATTGAATATTTAACATGTCTACAGGATACATGGTGCTTTAGAGCCTTGAGTTCTTTAACATCAATCATTGATTAACTTAGTGCAGTTACAGCTCTCTCTCTCTCACAGTTGATTAATTCAATGTTGGATTGAAAATTTACTAGTGCACCAACCTCATTCAACCAAACTCAAGGATGTTTAACAAGGTTTGACCTTTCATATAACTTTAAAAAAAACTATTAAAGATAGTTATCAAAATTCATATGCTGCTACATATTGAAGAGGGCTATTCAACTGTCTGCTTCAACAGTTTTTGATCTTGGCCTTTCCTTTGACCTTGACCTTACTTTCTTAAATTAGTGATTCTCTCAATTTCAGAGAAACTTAAGATATTTTTAACAAATCTTATAATTATGCTTCAAGTTTTTATATACATATATATTACAAAATGGTGAGCACTTCCAATTTTCAACTGCTGTTCTTAACCTTTTCTTTAACCTTGGCTTCAAAGACGGTTAAAATACTGGTACATCAAACTTTATAACTGTATTATATTGATGAGAGTTATATACGTGTAATTGTATCAGTTTTGGATCTTGTCCAATTAAAATGAGAGTAGGACCACAATAAACATCCTAGTAATAAACAAAATTTGTTATAATCTTAATTGCTATTTCTGTAGTACAAATCTTAGTTTTTGAAATGTTTGTTTGTATGCTAACTACCTTAGTTTATTTCAACTAAAAGAAAAAAAAAACAAATGTCATCACAATTTATTCAGATTAACTCCATAAAACATATTTAAGACATCTCCACATGGAAAGGTTTTTTCCACAGTCTTATTATCACCTTAGTCCTGCCAGCCTTTGTCTTTTCTGAAATAATGTCCAAAATACGAGTCCTTTGCACTTTGTAGTGTGTGTCAGTTTGATCCAAGACAATATCAATACAGTCTCCAACTTTTATCTGAAAAAATGTCATAAGTATATCAATTGTTTATATCAATGGTTCATGAATCTTCAATTAAACCTCAATTTGCATCTTTTCAGCTTTGCTAGTCACAGAGCAGAAGCACTTGTGTGATACTAAAGCTATCCATTGTCCATCTGTCTAATAATTTTTCGCGATTTAAATTTAACGCGAAAGTGTAGACACAATTATGAAAGGTATCAGGGTAGCAATGTGGAGTATTTAAGAAAACACAACCCTAAACAATTTTTTAAACTTTTTGATAAGAAAAGAAACAAATCAGAATCAAGTGTATCAGCAGAAGTCTTTTTTGAACATTTTAAAAATTTGTATCAACAAGATTTAGTACCAGATATTGAAGTAGAACCCACTCTAACCAATAATCAAGAACAAATATACGAAGAATTAGATTATCAAATAACTGAGAACGAAGTAGATAAAGCTATCAGTAGATTGAAAAACAATAAAAGTAATGCAGAAGACGGCATAATTAATGAATTTTTCATTAAATGTAAAGATATAATGACACCAATCACATGTAAATTATTTAACAAGATTTTTAATTCTGGCCATTACCCTGAAAATTGGTCAACAGGATGTATTGTGCCCATTTTTAAGAAAGGTGACAAAGATGATCCTAACAATTATAGAGGTATTACTTTAGTAAGCTGTTTAGCTAAATTATTTACAAGTATTTTAAATCAAAGATTGTTGGAGTGGGACAAAGAATATAATATAACGACAGATGCACAATTTGGTTTTAAACACAATGCAAGTACCATTGATGCAATTTTTGTTTTACAAACTCTGGTAAATAAGATGCTTAGAAATAAGAAAAGATTGTATTGTTGTTTTGTTGACTATAAAAAAGCTTTTGATTATGTTAATAGATCTAGTCTGTGGATGAAGCTTAAATTATATGGTATAGATGGAAAAATGATGTGTATAATTAAATCACTTTATCAGAAGGTGAAAGCATGTATAAAACATAATGGAGAACTGTCAGAGTATTTTAATATTACAACCGGTGTATTACAAGGTGAAATTTTGTCACCATTATTGTTTTCAATGTATGTCAATGATTTTGAAAATCATTTTATATCTACCAATTGTCCATCAATAGAACTACAAATGATTAATTTATTTTTACTTATGTATGCTGATGACACAGTATTAATGTCAGAAACACCAGAGGGTTTACAAAATATGTTAAATTCATTGTATACATATACATTAGAGTGGAGTTTAACTGTTAATGTTGAAAAAACAAAAATATTAGTGTTTAGAAACAGTGGACATATTAGAGCTAACGAACACTGGGAATATGATATAGTAGTTAATGAGTTTAATTATCTTGGTATGTTGTTTAATTTTCATGGTAAATTTGCAAAAACACAACAACATTTTGCATCACAGGGAAGAAAAGCCATGTATAGTGTTTTGAATAGAATGAAAGATTTGAATTTTAACGTTAAAACACAATCAGATATGTTTGAGACTTATATTAGCCCTGTACTGTGTTATGCATCTGAAATTTGGGGATGGCACAAAGCTAAAGATATAGAAAAAGTACATCTTTCATTTTGTAAAAGAACACTTAAAGTTAGACAGAATACTTATAACAGTATGGTATATTGTGAATTAGGTAAATTGCCTCTTGAATTGGTCAGGAAAAAGAAAATCTTTAAATACTGGTTAAAATTAAGAAATAGTGCAATTGCATTCTTCAAGCATGTCTACAAGAAAGGTTAGAAAATAATGATGACTGGATTGTAAATATTAAGAATGAATTTTATAGGCTTGGTTTAGTAGAACTATTCGATAGCAATTGTATAAATAGTAACACAATTGATATTTTATATCAGAGAATGTGTGACGAATTTATCCAAAACATTATGTCAGATTTAGGTAAATCACCAAAATGTCTCATTTATCAACACCTGGTAGATAATTTTACCCTTCAGTCTTATTTATGTAAACCAATACATCTAAAATATAGAGTAACAATTACCAGATTAAGACTATCTGCGCATAACTTAATGATTGAACAAGGAAGATATAATAAAACTTTGAGAAATAACAGAACATGTAGTCTCTGTCAGTTAGGTAACATAGAAGATGAATTCCATTTTGTGTTAAAATGTCCACATTACAACACATTAAGACAAAAATACATTAAATCCTACTACTCCCGAAGACCAAGCGTCTTCAAATTGGTACAGCTACTCAGTACACAGAATATAAAAGAATTATGTAATTTAGGAAAATTTTTGCAATTAGCGAATGCCTCAAGAACAGCATCTTTATCAATTTTATAGATTATCAGAAATATTATATGCTTTGCACATGTACGTTGTATGTTTATTCCATTATTGCACGTGTTAAGATGTATGTTTATTTCATTATTACATGTGTTATGTCTATGAGATGTATGTCTCTCGACTTCAATAAAACTGAAACTGAATTTTTCATTACATTTATTTATTTATTCACCAATCAAGGATTCTCAAGAGGCATATACAATTTTAAAAAAACAATATAGTCATGATTATAACAGCATTAACAAGTAGTGGTTGCATCTGATGCAAAATTGGTTTGATCCTCACTTGCAAAAGTTCTCAGATTTGAAATATTGGTATAGTTCACAATGAAAAATAAGCATCACATAAAATATAATAATAATACAATACATAGGAAAAACCCAGCTGCTTTACACTTCAATGAAAAAACAGATAATAGCAAACAAGTAATCATAAAGTTACTCAATATTATCAGGGACCTATATACTAACTATATAGGTCCCAGGTATTATTACAGAAAGTATCACTGTAAAAATTGCATTTGGGATTTAAACATTTCCATGACGTGTATAGATCTAAACATATATAGAAATATGTTTAACGACTTAATACTTATGTCTAAAAATGTTTTATATCTAAACGTGTTTAGAAATTAAACACGTTCTGCTGTAAAGTGCAGAGTTATCTTCCCGGAAATGACACAAAAACAGTCGTATATTTGAACGTTAATTTGAGCGGCCATCGAAACAAAGCAAATCACAACAACCTTATGTGACGTATCAATAAGAGTTACTGACAACCCAAAGGATAACCACGCAGAAATATTGAAAATCATTTGAAAGGCATCTTTTTACTGCAATATATTAAAGGTATGTTTTCTTTTTTAAGATTTGCATTAATACACCATGATGAACAATGTAAACAGTGACTGGGGTTCGTTTATAGACTTGTAGGAGAGGAGTCAATATTGAATTTCATTAAAAATAACTATTTTGATATCAGTACAGTTTCAATACAACTTGAAAAATTTATGTCAACTTCAGTGGGCAGCGTACTTTCAATTAAAATCTGACTTTCTTTCCTACAGGTTATGTGAGTAGTCCAGATCAAACTCCAAGCATGTATGAAAGTACCTGGCATCATCTTCAAGTGCAAATTGTTGTTCTATAATCAACACTAAGAAACATATTTTTATGAAATGTACTGGGTTAATTGGACAATGTTCGACAGTTTTGAATACAAATACCTTAAATCATCCTTGTGCATTTGAAATGGAATACTAATTTTCGGCAGTTAATTACTGATGGGATATTATATTGTTGTGCTTTAGAACTGCTGAAAATTAATAAAGTTTGACATTTTGGTGATTGACATATGGAAAACTCTGAAACCTATTGAAACTGTAATTAATCATCATTATATATATGTATGTAAAAATAAACCTTTGTAATTTTAATTTCAATTTCTTTAAAAAAGCATTTTAAAAACCATTCACGGAAGTTTTGATATAGAATTGTCTGCTTAATTATTTATTTATTTTTTATAATATACTGTATATAATTTTGAAGATGCATAATTTGTTGCCCATCTCTGCATTAAAAATATGTCATGCTGATTGAACTTAAACTTGAGAACAAATTAAATTTGTCTAAATTAAGTACATCACCAATTGTAAAGTGTCTATATATCTAAAACATTCAGTTGCCTTATGATAAATAATTTATATCTGTTAATATTTGAAAATTTTGACAATAATATTATGTGTATTAATTAAGCTCTTTGTGTAAAAATTTACAAGTGTTTATACTTTTTCTGCAGGTAAACTTGTTTGAATTTGTTAAATCTAGATATGTATAATTTCTAAGCACATAAGAAATAATGTGTTTAGAATAATCAATCCAAACACTTTTTTAAACACTTTTTTGTCACCTTCTTTTTTATATATTTAATTCCTAAACATGTAAAATTTCTAAATATGTATGAGAAAGTGTTTAGAATCTAAACACTTATGTGCTTCCATTCTAAACACTTTCTCATACATGTTTAGAAATTTTACATGTTTAAGAATTAAACATATAAATAAGAAGGTGACAAAAAAGTGTTTAGAAAAGTGTTTGGATTCTAAACACATTTCTTACAGTGTATATATTTTGCTGGCCTGGTAGCATAGCATGCTATTTCTCCTGCAAGTACTGAAGTAAACTACACTAATGTAGATAGTTCTGAATAACATTTTATGAGTTTTATGAACTGTGATGTTTTTCCTCCTACAATATTTGGTAACAAGCATTCTACAGAGAGAAACATAATTCTGTATTTAAGTTTTTTTGAGTTTGTTATTTAAAATTTAATAAATATTTTTTTTATTCCTTTAAAATGTTACTCCTACAGTTTAATCAGATTACAATTAAGATTTATATACAAGCAGAACACAAAAAGATACTGTATACAATGTAGTGGATGTATATAAACTTGTCATGGTTATTTAAAATTAGACATTTCTGTGAATCCCTTTCCAAATGCTACTTCCCCAGTTTTATAATTTAAATGCAATATAGCTTGTGATACAAAATTTGATTGTGGATCATTTAATATTCTAAATCATTAATGCCTGGCCTTTCATTTGAAAAAACTTAACTCCCTTTCACCAAAGGATGTTTTGTGGCAAGTTTGGTTGAAATTGACCCAGTGGTCCTGGAGAAGAAGTCGAAAATGTGAAAAGTTTAAAGAAGGACTTACAGATGGACGCTGGACAAATTGTGATCAGAAAAGCTCACTTGAACTTTCAGCTCAGGTGAGCTAAAAAAGATTTATATTAGGGCTGGGTGTTGGCCAGAGATTTTGTATTGTGATACATGTATATTGCGATATTTTTAGCTGTATTAATTGCGATATATATACGAGGGCCGTTCAAAAATTACGCGGACTTGTTGCACAGAAGAAATATTTGACGACATAATCGGGCAAAATTTCACAAATAATATAAAAAAATCTTTACTTATATGGTCTTCAAAATTTCATATAAAAATTTTGTAAATTGGTATTGATTTTGAGTGATTTTTCAGGACATACCATTAAGTCACGGCGCAGCAAAATCTTCGACGTCACAAGCATTATAAAAAATATGTAATTAAGCTTTCATTTTCTCAACATTTTCCTTTGAGTACCTGTATAGTTTGAGTTACCTTAGCTACTCAACATCAAAACACCATTTCTTGTCAAGCTTAAAATCTATAAAACAAGTAAAGAATATTCTTTTTTTTTTTTTAAACCAAAAACTACTTATGAGATATAGTGTGATATTGGTGACTCTCAATCACGCTCTTTACAGTCCGGATAAAGTTAACTTTTCGTCTATAATCTTCTTCCCGTCCTCCCGTATAGCCTTTTTACAGAGGTCTAACTGTCTAAAATTTCAATTTGCTATTTGTGGGCAAATGTCACGAGTAGCCTAGTTTACTACATGTTTTATTATGCATATTTTGGATCTATGCTGCCGATATCTTGAGCATTACACATATTTTAACAAAAGTTTGGTGCGCCGTCAATTCAGGAAACGTCATTTTCACAGTCGTTTTCACGGGAATCGCATCAGAGAAAAATCACTATATTTCTGTTAGTACTTCAAATATTACGTCCAAATTCTAAATACATAATAATAGAACAATTTAAAGGTACATTTGAGAAAATTGTTGAAAAATATCGCGAATTTTAGAAAATCAATGAGTTAAATTTTTGAATCCGCATGCTTTTGCTTCAATTTTTTTGTCGTGCGCCGTACCTCTCCATCAACAATATCAACATACCGATAATTTTAGTAGAATTTTGTTAAAATACAGAAATTTTGCCCAAAATTTATTGGAATCTTTAAGATACATATTTCTGTGAAATATTATAACTATTTGACGTCTCTAAGAGTAAATAATAGCACAGTCCGCGTAATTTTTGAACGGCCCTCGTATGTGTTGCAATATTTTCATTGAAAATTACAATGGCATTTTTTTTTTTTTAATATCAACTTTAATTTACATGCAGGATTGTACATAAATATGAAAAGTAACCAAAAGGAAATTTGATTTTATTGAAGTTATGCTCTGAAGTAGAGCCATAAAACAGCTTCTGTCTTACTGTTTGGTTTATAATAAGCCTTTCTTACATTTATTTTTATAGCGAGCGCAGCGAGCTCAATAGACTAATGTGTAAGAACAGAGGAAATTCGGAATGAAATCTGTACATACGTCAGGCAAATTTCTCTGTGCAACATTCCCAGAATTCCTGCACTACCCAATGTCCTTTGCGCGAATAAATCAAAAAAAAGTAAAAAAAATAAAGGAACATTGTTTCTTACCGAGACGGTAACTTAACGAAATGGTTTTGCCTTGCCTTATTCAAAAAAATACCCCCATGCCACAACACTGGCCTTCACCTTGCCCTTCGGAAATGATACATATGACATCACCGGAAACTTACGAATTTTGACGATATGCTAATTAAGTCATGTCGGTTGCTTCCGTGAAATAGATAAATAAATAAACAATAACTTAAAGCATAAAAAGCTTTCAGTTTGTAGAAATCTTTCAAAGAAACAAAAAATAACTCTGCAATGTTTTTCGACCAAAATTGTGCTAGGTCTATAGTTTAAACCAGACGCTCGGCCGTTTCCATAGGCTCCGACGAGCTCCCTGACGTCGTGTGACGTCACAGCTAGACGAGATGTCTCGTGCGACTTGATGTTTGAAGTGGCTGATCAATTTTTTAAGTGTTTTGATGGTACAACTGTGCTCGCCTCAACGGTCACACCGTAAAACATATTATTTTAATGATAAAATTCCTTAGTTTAATTAAGCATTTTGCCGATGTATTGAAACAACACAAATGTATTGCAATACCATATTTTTTGTCATTGTATTGAAATATACCACATAAATATCGGTATTAAGCCAAGCCCTAATTTATATAGAAATTTAAAAGTAAAACAAGACCAGTTTAGAGTTAAGTTTACAATGGTTACCTGTGTTGCTTTCTTTTGAGGAAGTTTTCCATTGACTAAGCAGTTTTGTGTTGTGAGTCTCTCTTCTGTTTTTCTAAAAAATGAAAAAGTAGTTTGAATTTAAAATCTTCTCATTTTTCATTCTTTTATTATTTTCACACTTTAATATGTACATCTGAACACTGTATTATTAATAACAGCCAGTATATGAAAAAATGTTTGAGGGATAATTTCTTTTAAGTCATAAATCCTTTATGTCATCAAAATTGTTGCAGGGATTGAGTGGCATCATACATGAATTACCGGGTAGAGAGAAATATAAGAGGGGGTTTAACAAGGTTTGAGAAAAAGACAAAAATTTCCTACAATCTGCTGATCCCAAATGCTTTTGTTATAACAGCATCTAATCGAGTTGAGCCAACAACAATCATCAGTTGTTTAGGTTTTGATTTAGCAATCTCATCTTCATCATAATCAGGAAAGGATCTCTACAATGCATTATTAATTCATAAGATTAAAAAAAATCAAAACTAAAGTGCATGGAAAGTTTGTACAGGCCTATTATTTAATTTTTTAACTAAATAGATTTTTACATTAATCAGCTTGGCGTCTGAACCCTCATTTAAACTGTCTCTTTCTTCAGTATCTGTTACATCCTCTTTATCTTGGCCTGTTTTAAATCTTATCCAAGGATGACACTTAGTTGGGTGCTTGTCCAACAAAGTTAGTTGTTTAGTTCGGAGGGGGGCCAGAATACGGCAATAAATCTGGAAACAGTTGTGTAAATGACGAATAGAATAATGTTCGTTGTTTGATAATTGTAATTTTTGTTCCGTTCCATAGAACCTATGTCTTGACATCAGTTTTAAGGCTCGGGGTACACATGATTTCATCTTCGACATCGTCTGTCAGTGTTTAACTCTTCTGCACCGAGAAGGTAAAAATAACATTACGTTTTTATATTTCTTCAGTTTCGTATTTTTCATACCATATGTTTTTTTTTCTATTTAACTGTCGTAAATGTATTAATCTTTTATCAAAAATAAATAATAATTCATTGAAATTCTACTATTATTTAAAACACATAACATGTTAATACTAAAAATATAAGCTAGCTTTACTTTCACCTTCCAAAATTTTGCGGGAACCTGCTAAGATTGAGTTGATGAATAAACTTGAGATAGACAAACGTCAACACAGTAATATGGGTGATATTCAACACCAAGAAGTGATCCCACATAACTCCGGTTCGCCCAAGTCGTCATTCAATCTAGATGAACCTCCTATGGTGTTTCAGTGTGCTCAGTGTAACGTTATTGTTGGGGACTCAACAGCATGGGTCTGCATAGACGATATATCTAGGACAATAACACTTAACAGTAAGACTTGTGAATTATTTTTTAGACGAGATAAAAGTTGACACTTTCACTGTACTTTAGTGTGACATTTCTTATAGGCCTATGCTGAAAAAATTGAACATAATTGACAGAACTTTTTTAAGAAAAATGTTTATCAAAATAGTTAAATCAATGTTTTGATTAGATAGAGAAAACTGATTAATGCAATATACTGTAGCTACTGTAAGATACATGTTAAAATCACTAAATTAAGACCAGAATAATATTTTGTTGGACTTTTGAATAGATAGATAAAACTGATTAATGCAATATACTGTAGCTACTGTAAGATACATGTTAAAATCACTAAATTAAGACCAGAATAATATTTTGTTGGACCTGTAAATTTTATTATAGATGTAACGAGTGCAGTAGTGGAAGAAGAAATGAAGACTGCCAGTTCAGGCTTTGATGCAGGAAGGTAAGTCAATCTGGAATAAGAAAATCTGCCGAGTGTGTTAACATCGGAAAGCAGCTGACTTGCCTAATCTTGAGGCTGACAGGCATCAAAATTAATAAGCAAAATACATGTGGGTGAAAAAATCAAAATTGCAAACTAAGCTAGAACTATAAGATTTAGGGGGTTCAGGTGACCCGACTTACCTGTGTAATCTAGGGCTGTGTATTGAACCAAAAATTTCGATACGGTACGATACGATATTTTTTAAAGCGATATGCGATATATTGGATTCTAAAACATGTCTATCAGAATAGGCTTATAAATCATTTTAATGCATAAATTTCATGATAATTAAGTGATTTATTACCCATTTTAAAGTTCTTGTTTCATTTTCTTTATTAATAACACCTCAAATTAAAACTTTTAATGACAGTAAAATCAACATGTTCAAATAAAATTCTCCTTGTATTTTGTAATAATTGTAAAAACTGTGTTATTTCCTTATAAATTATAAAATTATTGAACAGTTTTAATTCAAAAAAGTGAAATATAATCTTTGGTAATTGAAATTCCCATCTTTTTAACAGAATTAGAGGAAAAACTGTCTGTCCGATACGTATTGGAACTTATTTTTCGATACGATATTTTTCTTGAATGTCGATACGTATCGATATATCGATATATTGATACAGCCCTAGTGTAATCGTGCCATATACACACAATTTATTGATGTTTATATACGTAATTTTTGCATTATTATTCACATTTATCTAGAAATTAAATATAATGAATTTTTTCTACATTGTTTGAACTTTCGTATGATGTGTGTGTTATGTCATTCTGAAAAGTTTGTATTAAAAATTAACCCGGTTGAAGTTGTGCTAAAATTGGAACGGGGTTTCCCCTTTGATGCATGGCACTGTAATTTTGTTTCCGCGGCGTTGATAGCGTCATTTTGATTGGCTTTCCGGGAGGCGATTTTGAAGGAATTAACGACATTGACCTATCACAGGAAAGCTTACATTTTGAAGATCAACATTATCAATGTTGCATCTCAATGCAATGTGCAGAAGTTTATGTATTTTCGTTTCAAAGGAAAGAGGTCGATTTTACTACGGTAAGTAATCGAAATATTTTTATGCAACATACACTGTTAGAAAGCTGAGAAAATTTCCTATCTGAATATTGTGGTTCTGTAATAATTTCGGAAAAAAATTCACCCGGATTCTAATCAAAAGTCGTCACCCCGACGCAACTTTTGAACAGTTTCTATGTACCTTTCAATTCATGCACACTTTTTTATCGTAAAACCACAAGTGAAAATAGAAATGTGACATTAAATAATATTAGGATCGACTTACTGGAAAAAAAAAATCTATGAAAAATATTATCATTTCCTACAATGTACTACACATAAACAGGGACCTTATAATATACTAACGGTCCCTGATATAAATGTACAAATTTGATTCTGTTGCCAGGATTTCCTCTAGATTCTGAAATACATATAATGTACTTATAATTAATAAATAAATAGCTTGAAGTTCTTTTAGGCCCTATAAAATATTAATAATTTTCTTTGTTAACATGATACTTTGTGGTTATTTTTTTTTCAGTGAGTGTAAACAGTCAGACTTCGGGAAAATGCGAGAATCATTCCACGTCATGATTATGGTACCCGCCGGTAGTAACAGATGTCTGGATAACCTTAACACTCAACTTGTCCAAGAAGCACGGATAATTTAGACTGAATATATACAATTATTGATTGATACCGAAATTTGATATCATGTATTTTAAAGATTGATCAATACAAATTTTAAATAAAGTTGTGAATTAACTGTAGTGAATTCTTTTTTCCCAATCTTTGCCATTTTCATATTAATATTGACAGCTTTCTTCTTCGTGATATCCAGACAGAATTCTGACTTTTAGTGAGCATATTTGATTAAGATCACTATTTTATAAATCTTCTGAAAGTAATAAATTGTAAATATTTATAAAATTTCATTATTTTTTTCCTAACTTAGATTTTGAAAGCATTTTATCAAAAAGACTGTATCGGCCATTTTCACTACTGGTGGCCATATTGGATATTTTGCTGCCATCTTGGATATTTTTTTAGCTGGCATGGAAACAGAAAATTAGGGCTTGCATAGACCTTTCCGAAAATATATAGTTTGCCATACTTCCAAATAAAATTAGACTCGTTACTTAAAAATCTGCCTAGACTTATCGGATTTTTCTTCCTTTCATGTGCCATCAATAGGTACTCTTTAATAGTTAAATTTTCTTACATAAAATAGCAGTATTCACAACATTGATAATTTCATAACTTCTGTTCTACTTGGAATTTTTTCACCAATTAAAGTTTTTTTATATTTCTGAATGTGTATGTGTTTGAGCTAGAATATATTTATTTGAATATATCTCATCGAAAATTTATACCTGAAGCCCCTATAAGATTCATAAAAGAAAATTAAGCGAGAAAGATGAGCTTTCGCACTGTGTCTGGTTTTTACTTTTTTGGCTGTGGTTTAAAATTTATTCAATCTTTGTCTTTTGCACATAAATGATGATAAATCCTTTGAATGTCCTTTAAATATATCAGCATACATGTAGTTGACTCTAAAAGAAGTTGAATGGTCTGATATTGGACCAAACATGGACTGTTGAATACATTTTCATTGTAGCACTTACTACAAGATGGCCTGTGCCACGTGTAGAGAAGAAATTGGACGGAAATATAAGGGTGCTGTCAATCACTTGGACTCAGCAAGAGGAAAATACACTCTGTTTGTTGACAAGTTATCCAGGTACATTATATTGAGAATGTATTTTAATTTTCGCTCTCTTTTGTCAAGTAAATAACATTATTGTCCACTTTTTAATTGACTATAAATTTGTAAATGATGTAAAATTTGCAAATTTGACAAATAATGCATCATACGTAACATACTTACAAAAGACATCTCCATATGAGTGAAAAATTCAATAGGCACATTAAACAACAAACAAACTTATACACGGACATTGTGTGTAAAATGTAGATGGGCTGTGTATTGGTAAAAAATACTGACAATATATTTTATAATATTTAGTTATCAGATTGGAAGCTATGACAAGGAGAGAAGTGAAACTACAGACATGTCTGACATTCTCAGTGTGGCAAACATCAGAGATATACATGTTCAACTGTCTAAGGTGGGTGAATTATCCAAGTTGTATTGTTGTTTGACCAAGCAGCTGTCTACTAATGGAGAAAAAAATTAAATATGACAAACAGAAATGAAATCTGACAAAAATATATTTATATGAGTTGACAGTTGAACATTTATCATATTTATTGTTGTAAAATTTTAGCTTAGGACTCATCTAAGTTTCTAATAGGCTGACCTGAAATCTTTATTTTCTATCAAACAAGATGATGCAAAGAAGATAGGCTCTTACACTGATCCAATCAAAATTTATCAAGTATGAACCTTATTTTTACTTGTATCGTACAGCTGACAGCCATAATGCAGGGGATGAATGACCGAGTGCTGGCCTTGGAGCAGGGGTACCAGACAGGAGCGGGGGACGATAATATGAGTGTGAAGAGTCTGTCCTATCCCTGCAGCAGTTATTCCAGTGTTCCCCCACGGTTCCTTTCTCCCACCCATCAGCCTAATCGAGTTTTTTCTACAGGACAATTGCCAGTCACACAAATTTGTAATAGTAAGTCAAAAGGCAGATACATGTACTTGCTGTGAAGAGTTCTTAGTGGAGTGATAATGAATTGAATTCTTCAAATTTAGATTGTTAACATGAAAATGATTTTTTACTTCATGTGTCTGTCTGTCTGTCTGTCTGTCTGTCTGTCTGTCCGTCTGTCTGTAAACAATTTTTCAAAACGCTACTCCTCCTACAATTTTAGTCTGATTTCAATATTACTTGGCACACAAGTAGACTACACTAAGATACATAGAATAGTGCATCGGTTTTTGATTTCGATGAACGGTGTTGCCATGGTTACTAAAAATAGAATTTTTTGTGAAATTCCTTTAAAACGCTACTCCTTCTACAGTTTTGGTCTGATTTCAATATAACTTGGCACACAAGTAGACTACACTAAGATACATAGAATAGTGCATCGGTTTTTGATTTCGATGAACAGTGTTGCCATGGTTACTAAAAATAGAATTTTCTGTGAAATTCCTTTAAAACGCTACTCCTTCTACAGTTTTAGTCTGATTTCAATATAACTTGGCACACAAGTAGATTACACTAAGATGCACAGAATAATGCATAGATTTTTGATTTCGATGAACGGTGTTGCCATGGTTACTAAAAATAGAATTTTCTGTGAAATTCATTTTAATTGCTACTCCTTCTACAGTTTTGGTCTGATTTCAATATAACTTGGCACACAAGTAGACTACACTAAGATACATAGAATAGTGCATCGGTTTTTGATTTTGATGAACGGTGTTATCATGGTTACTAAAAATAGAATTTTCTGTGAAATTCCTTTAAAACGCTACTCCTTCTACAGTTATAGTTTGATTATAAAATAAGTTTTGCACAAAGATACATAAAATAGTGCAATGGTTTTTGATAAGTACAAACCAGTAGAGCTACAGTCTCGACAGAGACTTCTGGTTATTTATCTGCTCTTTTTTGAGAATCTTTTCACTTTCTTTGTGGCTTATGAAAGGATATCAGAAATTCAAGAAATTTCATTTTATTTTCAAGGTGAAGGTCATGGCCACAGCTTGAAATCAGGTATTTTAAATCTATAAAAAAAAAAAAAAGTACAGATCTTTTAAAATTTTCTGTTTTCAGATATCAAAATTTTCATAGTTTATTTCTTACTTGAGCCAAAATTTAAAGTTAATTTTCTTTACTTTCAAATTTCCAACCTACATCTTTCCATCATCTGTCCCTGTATTATATTTAAGATTTCGTAAACATCTTGTTCAAAGAAAATTTTGAAACAGGACTGTTAAGAAAGTTAATTTTCATGGTTTTGAGGGTTTATAAATTCTTGTTGTAGACGAGTCTATTTTTAAGAGACCACAACTCCGACATCCCCAACAGCATCCAGGTCACCATGACAACTATCCGGAGAGTGTACAGAGTACATATTCCCACCTGGAGCACCTCCACAAGGTCGACCAGCAGGAGCGCCCCCTGGGAATTGATCCAGACGACAGCTTCCAGAGCCACAACAACTACGTCAGAAACATTCACAGCAGCAAGACCAGGCAACAGAGACGCAACTCGCTGAATCTGGAGACTGCACAGCACAAAGAGAACGTACCACAAAATTTCAGAAGGGAAGAGTTGAGTCAAGGGTTTAGAGGGCAGAGAAACTTTAGTTCAGGTAGAATGAGTGAGGACAGTAGAATTAAAGAGGAGGAGGCATCAAATAAGGGATCAACACCTCGAGGGAACTTAAAGAGAAAAGAAGTTCCCTCTGGTGACCCTCTGCAGGCCATGATGAGCAGACGACACAAGCGGAGAATCTGAGTTGTCTTAGGGGTTGATGAGGCATAGGTTTATTTCAGGGTAATCATAATTAAAATGATCTGAATGTTTCTTATTTCACAAACCCTCAAACAAAGTAAATTCCAAAGTCTTTTTTTCCCCTTGGAGAATTGCTTTCCCTCTGGTAATTTTTTCCCCAAAATGTCATAGTAAGTTGTTTCAATTTGATTCTTTCCTTGTGAAAGGTTTTCAGAAAAATTTCAGCTTAACAAAACACAGATTATATGTAAATAAAATTTTGTTATGAAGTAGTATTGATTTGTAGTTAGGGAGTTTCTAACCCTGATTGTTTCAATTTTTTACAGTTATTGTTATAACAGGCATGCACTTATGTTTTGTTACTCATGTATTATAAAGTACATATCATAAGGGGAGATGTATAGATATGCATCAGTAGATTTATATATGTATATCATCCCTTACCCTACTATCAAAATGTTGTCTATCTGTGCAGGATAGGAATACAACATTAATATTTTAAACTACAAGAATTAATTCCATGTGTTTTTAACATTTCCTTGTAGCACATATCTACTGTATGACAACTTGTACATGTTTTCAATGTACTGAGACTTCTGTGGAGTTTCTCGACATTAAGATCAGGGAAAGGACTGGACCTATCATTGATTCATTTCAACATTTGGATTTCATTATATATTATTGTTATTTGTTGCTTATATTGTTTTGTTGTTTATTTTGTTGACCAAGAAAGGTCAGAAATGTTTGAAGATACGTTGAAAGCAATTTAATTATGGTGTTGCATTAAGAAAATTCAAATTTTAATGTACATTCAATAACATGTGTACAATCTAGGCTAACTGTAGTAAAATTGTTTCTGGGTTCCTTTTACATTTGATGTTAAGCAACTACACATAAAAAGTAGAAATTAAACATATATTATTTTGTTCAGACCTACAGAAAACAGTGTAATTATTGAATTTTCATTTTAAAAGAATGAAAGTTAGTCATCATACTAAAACTTGTACTTTACAAGGGAAAAGGGGGAATGGAAGGGGGGTGCTAAAAGAACTATTATATCCATCATTATAAACATGTTTCAATTGTATTGTTGTAAACAGAACAATAAATTTTACAAGCATTATTAATTTTATTTACATTTTCTTGCTTAATATAAATTATAAATGCATGTACACATATTTCAGCAGCACTTGATTTAAAATGTATAATGTTAAAAGAAAAAATAACAATAAATTCTGGAAGTTTTCTTCACACAATATTTCATTTAAATCATCAAATTCTTTGTATTAAAATGCATGCAACCAAATACTCAAACAAATGTGTTAATTTTTTTTTCTCAAAAAGTTGCCATGTATCTTTCATTATTTAAATATTTGTTTCAAGTGTTGTAACACTGATCTAAATGTATTATCTATTTCATTTATTAATTCCTACAGCATATACACATAAGTACATGTGTATTAAATTTATTGAAAACCACATAGTGAATACTGGTAGCTTTATTGTAAGTATCCACAAAATAATTACTTTTCCAGTTGTAAAATACATACAATTCTTTGAAGTCATCTTTATATTCTTTTCCTATAATTATACATCAATATAGTAAATGTAGTAAAATATTTTCTACCCATATCCAATACAACAACACATACAGTCCAATTACCAGACACAACACAAAACCATAAAAAAAATGAATTTAAAAATAAACACAAACTTGTCAGTTTTACTGCAACAAAATATGTGGTACATTTATTCGGTGGTACAATGTAGTAATTAGAACTGCAAGGTCAATGCGTTTGTAACTACACATTAAGCTTGCAGTTATTTTTAAAATTTTAGTCACAAGTTATGCATTTTGTTCCATTCTGTGTGTGCAAAAAGAATGGACACAAAACCTGTTGCTTGTGATGATGAAAAATAATGAAACATGTATATGGCACAATCAATCCTGCTCTCTCTAGATCACCTCAGGTATATACCATACTCTCAGTGAATCAACACAGTGACCAAGAGATCCGTAGTCATACGATGACTAATTATAACTAATACTAAATTCCATACAAACAAATGTATCTGAAAGAAAAAAAAAGCGTCCTAAACCGGCCTTATGCCCTAATAGACCACACACAATACTGTTTAGGGAACACTCTTTGCATCCTGCATATTATATTTCATGAAATTGTCAGTTTCTGCTGTCCCAACAATATTGCTTTGCTCCTCCCTCCTGAATTTGTGCTTGCATAATTACTGATAAAAAGTCCCAAAGCCATAGACCAGGGACCTATATGGGTCCTTGAATAGACCAAGGATTTTTACATGGTTAATATTTCTCTCCTTATCCTCTAATTTTGTGATCTAATCTAGGGCATATTTACACAGGCGCTTGTTTCATACAGTACGCTAGTTGTTTTTTCTTTACTATATAATAAAAAAAAAAATAGCGTACTATATGAAACAAGCGCCTGTGTGTATTTACTACTGATATTAGGTATTTGAAACAAGTGCCTGTGCAAATTTACTACTGATATTAGGTATTTGAAACAAGTGCTGATATTAGGTATTTGAAACAAGTGCTTGTGCAAATTTACTACTGATATTAGGTATTTTTCCCCAAATATCCCTTTTTCCTCTTTTAGGGAGTAAAAGATTTCCCTAACAATAATAAAAAGTTCAAACAATTTTTTTCTTCAGAAAAATTGGAAATTTAAAGTAAAAATTATCAGGATTATCAGAAAGTGTGAAATATGGGTTCCCCCCCCCCCTGTTTTATGCACTGAATGGTTATAAAAAGGCTGACATTCAATCAGACCCCCAGCTGATTTCCACAATTTTTTCAGAAAGGATAGTTTCCCAAAAACCTAAATGAATCCCAGGGGCCACTGCCATACATTTTGAGTTTGGGAGAGCTAGGGGGCTCTATCAACTGCCAAAAATTCCTTGACATGCAATTAAAAAGGGGGTCATAAGACTTTTTTTTATTGAGGGGGCACAACGATATAGAAGCTATGTTTTCTATAGTACAACAAACCTGTTTACTCTTACGATTTCGCCGTATTTTGTACAGATTTTTAGTCCAAATTACGTCTCACGTTTTGCTATTATGAAAGTACGGAAATTGGAAATACATTTGTTTTGAATTGAGCAGTTAGTTTTCGTTATGATTTGCCTCAGTTTCACGCTTTTTTATCTCTAAAAAAAGAGGTTTCAAACACACAAGTGATGTCGGGTTGCCAAGTTCAGCTTACTTCAAATTCAGTTTAAAACGATGTGGTATGAAATGACAAAGACCATGTTATTTAACCATGTTTTAGTTTAGTAATCAGAAAAGCAGTTGTCTCCATTAAATATATGAAAAATTGATGGAAAATGAAATCTTACTGGGAAATGCCAATTCTCACGGACAAATCTTATAAAGAATACTGAGAGACAACGATAAGGGTAAACAGGTCTGGTACAAGTACATGTATTCTATATATATCGACAATATTATTGGGGGAGGGGAGGCCTTCCCCCGAGCCCCTAGTTCCTATGGCTATGATATCACCACTTCCCAAACTTTAGGAGAGGTGTAAACATGTATAAATTAAGAAATACTGTCATAGGTCATCAGATGCAATACTGCTTTTCAATACAAGTAGCACCTTTTTACGTTCGGAAACATTGAGAAAATTAAGCTTATATTGAGAGATCTTGATAAATCGAGATCGTGATACTCTTTCTTTAGCCATCCAGACCGTAAAGACGACTAACGCACGTAATACAATTGATGATATCACAACTGGTTGTCACAGTTATTTGATTCCGTCATTCGGGACTTCTCACTGTCTTTCTCTGATATTTCTATCTCCAAAGCAGTATCCATCTGCTCCAATATCTGTAAAATTAAAATATAAGATTAAGTACTGTAGATCTTACGTGTGTACAACAAGTAACTTCTCACACCAGATGTTGTTTGTTGATAAAAATTTTGCTCAAAAGAATCCTGCAAATTGTGAATTAAATATTTTTATTATTTCCTTTATGTTGATAGGAACTAACAAATTAGTATAATTATAAACAACGTTATTCCAATTTTTGATGAAAATTGCATTAAGTTTTGAAATATTATTACGAAAGATACACATGTATACTGAAATCTTTTTTTAAAAATAAAATATGCTTGGTTTCATTAATAGACGATTTACACGTACGGCATGTGTTTAGCCCTATTATTAATGAAAACTTAAAAAAATCATGGAAATTAAAAATTAAAAATACTGAGCATACTAGTATACAAAAGTACTACATGTGTAGTATTACACGCTAGTTTCACGTGTTTTCTATCTACGTTACACCACATTCTTCCCGGATGAACTGGAGAGAAAAACCCCTGGGTTCCGACGATGCTTTAGACACCTCTATTAATGACAACTCTAGCGCTCCATATAAACCGACAACCCATAACTTGGATATCAATAACAGTGTAGAATGAAAAAAAAAAGTTAAAAATTTAAAATACAATTCACAAGTTATTTTTTAAGTTTTTTTCGACTTATTGAGAAAAATCTCGGCTGGGGGTAAAGAGACGCCATGAATGGTTAAATAGGACCAAGGTATTGTGTATGATTGTGTTGGTCTTTATGATTGAATAATTCCAGTGCAGTGCTGAATGAATAACTTTTAAAACTCTCATTGAAAGAGACACATATACCACGTATTTTCAGGCTTAATGTTGATCTCGAAATTGGTGTACTGAAATGGGTAAAAATGTGTCAGTTCTTAATTATAAATAGGTCAATACCTACTATTCATTATTTAATATTAATAGTATCTTACAATTAGCAGTGACTTAATATTTTTATGATGATGACATAAACACGATCCATACAAAATTGTACATACTACATACAAAGGGACAAAGAAAATATCTAGTAATCTCTCAGTAAACTTCCTAATATTTCCATCACAAATCGATTCACATAATTACCTCTTTCCCAGCTTCCTGCCGTCTGTAATCAGCTGCAATGAATCCTAAAAGGAAATGAAATGAAACATTTTACTAAGGATTGAGAGACTGAGCCTGATTGAAGCTAGCATATACAGTTAGAAATATTTGGTAGTACGTGTACATACGATAGGTCATACTCTGAGGTCAATGTCACGAGAGCAAAAAATTGTCCAAAAAGAAGTCTCACAAGAAATGCGAAAATGGTGAAACAAAAGACATAGACAAGGTTAATTTTTTTTTACAAATTCTAGAAGATTTTAGATTTGTTCTATATATTTCTATGTAAAACTTGACTTCCCTATTGTGGCCCCCCCCCCCCATGATTTTAACAATTTAATATCTACAAAAAAAAAATTTCTGTCAAAATAAATATATATTTCTGTAAAAAGTGCATGGTTTTAACAATTTAATATCTACACTAAGGCTTCAAGGCTTTCCTGGCCCGGTGGTTCTTGAGAAGAAGGTCAATAATGCTGGCCCTTCATTTTAAAAATTTAAACTCCCCTTTACCCAAGGATGCTTTGTACCAAGTTTGGTTAAAAAGAAAGCTCGAAAATGTGAAAAGGAGAAATGGAATAATTATATTTGAAAGTACATCCAAGACTAGACCAAATTCTTGTCCAAAAGTAAAGAAATTCCTGATAAGTTATGAAAACTTTTGCAAATAATGCTGGTATCTAAAGAAAGCTCTGGAGAAATGGAATAATCATATTTACAAGTACATTCCAAGCTACATGTACCACTGACCAAAAGTTTAGATGAAAGTTTTGTAAATTTTTGCAAAAGTAGGTCAAAGTCAGGAGGTCAAGTGCATGTAGCCAAGGAAAAGTCAAAAGGTATTCACATGTGAAATATGAAAGTCTTAGGCTAACATCAACCATTCAAAAGTTTATGAGCAATGTTACAGATTTTGCAGCCTGGACAAGAAACATACAAAAATAGAAAGGATAGACCAAAAACCTCAGTGCCTTTGAACCTTCAATACGGGCTCAAAAACGAATTGACGCCTTTTATGCCGGTGATATGAGCAGAAGACTGAATCGATGCACAATACTTACCCGTACATATGGTTCCTAGCAAAAGTGTTCCTGATATTAAGAGATTTGAACCGAACGTCCCCACTTTGTTAATCATTGCTCTACAACCAATGGTTAGAATGATCCCAAAGAACTGCAAAGTAAAGCAAGATCACCTCCGATATCATAAAAATACAGCATGTAGAATCTGAGATTTAGAACTTTCAATAGATGTATTTAGACCCGTATAAAATCATTTTTCACCTACTAAATGTCAGGGAAAAACATTAAATTTTATTTAAGTATAATATTTTATTTATATTTAGGACCACCCGACTTTTATCAATCCCTTACATTATTATAATTATATTAGCAGGACCACTAATTTGTACCTGCGCAGAAGCATTCAGTAAACCGGAAGACGTTCCTTCCGATTCCGGGTAGGTGATTTCGGCGGCAAATTCAAAACCAACGGGAAGGTACCCGGTCATAAAGAAGCTAGTTATATCAACAGAAATAATGATATGAAATCAGTCATTTTTTCCGCTCTGCATATTTTAGATATTTTGTCAAAATGAATTTTGATTTTTTTTTCTGTTAAGAAAATACTTCAATATTTCTACCTTTAAAGATATCTATTCTACGGATCAATAATATCAGTTAAACATAATAATTTATGCAACCTAGTCGTTAGTTATTATTTAGTTAATATTATTTTGGTAAGAAACAATCATTTTCAACAAGTAATATTTATTACGAAATAATTCGAACATTACGTGTATATATTTCTTACCCTAATGCCCCTCCACATAAAAAGACAACCCATAAAATGTCAACATCAAGGGTAAAGGTGAAGGCCACCATACCCGCCATTGACAGGAAATAGATACCAAACGTTGTACCCCTGTAACAAAGGATATGTTCTTATCTTTTATAATAATGATATGATTCACTGATTTGAAAATAACCCGGAGTTTCTTGAGTTTTAAATGTAATTCAGCCGACATGTTCATGAAATCATCATACTAGTACATGTATTCAATATCCTTTCAAATGTCAAAACTTTATTTAAAATGTCTACAATTTTAAATTATTTAATATTTTGAAACGGTGGTACAATGTTTCTGTTTAGCACTATAGTCTTTCTGGATTCTTGTAACCGTTTGTTCATATAAATGTATGTACATGTACAAAAGCTGTCACTCTATATTGTACTTGTATGTCCTGGTTTTGTCCAGCCAGATTCCGGCTACAATTGACCCGCCTACTCCGGCTATTACAATGGTCAGACCGATCTGCCCAGCACTCTCTTCATGACCCTATATTCATAATGAAACAGAAACGTCTATATTAGAATGCATTACGGTGTTTATATTAAGAGCAATTAATTTTTTTCATGTGAATAAAAATTGAACAGTCAAAGTGACAGACTCTTTGCAATTGGCAAAAACACGCTTACAAGAGACAATTTGACAGTGTCATGTTCTTTAGATAACATGGACGATACATGATTGAAAACATCTTCAGATCTGGAGAAGTTTTTCAAAGATTTATTTTCTTGACTATTGGCACTATGGCAAGAACTGAACAAACTTTAATCTGCTGCAGCTGCTTGCTTATCGAAACATCTGATCATTGCCCTATTGTTCTTGAAAAAAAATTTTCTCCTTTTTATCAGCTGAAGTATTCAGTTTGTTTTATCAGTGTTTATTGTATTACACTGATCAAACACACAAGATCGCAAATAGATTCCAACAGGATGTAAAGGGCAGATGATACCAAATATGGACTAAATTGTCTATATTGCTTTTCCGTTTTCCCGACCATGTCAAGTAGCACACGGCGGATGTGACATGTAGGCAGGTGAAGGTCACTCCTCCATGGCATCTGATCCCACTTTTGGCCGATTTTCATTGTAAATGATGCGATTAAAAATGCCAAAAAATCATATACTTTTCTTTGATGTTATTTTTTTTTTTTTTTTTTGTTTTTTTTGTAAACATCTTCATTTATGCAACTTTTTTGACATTTTAAATCACATATTGTGAGACTTGCCAAGAAAAATTAAAACGTATGCGGTTAAACTGATTCATTTTACGTATGTATTCGTTCAAGTTTTATGAAAAAAAATGTATATCTGCGACTTTTTGGACACGTAAAATTATTCCAAAGCATAATTTTATATTAAACTGATGATGCTGTCTTGAGTTTTGACATATATGAACCATTTGTGTCTCCATTTTAATTTTTTCCCTCTGCTTTAGTTATTGGGCTAACTTTCTTGACATAAGTTCAACGCTCAATGATTAAAAGCCAGTCAACATTTTTATGCTTTTTGATAAGAAGTCCTCAGCCCAAATAGATAAGGATCACGTAAATTATTGGCGGTATGACACGTGTATAGATGACAACTCCACAATAAATGTGTGAGACAATTACAGTTACGTGGTATCATTTCTGACCATATGCACTGTATACTCATCTATCCATCGACTTTGTTTAAACAATACTTTTTAAAAATAATTTTTCAGAATACTAGACGAATTATTTTTCTCTTAACGACAGAATTGTTTTGGCCCCCCTTGTTAGTCCCTTATTCTTTGTTAAGAAGTTGATGACTCGTTTTAATATCCCCCACGGGGGACCATCAAACTTCTCAATAGAGCCTGTCCCTAAAGAGTATATACATAGTAAACAGTTGTTGTCTCGGGTAGCATTGAAGCTTCTATTTTTGTGCACTTTCTTTTAGGAACTTTATTTAAATTATGATAAAAGTTATAACACTTTGAATGTTCTTACCGGGAAGTAATCTAAGATGATTGGATTCAGTAACGTGGAAATTGCATAATAACATCCCGTATTTACACCTGCAGAATGAAGGATATTAGCTATAATATATGTGATCTATTATTATTGTTTAAGGCGCCGAATACATGTTACGGATTTACAGAATCTCCTTATTTACGTATAGACAGATATAAATAGTACGCAATTTAGAGGAAGATTTTCTCCTGTTCTTTACAGTCTTTCTGCTAGAGACTACATCTTATTAATGGAACATCAAATATTGGTTTACAAAATTACAGAATTTATTTATTGATAATAAATGAACTTCCCTGGCTTACCGTAAGTTATTGTGAGGATGTCAAATCCAATATTCTTGAAAAGGTTGAGCAGTGATTTCCCATAATGCTCTTCGTGGACATTCTGTAGGGCCATCATTTGTGCCTTACTCGGGGGATGTTGGGGTCTCTCCTTAAAAACTTCCAAATATTACATACTCAGCATTTATGTGTCTACAATAATGGATATAAAGTCCAAGGTCAAAATTTCATACAAAGCACAAAATGGTTTCCAAGTGATGACTTTACTTGTCTTTTAAATTTTAAAAAGGACTCCTACTAATTTCAAGATGGACCAAAAAATATATATTCAAGGTCATTAATCCATCTCTAATACGCATACAAAAGTTTCAAGATTTTTATTGATATATTCAGTACAGGGTCAAAGGTCAAGGTCACAAACGTGTTAGGTCTGCCACCATTGTTTCAAGCCAAAAGTTTTTGTATCGATTCTATTTGTAAAAGTGTGGACACAAGACATGTGGCTTGCGACGTTCCTCATCCACCTAATTTCATACCGGAGTGAGGAAAGGAAAACGTAAGACCTTATAATAGGTTGTTTCTAAAATTATGGTTAAGTTTTTATAAGACTTACTTATTATAACTAAGATGAGAAGCAGGGTCATGTAACCAGCTCCACCATAAAACATGATACTGAGATCGTCCCCGATGTCCTTAAGTGAGTCGCTGTTTGGAACTAAGATGGGTGGAACTAAAAATCCTATCGCAACGCCTACCTAAAATTCACAAGAAAAACATGAATGAATTTCAGGGTGGACATAATATTCATGAGACACGATGACTATAACAGGACATTCCTCAAACAAATGTATTTTATACGGGTAAGTAGTACCTTAAGCTTAGTACTGTGCATCGACCAGGAAGTAAAATTATCTAGAATACATTTTTCTTCCGAAAATACCTGATTTCCGAACACTCCAAGAGAGGTAGCTGTTGAAACTTCGTTGGGACCAAACCATACAGCGGCAATTTTGGCGGGAAGTCCAAGAATAAAGATTTGCGCAATGGCGCAAATAGTCTGAGCAAACATAAGCACTGCAAAACGATCGGGGGAAATGCAGGCCACCTTCAACCACGCCCCAAGAGCGTTCAGGAAAGCCCCAGCAATGGCGCAAACTCGAAGTCCCTTCTTATTGAGTAAGAAAGTAGACGGGAATATGAGTGGAATGTAGGCTAACATATAAATCATAGACAACCAGTCCACGGTTGTCTCCCTTTGGAATCTGTCTTCTGGAAGACTGGCGTTGTAATACTTTGTGATGATGTTGGCAATAATGTTCAAATGAATCCATTGATAAGCATTACTCATGGAGTAGAGGCAAAACAGACTCACAATCACCCAGCGTCTTTTGTATACTTTTGTAGTTGGAGAACCCTTAGTTGTGTGGTCTGTCCAGTTTTCGTCAGGTTCTTTTTTCTGGACCAGAATCGGTTGACCTTGAGGTCCATTATCAAGTTCAGGAAGACTTCGGCTGAGCGCATTACCTGTAGACATTGAGAAAACAACGTGTTGCAACTCAAAAACAATAAACTGTATACAACAAATGGAAATGACAAGAACAGTTATAGATCCAGAAGCCAAAACATAGCTTTGTCAGAACAACACTGCATTGACGTGCGGAGAAATATTACAAAGATAGGGGGCTGATAAAAGTGCAAGGTCAGAGATAGGAGGTAACTGTCCCTTCACATAGATATCGTTTTGTTATGATAAACCCGAGCGGTCACATAGTTACAAAAAATTGAGGTGTTATTGACCACTGCTGGAAAATTAGAACATGGGATTTTTTTTGGCTAATTTGTTCAGCGTTGCTCGTTGGCAAATTATGAAAATGCTTCTATATTAAAGGGCAGTGCAATCATGACCTCTTAGTCAAAGACAACCACATTTTAAATTACAAGTTGTAATGATGTAAAAACTTTTAGAAAAGTTCATTTGTGCGTTGTCATTTGCCATTTCACATCCTTTTCTGGAATGGATATACATCATATACAGCTAGGTGCTTGTGAACACCGATATCCAAATGTTTGAAATGGATCAATGATCTGTCCAGTCCTAGCCCCTGAATAATGTCAAGAAATTTAATGTACTTTTAGTAAATTCTTAACATATAATAGTAGTCGTCGCCCGCTTGGCGCAGTGGTAAGAGCGTCTGTTCTAGAGTTGCGGAGTAAGGAGTTGATGCGTGTTCGAATCCCACTGTGGGACTTGGAGACCGATCTTTCTTATGAGACCGTATAAACCGGGGTCCCGTGTCGCAGTAGGCGCTGGCATGAAATAGATCCCTTACTGCTCAATGAAAGTAAGTGCTGAATATAGGACAAAATATTCAGCTCTCAGTCATGTTGAATTTTTAATTTGATTTACATGACATCTCCACGACAAGAGGTGGCGTCTCCATATGAGTGAAAATTCTGGAGAGGGACGTTAAACATCATTTAATCAATCAATATCAAAGTCGTCATCTCATATAGATGGTGTGGTGTGAAACTAATTTTTACAGTACATGTGAGTACTTTAACCCCCAACCGCCCCATCCTTTGTCAATTAATGTGGAAAAGAAATAATCCTTTACCTTGAGAATACACAGATAAGATGATATGCAAATCAAATTATGTGTTTTTTAAATAAAGGAATATTGTAGGATTGTGTACAATTAAAGAGGATTTCTTCATATTGATTCTATCCTGACATTGGCCTTTCTTCAATGTATCAGAGAGATGAGAGAGTCGCTTTCTATACTTTCCAGACCAAAAATTGATTAGAGATCGGAATGTCCCATCATATAGTGTACATGTATATTCTATACAGCTGTAACGTGACGTTATTCTCAAAGCCAAAAATTAAAAATAAGCCCTTGGGCGGATCCATGAGTACGCAGACAAATCGTGTGTTGCAACTTATTAAAACTAGAAGTTAAGAGAGCACTGCTCATACAGAATAATACCCCACTTTCATGTAAGTATAACGGCAAAGTCCATGTTTGTTATGGGACCCTCCCCTCCACCATAAAAAAAAATCGCTGATCTTTTTCAATGGTGTAGGATCGAGTTGTGAATGTGATGTACCCTCAACCCTGCTAGACAAAATGATATACCCCTCTTTCACTATACACATTGTACACGCCTCGCTTTAATGCTTCACCTCTGTTAAATATTGTTGACATATATGTCCCTGTATTCATAGTTTGGGGACAACGGTATTTGGTTTGTTTTTTGTCCGTACAAACTTTAACCATGTTAACTGCGTTGTCCATAACTTTTGAAAGAGTATAGCTAGGTTTTTTAAATTAACTTGAGTTTTCCTAGTCCGAAATATCTGACGTTTTCCAGGCTTTTTTGCGATTTTGATATTTTACGTGCCCTAAGGCAAACGACAGAACTGGCGCCATTACGAAAACTGGAAATTTTGCCGTCTGCAACCGGAGTTCACTTTTAATATAAACTGAGAAATTCAAGCAAAAATTGGTGCTTTAACGGACATATTAAATGCTGTTCTGTCCAACTTTGGAGGGTTATTTCAAAGTTGCAAATTATAAATTTTGGGTTCAAAATGCAAATTTGAACCTAAAATTTTGACAAATATACGGAAAACAACCTAGAAACAGTGATTTTGAAATGTGACTTTCCGGAAAATTGTTTTCTCTAATAGGTCAAATCTTTTGTTGTAATGAATACGAACCTTTGTTACCTTCGATCACCTTTATATTTGAAAAAAAATAATCGTAGCATAATTTTTGAACGGATGACGCTAAGGTAATATTTTTTTCATATACTGTGCATTCCACAATTTGATCCTTTACATACACTATACAGGACCTTTCGACCTTGAATTTGGTGTTGACTTGTACATTTTTATTTAAAACATGCATGCATGTTTAAGAATGACTTGAATTTTTGCCAAAACTTCTGAACTGTTGGTGCTAGGGCTTTCAAATTTCACAGACATATTTATTTTTTATATTTATTTATTTTTTTTTTTTGTAATAGTTTTTTCCTCAAGTATCAATTTTTACCTTGTGTCGATTGGCTTGCATTTTAGAAATTTTAACCTTGACCATAAGCTTCCATCATGCCATGCGAGGGCATCTGTGTTTCACAATCATGTCTTGTTTATTTCGTATTCTTTATTTATTCACATACTAATAATTGATTCCATTAGTAATAATAAAAACTGAGCTTTCCTCTTTATATATCGGAAAACACGGTTACACATTTATAAATCTATTTTTAAACAATATTGATTCAAAGAACGTGTACTACGTTGAACTTTTTTCACACGAGTTACGCCCCGTCATGATCTAGTGTAACAGTTGCATCACGCAGATCTAAGTAAGGTATCTCGCACGAATTAAATAATCAATTTGATTTATAAATGGTATAAATTCAATAAAGCAAATTAAAAATATATACGTTTGAACTTTGAAAGGGTCACTTAAAGATTTAATTACTTATAGAGGCAATATTTTGTCGGAGAGGGTACTAAATTTTATGAAATTAGTCCAAATTCATGTAAGGAGGAGGGGGAGGGGGGTATTCGGAACACACTAGCGACCATTGCTAGTGGGACAACTAGTTAGAACTAGAATGAACCAGTTTTATATAATCTCCCCGTGCATGTCTCTTTAAAACACATGCATATATCATATGCATATTGGAGATGACATTGAATTGAAAATGTATTAGTAAGTGGCGGATCATTAAAGATCGGTATGACAGAAATAGGATCTGCACAGCAGGGAAAGGATACTCCAATATAAATAATTACACAACACGGATGTGTTCATTACGAATTTCCTTCCTAATCCTGTACTAAAGAATTAAATCAATATTTACAATAAAATAGGGCAACATAAAAAAACGAACATTAAGTAAATATTTTAAAAAAGCATTGCTGTTCAAAAATAAGGACTACAAAATATAAAATAACTGTAAGATGCAATCAGAAGTGACTCTCCAATACTTACGAAATATAGCCATGCTCACAACACCGGGTTCGATGTACGTTTGTTGTGAATGCAGACAGTTCCTCAATCAATTTGTGTTGGTATGTGTACGGAAGCCCAGATGAAACATTTTACTTGGAATAGTTCAAATCAATGTTAACTATATTTAAAAGAAATTTAGAGTTGTTTCCCTTGCTAGTGGGAGTCTCATACCCTAAATTATGTAGAATTTTCCGGAAAGGGAATTATAGGTTAATTTCCACCTTCCAATTTGGTTAATATTATGGTCATGTATATATTCAACAGGGCTTGTTTTAATCATATGGGTTCTACAAGCAAATGTAGATCTTTGACGGATCCAGATAGTGTGGTTAATTATGTGTGTGTGTGTGTGGGGGGGGGGGGGGGCTACTACACCCAATCTGGACCAGATACATTTTATATAGGCTGCTTTGTCACAACTAAAACCAATAGCAGTCACTAGCTGCCCCCCCCCCTCCCACACACAAACACACACGAGCGCACATCCTGGCCATTATGGAAAGGTTTTCGTTTTTCCTAGTGTAGTTTTTATTATTTCTAGATTTCCCTCTTATGAAAGAGAATTAAAAGATATTTCATTTTTAAAAGAATAGAAAGATTATAAATAAATAGTTACACATAAGTCGGTTAGGTCTGTTTTTATATGAGTATATAATCAGGTTATTAATTACACTCTTACATGAAAATAAATGAAAATTTATAATAATATATCTGATTATGAACAGCAAAATCGAGATATGCAAAAGATAGATTAATATACATAAATCAATGACATACATGTATATCTAAAATATTAATTGCTTTTATCGAAAGCGCGAGGTAGATCACAAGATCTACAAGAATCTCGGAATTCTGAATTAATTTTACATCTTCACTATCCCAGAGTTTCAGCTTTTCTGGCCCACTTGTTCTTGAGAAAAAGATTTTTTAATGACCCCATCCATTTTGTCTTTTCTTGATTATCTTCCCTTGTAAGGAGTCTTGTCCCTTCATTTTAACAATTTAAACTTCTCTTCATACAAGGATCCTTTGTGTTAAATTTGGTTGAAATTGGCTTAATGGTTCTTAAAATGAAATTGAAAATGTGAAAAGTTTATAGACAGATGATCGACGGACGACGGACAGTGGAGGATCAGAGAAGCTCACTCGAGCTTTCAGCTCAGGTAAGCTAAAAAGGGAAGTAAATGTACCAGGAAACTGAACTTTTTTTACTCGAGATGTTCAACATAAATAAGAAAGATATGTTGTTAAATAAATCAGTGGGAACAAATTATTTCAACAGATTGGTTACATCACCTATGAAGGCTGTCGATATTATAATCCAACTATCCACCCCATTCCCCAAACAAGCACAAAAACCAACAATTAAAGAATGGTTCAATTTCATTTTACATTTGAATTATTTTACATAAGTTGGTACAGCGTATAAGGTTGACACTGATGAATGACATTGATAATGTTTGTGGATGATTTTTATAACTTGGTCTAGATCTTTTATTTATTTAATTTTTATAGGTTGATGACAGATCTTGAAATATTACATGTTCTAATGTGAACTACCGACCCAATTATTAATATAATGTACAATTATTAACGGTTAAAGTACGTGGACTTTGTACTCCTGGGAACAACTGCTGGTTATTTAATTAACAGACTTTTTCGTGTAATAAGATCAGTACAGTGGACCATTCGGGATTTTAATTAATATAGTGTACAAATTTACTCCGTTACTGTAGAATAACAAGAGGAAAACGCTCTAAATCTATGCCCCATGCTTGAGAACCAGGGGGTATTATATAAATATTGCATGTAGTTGAGTGTAACATTGAACATTTTTACCCCAAGAAAACCATTGTCAACCGAGGCGCAGCCGAGGTTGACAATGGTTTCCAAGGGGTGAAAATGTTCATTGTTACACTCAACTACATGCAATATTTATTATATTATAGTGAATGTTTTACACAAATACATATAACTGAACCGAGCGCGCATAGACTCTGTGCAGTCGCTATTTTTTGGAATATCACCCGTTGTCAAGCAATGTTGACTGTTGCTACGCTGGAGGGCGTGGCTTCATTATTCAGTGGGTAATAGTATATGTTTCTCGACCAATCAGATTCAACTAATTTACATGAAAGTATAATATATACTATATAGTGATGGGGTTCCAGTCCGTCCGTTTGTTCGTCCGTCCGTTATATCACTGTTTGAAATTTAATGAGACTTTCAAATATAATCTTTGTTACATAGTATACCATTGTAACCTCCCATTTTACTTTTACTTTATTACTTTATTTTACTTGCCGTATAAGCAATCTTTAAATCTCAACAAAAGCGGAAAATGATATCAGATACCGAAATATAAAAATGATAGACTAGGAAACCATATATTTTTAGATAAGTTCTTGTGTTTAATAAAAATACTCATAGCTAGGTGGAGGGGGGATACATAATACATTCGTCGGGCGCCTGTGATTTTGCTCTGGGAAAGCCAAAATATGTGTCCGATCCAAACGTAAAATTGGTGGTGACTATATATGGCACTATATAATTAAGATTCTGTGAAAGCCTCGTTTAATTTATTCCATTCAGTGGTAAAAGAGAAGTTGCGGATAAGAGATGAGTACCCCAAAGCGTAACAGACTGACGTACAGACAGACACCCCGATCACTACATACACTCCTACTGTTCTGGCGGGAGTATAATGAAATCGTCTTATTATACCATTATCCCCTCTTGAAAAGCGGGGGAGGGTGGGGTTATAGTGATGGGGTGTCCGTCCGTCTGTTTAGCTGTAAGTTCGTCCGTCCGTAAGTTCGTCACGCTTGGGGTACCCAACTCTTATCCACAACTCCTCATATCAAAATAAAATTGGAGGTGCACAATGGCATTATGTAGTAAAGAATTTTTTAAAGTATACCATTAAATTTTATTCAATGGTGTAAGAGGAGTTGCGGATAAGAGATGGGTAGCATTCAGTATTAAAGAAAGAATATTATGTGGTAAAGAATCTGTGAAAGTACCATTAATTCAATATTATTGAAAGAACGGCAGTGTCCATGTTTTGCTATTTGGAACCCGAAATATGTGTCTGATCAAAAAGTAAACAAGCTAATTCAGAGAATTCGTGTCCCCCGCTTAGGGAAAAAGTCGGATCCCCCTGACTGAATTTGTAGAATTATTAAATGTATACATGTATACTGAAGCAAATAAAATACATGTATGTCAATATGCATATAAAGATTTGATTGCTTATTCTGTATTATGTGTATAGAAGATTCTTTTTATATAGAATATTTATCACACTGTAATGATGATTTTATAACCTCATAAATTTTTTATTTCACATGCTGAATACTATCATTTAATAAAAAAAAAGAAAAGTATTTAAAAAAAAAAGAAAAAAAAAAAGACAGGTTCGACCGAGATTCGATCCCGGGACCTCTCGCATGTGAAGCGAGTGACATAACCACTAGACCACGGAATCGCTCTAGCCGGTATCAAGTATATGCAGAACTAAAGTCACATACATGTATATATTCATGTTCGGTATTCTCAAAATTTTACACAATCCATGGTGTTTGATTTATTTAGCCATTATTAAACAGTTCTAATAGATGTAATAAGAACATAAAGTCCGCCGAGAACCTGTTTTATACGCAATAACTCTCCTCATGCCCCTGCGCTAAAAATAGCGACATGTAATACTATAAATACTAATAAAACAAACGGGGCGGGGCACTTTGAGAGGGGCGAACAGACGTCCTAGGGAGTTTTGGTATAAAATTACATTGCATAAGCTCAAAATCTTCTTGAAATATCGCCCGGAAATGATACAGACAGAATGTGTAAATTTACGACCTTGAACTTTGACCTTTTGACCTCAAAATCAATAGGGGTCTTCAATAGGCCACAGGGAGTTGTTATGTAAAATTTCATTGCAATAGATCAAATGGTTCTAGAGATATCGTGTGGAAACGAAAGTGTTTTAACAGATAGAATTTGCTTATTTATGACCTTGACCTTTGACCTTTTGACCTCAAAATCAATAGGGGTCTTCTTTAGTCCATAGGGAGTTGCTATGCTAAATTTCATTGCAAAGGCTCAAAGGGTTCTCGAGATATCGTGTGGAAACGAAAGCGTTACAGACAGACAGAAAGACGGACGGACGGACGGACAGACGGACGGACGGACGGACGGACGGACGGACAAACCCAAATTAATATCCCCCACTTTTCAAGCGGGGGACAAATAGGAGGTCCATAATATGACACTATGTACATGTAACAAAGATTCTTTGTCATTATAATCATGTGGGCGGCGGGAGTATCATTTGGTGAGCTCAGTGCTCACAGTATACCTCTAGTTTTTTTATATGATCAATAATATGCTGATTTTTTTTACCGTAAATTTTGTATTTACCATAATTATAATAGTAAATGAAAAAATTACTATATATTAAGTTAGCATATTGTAATGGTTGTATTTACCACTACTATTCTCCACGTAAATTTAAAAAAAAATACAATATCACAGTTCTCTAAGTTGCGAAGTTTGTATCAGAAATCTTTGGCTTGTAATTAAATATTGTCATTTTTTTAAAGTGCAGCCTTTGAAGACACGTGGAAAAAGTTCAATAAAAAGAAATTAAGGGTTTTAACAGACCTATAGGCAGTGATGTTATTGATTCGTAGGCGGGTGGCGAAGAACCATTCTCCAAATTCACTTCAATTACACTGACTGCTTTTAAAGTCGATTCCGATTTCGGTATTTTGTTCTCCATCTCCGTATCCCTTAAATTGTGTCCCTCAGTAGACTTTGATATATACATGTAGGTCTATATTCAGGCATGACCTCTTTAAATAAGTAAATAGATAAGATTTGATACCGCTGATGGAGGAGGCAACCAAACAATTTGGGGGACAGGTTATATTTTCGCGTGTCATGGAGTGGACCCTTCACTGCTATCATTTGCAAACTACTTATGATGATAAACAGTGCACAAATAAAAAGATTGATGGTGGCGCAATGTGCATGTTGATTTTCTATAATGCAGTGCAATGAAGAGTTTATAACTTAGTATTACAAGATTTGATCTTCGAACTTCTTTCTACAATGTTTATATTATAATCAATTTATTATAAAATCAAACAAAGGAAGAGGGGCTGAACATAATTTACTTCTATCCAATGTCACAGAAATTTTAAGACACCGAATATAAATTAATTTATCCTCTTACTGTCCTTTAGAATAATTTGAATTTTTCAATTTAAATTTGTCTTTCTTACTAAAAAATTATGATATAAAAGAATTACAACCCGTAACAGAATTTCACAGACAGGTTGAATATAACATTACATAAGTTTGTATGATATCTCACGTTAAATGAAATGATTTTTGCCTTAAAAAAAACATGTACTCATGTATCACAATATAAATACATATTTACAATTGTGCTACATGTACTCAGTATATGAATGGTTCACAACTGGTTTTTATTGTTTAGCCAATTCTTATTGAAAGGAAACAAACAAAAGTAGTGGATCCATGTTTCCACGTTAAATCAAACAAATATCATGCTCATGCAAAAACAAACTGTTTATAACTCAACTTGCTCAAAATCTGAAGAAGAAAAAAATAAAACCATTCGGTATGATGATTCTTCTTACCATTTAATTAAAATTGTAGGGTCCGTAATTTTTTCGTTACTTTTCAATATAAATTTTATAACTCTGAAAATTACAATGGAAGGTCTCAACCCCCGAATGCCACTTCCCCATTTAAGATCCCCTGAAAAAGGTTGGAAAAAATAGTACGAATTTTAAGTTTATTTGTTATAATACACATGTAATATGTTATGCCATTTTGCGCGCTTCTAAAGGATATACTTATACATATCATAACAGCAGTAGATTTTTTTATGAGAATCAAATAAAGAAAGATATTTTAAGCGTATAATAATTTAAAAAGATTTAAATATAGAGCGGAAGTCCAAAAAATCTAAGCATCTATATACTTCACCACTGAAGATATATAAGTATTGTGTCATTGTTTTGCACCCTCTGACTCCCCCGCTTGACCTCTGACCTCGGGAGGTATTTCCCGCTGAGTTGTTTGGCATGTCTGATGTAAAGATACAGCGTCTACACAAAGAGAACTCCCTCAGAGAACCAACATGGTGAGTAGTACTGCTGCAGCCATTTTGTATTGAATCTATTTTTTTACTTAATTTCTCTACGATAAAATGTAATATCTGTAGTCATCTGAATTAATTATATAGCATAATTTATACATTGTAACTTTATCAGCAAATTCTCTTTGAGAAAAGTATATACATGATATATCTTCGACATCTTTCTGTTCAATGTCGCGGAGGAGACTCTCGCTAGAATTCATTAGTTCTGAAGACATGTTGTCTTTTAATCTTAGTTGTTTCTTTTATATCTAATCGAACTTATTTTAGTTTTTGTATATGTTTATAAGTGTACTATCAATTCTTTCATTTAAAAAAAAAATCCCTAACATTGTTTACTAGCTTGTTTTATAATATGATCTTATGTCAGAGAGGATGAGGAACTGAACATCACTTCTTTTCACTGTTTCAGGAAAACAACTTCTAGTACATATGTATATTTTTGTTGATACCGTATGTTACATTGCTTTGCTCTAATATGGAAAATTTTGAAAAAATGAGGATCTAGTAGAAACAACCTACTATTAGATAAAATTATTTTCAATAAATGAAAAAATCTCATCAAAATCGCCTTAAACATAAAAATGCTCTTTGGCAAAATAAAGCAAATCTACATATTTAAAAATCTAGAACTGTAAAATACATTTTACACACATGCTGTCCTCATCCACAGATCCAGACATATATATATATATATTATTTTTTTTTGGGGGGGTATATTTTTTCGGGGAGAGATGGGTGGTCCTATATCGTTAGATTTTTTTTATTTTCAAAAATAATAGTACACATGTACATGATGTAGTTTAGCTTGTTCTTCTGAGAAGTGGTGGAAATTACTATCTTTTTGATTGTACTAAAAATTAATAGTATAGTTATACTAATAAAGAACTTAAAATTTGTGTTTCTATTTCCTATACCTATTTTGATGTTATATACAGTAAAACCTGACTAATCCGACATGCACTGGGAGACGATTTTTGTGGCGGAATAGACAGGGTGTCGGATTGTACAGTGTAATTAATCTACAGTACTATAATTGTATTACAGAAGACGTTTTATCTGTACGCTGTCCTGACCCTGGCACTCGTCCTTGGGGCCCAGTCCTCCGCTCAGTGGAGGGTGACGGACTTCCCTCACCCCGTGTATCAGTCCAAACAGTGCGGTATGAAGGAGTCCTCCTGGATATGTGACCCCAACGGCATTATCTCCTCAGCCGACGGTAAGGGATGGGACGTTTTTATCGAAAACACAGATTTCTAGCTAGCTCCAATTTAATAATACATGTGTATAGGAATAAAACATTATTGTGTAAATACAACACTTATTGTATTTTTTGAATCCGTCTCAAGGTTATGTAATTTTTTGTGCCTTGTTCTCCATTGGAAATTAATGCTTTACGGTGAACAGTGATTGACTTCGTTGTCTGTTTTTAATATGCAGCTGAAGCTTTACAAGAAATGGTTCGGGATACATACGAGTCCACTCAGTGTCCGTGTTCTGAGTGCGCAACCAATAACCAGGGGTATCCCATAATGGTGGCCATAATGCCCCGGATGTACAGAATTGTAAAGTAGGTAAAACACATGTGTTAATTATACATCATGGAAAATTCTATAAGGGGCTTAAAGGGGGATGCATCTTATCCACCACCCCTTCCGAGATTTCTCGGAAGTATTCATTTAGTAAAGTAACAAGAAATTACCATGAACCCCTTTTCCATAAAATAAATGGTATAAAGAGTCGTACAATATATAAAGGAACAGCCTCTCTCTCTCTCTCTCTCTCTCTCTCTCTCTCTCTCTTGGGTAAAGTGAATATACTAGTAGTTTATCCTCAGCTATTCTTGCAATTTAAATTATTGTATATTTGTTCTAATTGTATATTTATGTGTTTTTCTTTTCTGTTTTAGCCGGTCCTCTAACGTCCAGGACGTGCTGTATGATGCTCGTGTGTACGCCTACTACCTCAGTATGTTCTGGAATGTCACCACATGTGACACAAATACACTGGTCCTGTACTCCAGAGATGACGACATCGTACGTTATGGCCTGTAGCAATGGTTTTTAGGGGAGGGGGGGGGGGGGCATAAAAAAGTTGACAAGTAAAATAAAAGTGAAAAATAAACTTTATACACTCTAACACCCTATGTCGTGGGTTGGATGTTCCTCTGTAAATTTTTCAACATTTCTTTTTTTTTCTTTCAAGTGATGAAATTATCATCTGTACAGCAACAAATAATGGAAGCAAGATGTTATCAAATCAAAATTTACAAATAAAAACTATGGCATGCAAAAGAGTGTGCCCAGAAACTTTTTTGATAACAGAGTGAAAATTAATGCATTAATTCTATGAAAATCTTTTGGCTACGATCCTGGGTATAAGCATACAAACAAAGTGTATGCTAATAATACCCATGGATGCTTTCTCATTAACTTCAAATTCTTTTTTATTGCAGACGTACATTATGACATGGAGAAATGCACGTGCACTTCTGGATGACACCAAAGTGCAACAAATTACCCTCAAGAACCGGTTTTATTTTGATGATGCTACCAATCAGGCGGAAATTGGAAAAGGACTTAAGAATGTTGTATTGGATATAAGGTAAAGGTCGATAACTGTACAGGAGTCTGTTCCTGATGAAAAGTATCAAGAATTAACTTAATTAAAAACCTACATACATACACATGTCAACTATATTTTTAATATACCGATCGATGTATGGTAGAGTGCTAAAAATGCTTACACTTGTATTGATTATCAAGAAAGAAACTACTTCGAACACTTGTGATGTTTAATGTTGTGTTTCTTTTTATACAGTGAGGTGTTCAAGGCAAAGGCTCCACGTCGAGGTAGCACCAGAAAGTGATGGAGAAATTGAATGTTCTGACAATTTAATTCATTTTTTTAAAACGTGCAACTTTTTTCATGGGAACTGTTGAATTAATACCGGTCTTTAACTAACTGCAAACTTTTCTTACAAATGATTTTTCAACATTCAATCATAAAAAAAAAACTTGTGTGAAAGTTTGGGTAACTATCAAAAGATTGTTTTATGTAACAGTTTTTGTATTACATTGATGTTCTTATTATTCAAATCTTGAAAGGAGAGCGGGTAGATTTTTACCTGGAAAGGTGGGAAACGAGTTACGATGCATGGTTTCCCTCTTTTGACTATTCATCACAAATCATGTTCAAGTCAGAACTCGGGAATATTTGGGGGTATTAAATGTCAAGTTGAAATAAACTCAATTTCAAGAGGCGCTTCAGTATGTTGCATAATAAGGTATAGTGATACAATGTATGTACTATAAAAGGTAAATTAAATATACAATTATGAAATGATGCACAAGTCATACAGTAACTCTCGAACCCTGGGACTAGAACTGGTAAAACTTGATGCCGTTGACAATGACCTTGCTTGAAACATATTCAAAATTTTGGGTTGATCTCGATAGGCAAAGAGATGGTTTTATCACACTGGTATCAGGGTTCCTAGTTATAAGACTGCATTTTACCAAATCAACAGTACTGAGGGAACCAATGAGATTGCTTCGAGGTCACGTGATGGTCAGTGCTTTGAGGTTCCTTTGTTTACGAAGACGTGCATCCTCATCTCTGTGGAATTTATTAACTTTTAAAGTCATTCTGACTTTGTTTGCTCGCCATTGAATGCGTTAAAACTTGTGGAATAGTTACAGAACTACTAAGAACATTTTACTAGAGTGGTATAATTTCTGTAAATACAGAATGCCACGATCCGCGAGGCGGGAGGTTGATGCTGCCATTGTTGAACCCCATTGTGGGCCAGGCACTGCTTTATCTCATATACCCAATTCTGGGTTTGAGAGTTCTGAAAATACAGAGCCCAATTTTGGGACAAAGACGCAGTCGAAAACCAATTTTGGATCTTTTCACATAGCTGACTGCGAAATTGGAGAATACGTAACAGAATATCCAGCACCCATGCTTCTGAATCGGGATCGGAATGTCAAAAAATGACGACTTCCGGCAAAAACAAAAACAATGCAGCTGGAGAAATGATGCCATCGGCATTGGAGACATTTCTCATGAAACAAACTGAGTTAATGCAGCAAATGATGGTTAATATGAGCCATGTGCCAAAAATAAGCCAGCCAACGGCAACCATAACTAGACCACTGGACGAAAATGAAAACAATTCATACTCAATCGCATTATACAAGGAAAATTCATACTAGACAAAATAGCTGATCATTATTTGAGATCAAACTGAAGAACCGGATGCGCAATCGAGGATGATATTATAGAAGAAAAGGACTCTGATGACTTACTTTCTTCTATGGAATTATTCTATAAACAGGAAGAAAAATGTTCTGGTAAAATTGAAGACAGACTAGCAAAAATTGTAAATGATAGCATGAGGACACGTATTGGAGAAACAAAAAAGAAAGACTTACTGGCAAAACACATGAAACCACAGAACTGTGAGAAAATAACAGTCCCAAGAATTAACAAGGGCATCTGGTCAAGCCTACCAAGGAAAGCACGGGACCAAGACTTAAAATTACAACACATACAGAGTACTATGTGTAAAACTTTTTATCCATTGATACACTTAATGGACAAACTTCTGAAAGCACAGACAGCGAAACAGGGACTTGCACAGACAGATGTTACAGACTGTTTTGCTCTGTGCAATGACACTTTCAAACTTTTACAACTGGGGTTCTCGGAGATGTCACAACGAAGAAGATTGTCACTCAGACCTGAGCTGTCTAACGAGTACAAGGCATTATGTGCAGCAGAAATCCCTGTCACAGATCATTTGTTTGGGGACGAACTAGAGAAACAAATCAAAGAAATAACGGATGCCAAAAAAGTCAGCAGGAAAATCACTGACAAACACAACCAGTCTCAGCGATACTCCCCCATTTATTCAAATTTCAAGAACCGTTACACACAGAACAGGCAGAACAGCTTTAAGTCTCCATCTTATGGACGACATACAATGAACAGGAACAACACCACCAAGAGCTCTTTTTTAGAGAAGCGACAGTTCCAAAAATTTCAACGGAACAAAAAAGAATAGAACAAAACCCTACAACTGTAAGTACTGATACAAGAAACATGAGACTGAAAAATAACCCTGACAATTTTGTGGGGGGAAAAATTTCTTCATTCAGAAATAAATGGTCAGAGATCACCTCTGATCCCTGGACTTTAAATGTTGTATCAGGTTATGAAATTGAACTTGCAAGTGAACCCTTACAAAAATTGGTTCCAAGGAACATAAAATTTTCTATGGCTGAGGAAGAAGGTCTAGATAGGGAAATTTCTAAATTCTTAGATAAAAACATAATTGAAAAAGGGAATGATTTTTATTGTGATCAGTATATATCAACAATCTTTCCTCGTGAGAAAAAAGATGGCTCAATCAGTATTTTGAATTTGAAAAAATTTAATTCAGAAGTAGAAACACATTTTGGACACATTTAAACGATGGACACATTAAAATCAGCTATAACCTAATGAAACAAGACTGTTGGTTTGCTTCCATACCTAAAAGATGCCTATTATTTTAACAAGGGCAGACAGAAAATATCTGATTCATGTGGAAAGATAAGGACCCATGGGATTATCTACATCCCCACGAGTGTTCACAAAACTTTTGAAACCAGTTCTTTCACAACTGAGAAAATTGGGTCATTCAATAGTGTGCTACATAGATGACTGTTTGCTACAGGGTGATTCATTGTAAAAACAACATTGTTAGACACAGTAACACTTATGGATAATTTAGGACTAACAGTTCATTTCCGGAGAAGTCAATATTTGTTCCAATATAGAATTTTTGGGATTTTTATTGAATTCAGAAAAAATATGTGTCAGTAACTTGTGAAAAAGCAGACAAAATTGTCCTACTGTGCAAAAAAGTTCTTAGTAAAGTTGAAATCTCTATCAGAGACTTTTCACAAATCATAGGAAAATTGGTTGCATGTCAGCCAGGGGTCCAGTTCGCACCATTATTTTTGAAAGACTTAGAACATGAAAAAGAACAAGCATTAAAATGTGCTAAAGGTGATTATGATTCAGTTATCAAAATATCAGAATCAGCACGAGACATCTTATCATGGTGGATTAACAATCTCCACACAAGTCTCTACCCTATCAATAGACCCGAACCACATGTGGTGTTAGAGAGCGATAGTTCAGGCTTAGGATCTACTCCAAGGTGACTCTTCAAGCAGGGGGACAAACAGAACAGCAAAACCACATCAATTATTTGGAACTGTTAGCTGGGTTCTTGACCTTAAAAAGTTTTTGCTCTATCATGAAAGACTGTCATATAAAACTGTGCATGGACAATACAGTAGCTGTCTCCTACTTGCAAAATATGGGAGGGACATTACACAACTTGGCACGAGAAATTTGGCTTTGGTGTAAACGTCGAAATATTTGGTTAACTGCATGTCACCTTCCTGGTAAGAAAAATTATGAAGCAGACAAACTCTCAAGAAACTTATCTAAGGATATGGAATGGATGTTAGACAAGACTGTATTTCAAAATATTTGTGAACAGCTTGGAACCCCTGACATTGATTTATTTGCTTCCAGAATCAATACACAGTTGACTACATATGTGTCATTTTTACCAGACCCTACAGCAATTGCTGTAGATGCTTTCAGCTTTGCATGGACAGATGATAAACTATATTATATGTTTCCTCCTTTTAGCTTGTTGGGAAGAGTCATTCAAAAGGTAGAGACAGACAGATGCAAAGCAGTTCTGGTGGCACCTCTTTGGACAACTCAGCATTGGTTCACAAAATTACTCCAATTACTGGTGGAACCACCTATTCTAATTTAAGCGACATCATCTATTAACTCTTCCCATTCCACTGTCAAAAATGCGACTTTTTGTGTGCAAAATATCAGGGAGAGCCTCAGACAGCAAAATATATCGGAGGACATTGCAGACATTTTGCTGTCATCTTGGAGACAATCCACACAACAACAATATACGTATTTCCATAAATGGATGCTAAAAAATCAATTAATACATTTCAAGCATCTGTAAATAATGTTTTAGAGTTCTTATTACAATTGTACAACAGTGGATTAGGTTATAGTGCTGTGAACACAGCAAAGTCATGTATTTCTTCAGTGTTTGAAATTATTAATCCAGAAACTAGTCTTGGTAGCAATAGTTTGATTAAAAGAATGAAATATTTAATAAAAGACCATCATTGCCTAGATATGCATGTCATGGGATGTTTCATTAGTTTTAAATATTTGAAAACTCTTATTCCTGTAAATACTATTAGTCACTTTTGAGTTGGAAGTTAGCTATGTTGATTGCTTTATTGACAGGACAAAGATGTCAGTCTTTACATCTGATAGATATTAGAAATATTTTCATATGCAATGATTTTGTAAAAATTCATTTCGGAGACTTGTTAAAACAATCCAAACCTGGCAGTCATTTACAACCTATTGAACTTGTGCGATACAAACAAGATGAACGCTTATGTGTAGTGAAAACTTTACATTATTGTACAAAATCTTTGCGTGGCGAAGAAACACAGCTGTTCGTTAGCACCATGACACCTCATCAAAAGATTTCCAAACAGACAATTAGCAACTGGATAAGGACTGTGTTAGAAAATTCTGGTATTAATGTAAAAATGTTTAAGGCTCACAGCACACAGCATCAATGAGTGCTGCAAAATCCGCAAATGTACCAATTACGACCATTTTGAATGTTGCCGGTTGGAAATCAGATTGTACATTTCGCATATAATAAGCCATGTAGTGAAGAAAAAGTGAATGTAGGAAATATTATTTTGGAAAATTATTCAAAGTCATGAAATCCAATTGTGTCGCTTTTGTTTTAAAATGTCAATACATCATCATGTTAAATGCATGTTTATGTTTTATTTAGCTAGTCGAAAATAAAAGTTAACTGTTTGCATTTGTTTTTAATATATACAATACATTTTGAATCCTTGGAAGTATTGTCTCTAAAATCTCATTGGTTCCCTCAGTACTGTTGATTTGGTAAAATTAGAAAATTAAATGAATATTACTTGTAAGATGAAATTTGATTATAATTTTACCAAATCAACTTAGTACTGAGGGATCAAATGCCCATCCCATACCCACCCTTTGTATATGGGATGCTGGAAATCATCTAAATCAAAATGGATATTATCATTATTTTTACCTCAATACTTCCAAGGATCTCTGAATACTGACCATCACGTGACCTCGAAGCAATCTCATTTGATCCCTCAAGTTGATTTGGTAAAATTATAATCAAATTTCATCTTACAAGTAATATTCATTTAATTTTCTAATTATAACAAATATAGTTTGTGGTGATAGATCTCAGTTTTGGACACAAAGGCTGTGGCTTGCGACGATAATCCAAGCCATATCTTGGTAACCCTTCAGTAAAATAATACAATTATTAAAACTGTTAATATACTAGTGTAATAGGGTCCGAAGACTTCAGTGGATGTCAAATCTTAAATCTAGTGTCATTAATGTACATGTCAATGGTGCTGACAAGGGGGATATATCATGTAGAAAGGCAGTTAAATCTAGCTGGCTTTGTCAATTTATGAAATGTGCAGACAACAAAAAGTAATATTTAAACAAATAATACAAATTATTGAGAGCGGAGTAAACATCGGTGGTGGTTTTGGGTGCCATAGAAAATACACTGTAGCTTGGCCGACCGGTTACGGTGTAAACTCGCCGTGAAACCTTGCTTTGTTTTGATTGGGTAAAAAGGAATAAACCGTCACGGTAGACAAATCATTTTTTAAATACTAGTAAACGTCATATCAACTCAAAAATCGGTCGATAAAGGCCATTGTGTTGACCAAAGGTGAAATATTCACTTAAAACGTGACGGTTGATACCTTGCTGCTTCAACTTGATTGACAATAGACCACCACCTTAGTTTAGATATCGTTGGTACATGTACACCGAGAACATGATCTATGACTTGTGGATTGAACCAATCGTGATCAGATAAGTATTATACACGTGATGATAGTATTTTTTGCTATATTTATTATTAAAAGTTAGTATACATAAATAAGTAAAGGATGTTTGCAATAGAAAAGTTGTGGAAGACATCATGTTATTTTTCAATTTTAGTCGTTATAGTTTGCCATTATTTTCTTTCTTCGGTAACATTCATCCATGAAACAGTGCACTTAATTTTTGTGTGTGCAATAAATATACATTTTTTTCTATGGATAGAGCTGTAGTAGCTATCATCGAGCTACAGACTTAATTTACCATATACACTGTGCTTGAGATCAAACTTCCGCTATATAGGTGCCGTTTTATCAAACCTATCGATGCAGAGGACTATGATAATATGGGTAGTTTGACAATGAGATCATACAGTCATACACTTTTTAATATCCTACATGATATAAAGTAATCCGAGACAGCAATCGTTTGTCATTTAATTATTTTTAAAAAATGTCAAGGTGACCTTAAGTTTGTATCTTTAAGAATATACAATAATTATATATGTTTGTGCAAAGAAATATTTTCAATCATATGAAAATTAAATAGTGACCAATGTATGTATGAACATTTGTTTTTATCGCTAAAATGAGCCTAAAGTTGAATTCTGAGAAATCGAAGCGGAAGCCAGAGAGGACATATATTTTTACACACTCCGTCTATCAGTCTGCCGTAAGTAATAAAGGTCTTGCTTTATGATGATAAATGTTCTTTTATATATAATATTTATAACTAATAATATAAAACGTACGGTACATAACTTGCTGATATATCCACTTTTAAAAGGATTTGTCTTGGTACAGAGAGGAATCATGATCCCCAATGGGCTTTTAAAGTGATCAAAGTTAAAATTCCATTGCATTAAAATTGGATACACCAAATTAAAATCTCCATGTGCAGAATAGGATTTTGTAATTTGGTTAACATAGTGAGGAATGGACTCATACTTCATTCAAGTTTATATGGTGAACTGATATATAGTCAGCCTGTTTATCTCAAAAGTATGGAACGCCGTCACTGCCTTATAGCAGAACACTACTATTGCACTGTGTCAACCTTCCATTGACATTTTATTATACTTTCATGTTTACTAAAATCTTTCGGTTTACACGCAGTTAACAATCCGTTCGATTACCCTGAGCCTTAGCAACACACGTGACAACGGGTAACACAACGGTAATGCCACATGCGTGGAAATTGTGCGCGTACGGTTCACCGTAGAATTCTCAAAACTTAGTTGCGCGTTTGAAAGAACCGGTTTTGACGTCAATAAAGCTGTCCGATATAGCTTACTTGAAAACAACAAACGACAGACGATACATGCTTGCGAGTGTGAAACATGCTTTAACTGAAACTTTATATGATAAATGACTCTAATTCGAGTATCAAACAAACAATAAGGAGATTAGTGAACCGGTGAGTTGAAAGCAGATATACATGAACGTAAAGACGATCGACGTTTTTTTTTGTCCTAAAGCAATAAGACATTCAGTATAATAAGATTAATGGTGCCTGTGTAGGGTAACATTTGAAATTGCCCCAAAACTCGTCAACCTCCGCTGACGCGTCGGTTGACAATGGTTTTCCTTGGGGTGTCAACAATATTAGGAGAAACATTTATATAATGTCAACTCTTTATGACATTAACCCACCCTACTATTGCATTGTGTCAACCTTCCATTACATTATGTCAACTCTTTATGACATTAACCCAACTATTGCATTGTGCCAACCTTCCATTACATTATGTCAACTCTTTATAACATTAACCCACACTACTTTTGCATCGTGTTAACTTTCCTTTACATATATCAACTCTTTATGACATTTACACATACTACAATTTTATTTCGTCAACTTGCATTTCGTTATGTTTACTTTTCATGACAATCTTAGTCTTTATTAACTGATGTGAAAAGCTATGCCATACTGTGCGCACTCTTCTACATTATGTCGATTCACTATTACGTTATGCGAACGCGGGTATCCTCGGCCTTTATATGAGCATAACGTATTTTCAGCGTTCCGCAAGCACTAAACTGGCGGGAGAGAAAACTGTCGTAGAAGAGATTCTCAGCGATTTCGGAATGACATCTTTAAATGAAAACTTTAAGCGACAAATGATTGACAATCTTGAAACATGCAAAGCCTTAACACTGCGACTGTGAATTAAAGTCACGTCGAAATTCAATGGTGTTTACTTTAATCTGATAATTAAATAAATCAAATATTATGAGTAGTGCAGCAATCATTTTTTCTTTTTATTTTGAATTTTTTTTTTTTTTTTTTTTTTTTTATAAAAGTATTAAAATTTGTAGGAAATTGCATTAGTTTAACATTAAGTTTAGCTGAATTAGTTGAAAACTTTTTTCTATAAAACTATAAAGCCTGAGAGCTTCTCCGCTTTCCGCCCTTGGTCTCCAACCATATACCGTCCCCCTTCCTTGCATTGCCATTTTAAATTATATTTTACTTAAAACCATTTTTTTCCAATCTTTTCTATTAAAGCATTTAAAGTTATAAGGTTTACTAGCTCAATTTATTGGTTTTAAAAGTACGAAAGCCAATAGAAAACAGGCTAATGATGTGGAAGGCAATTTGTGTCAAGAACAAACAACAGAGTGACAACCCTTACCTTACAGCAGTTGCTGAATATAGTAGTGATACACTCCTGAGTACACAGGGACTTGGACAGAATGTTGATGAGATGTGGAACTACTGTGGGATCCTGATAGAGACAATAAGGTCAAAAGTCAAACATAATGCATTATAAAACTAATTCCCAGATCACGAGAAAGGACTTAAAATACGGACATGTATTTTCATCTGAGATAAATAAGTACTTTAGAATTGATTGAATTTATGTGAGCCAGTTTTATTCCTTGCTTTATATGCACACATTTGTTAGAGATGTTATTTCTTTTGACGAATGTATAGTTATGTAAGATATACCTAGTTTAGAGATTCATATTTACCTGGTATAAATCTATCCGAAGGGTTAACCATGACACCAACAGATATTGAATATAATGATTTCACAGCAAGATGAATTGGTACAAACCTGATAAATTTGATCTAATGGAGAATTCTCACTAAGAAATATGGTCCTTAGACATCGTAAGCAGGCTTCAATAAACTTGATATTATTGCTAGATAACCCTACAAAATGCATACCAGTACTTTATACATGTATCTGAAAAATTAGATTCATTACATCATGCATCAAATCATCCCATAATGTCAGTTACCACCATATAAATTTATTCTTTTCTTGCAAAATTGCTGTGGATAAATAGATTTTTTTAAATAAAATATTATTAATTTTGATAAACAATCCCACTACATGTATCTCCATGACAAAAGAACTATGAAGTCTTTTTTAAAAGACTATTTTTATCAAGAAATAATTTTTATGAATTTTTGAAATAAAGGAGTAAATTTACTGATACATCACAATATTAACATTCTGGTTATGTTGAAATAAATGGTCTGACAGCAGTAAGAGTTCAACACTGCTCAGACAGGAATGACAGAATTCAAACCTTTGAGTAGTACTGCCACACAGCCTGAGTCCACGAGACAGCTGATGTTTTCTGGGGTACCCTTGGCCAGACTGCCTAGAACAATGGCCGACTCTGTACGCAGTTCAACTGGAATATCTTCATCAATGATCCATTGTAATAACCTGATAAAACAATGACTTACCAATTAATGGGCAAGCTTCTAACATTTTGAATACATTCATATCTATAACAATTTGAAGCACCTGTTTTTAAATAAATAACCAGCAGAATTTTTTTAAACAAGCAACAACAGAAAAGTCAGAATATGTTGGTACAGGTTGATTTAATGCATTTTTGAGGTGATCACTATATTTTGCAGGGAATGTACTGAACTGACAATTATTGTATTGTGTAAGAGTGAAAACAATTTTACCTTGGGATTACCCCCTGGTGGATGATTTCATCTTTTTGTTTGTTGTTTCCAATAACTCTGTTCTTTACTTGACTGCAAATGTAAGAAAACAGTACTATATGTTTTATTTCATAAAGTAAACTTAAAATGCCTGTGAATACGCTGCCAACATTGGCAGACAGAGTAGTTCATTTCTCATTGCATTCATTACAATTTGCATTCATTTAATAATGGTTTACAAATCTTCTACAGTATCTCTTTTACATGCCTGCATTGCTTGAGATGGAATCCATCCTTTTCATAAATATGCAGTCTTCCCCGACCCCTTTGAGGATGGCCAAGGTCAAGAGTATCATGAAAAAAGCCTGACACCCTGATATTGCATTTTGAAAAGAAATTACTTGTTGTACGTGTAACAGTGTCATATAGATTTATATTTCAAACTCATATTATTGTTGAACAGTCAAAATAAATGTTTCCTTCTGCTTTTAATCAGCAAACATCATTTTGAATTTCCTGGTCCAAAGATAACATGATGTGTAAAATGATAAACAAACTGTAACGGCACACAAAATTTGCAAAATCTCTTTATTTCTTTAATGCATGAAAAATACATATTTACATGACCAATGATGCTAACTTAAGTTGCAAATAATTTTTTAGGTGGAATAACTTCAATGTAAAGGGGAGGTATCAGTGTCTATAAACCATGCTATTGTAGTCACACAATTTTAAGTCTCATGCAACAAAAAAGGGCATTTTTTTTTTTTTTACAGATTATTGAATTTTTGCATTAACAGTCATAATACGTACTAAGTGAGTTCTGCTTTGGTTCAACTTGGAAAGGAAAATAATTTGAAAACCAAGGCTCAATTGCAACAAAAGAGTTTACATTTTAAAAAGTATTTGCTTCCTGTAAATCCCAACTCAATACATTGTATTTGAGTATTATCATTTAGTGTGGTCTTAGAAGGGACTGACTGACTAAACCTTACATCATAGAATCGAGCCACTTCTCCTTGTTCTCTGACAGAATACACTCCACCATGCCCATCCGACCATCTACATCCTACAAACAAGTAGAGGGAAATGTCACATTTTAATTTCTAAATTCTATACATGGTTGAAGTAGCCATTAAACTGGATTTATTTTATTTTACAATACATTGTTTTTATTCTGGAACAGTTTTATGTGGTTTTCAATTAATATTTGAATATTCTTTGATTCTTCTTATAATGAACATTCCACCACACTCTCCAGTTGCAGTCATATCAGAACCTATGACTTCCTGCGAGTGTCCTACAACAACACACAGCAACAAGTGATTGGGGGACTGTAATACGCATAAGCTCATGATCCTCCAAGCTCAGCAGCAAGCAGGCAAGCAGGTTCATGGCCCCCATCCCAGCTAACATACAGGGACGTCTTAGTCTAACGGTTGTACAGGTATAAAGTAACTCTACTGTATCATCCATAGGCTTAAAAAACACACGAGTTAAACATCAAAATTAACATTTGGTCAATTTTGTTTACATTCATTAAAATGAGAGATAAATTGAGAACAATTTCACAAATGTTCAGACATGTATTTTGAACTCTGATGTCTAAAATATGCTATGATTTTTTTAAAGATGAATATACTTATATCTATTATATTTGGTTGTCACATTTTGCCATTTGTTTCATAAAATAATAGTTTATTACTATGATTGACAGATAATGAATGTTTTCAGGCTAAACTAGCAAAGAATTATGGAATAACAAGGATGGATCCGTATGTCCGAATCAGGATTGGTCACTCTGTGATAGAGACTCCAACAGCTTACAATGGGTCAAAGAATCCACGCTGGAACAAAGACATCAATTTGTAGGCATTATAAATATGATGTGATACTGTATCAGTAAATTTATATATCATTTAGTTAATCAGTAGGAAAAGTTCCATTGGTTTACAGTACTTTATGTTTATGCAGGTGAAATTACAATTTGTCAATGTTACATTTTTTTGTATACCATATTGTTTTAGCTCACCTGAACCAAAGACTTGAGTGAGCTTTTCTGATAAAAAATGTCTGTTGACTATATATCGTTGTTGTCAAAAAAAATTATCTCCTTCTCCAGAAGTATGGAACAATTTCAACAAACGAGCAATTTTTTTACAAAGGAATATAAGAAAAAATCTTTTAAAATCTCTGGAGAACACCAAACTCTTTTTTAGTATATATATGATAAACATAGAAGATTGGAAGCAGGTTGGGACAGAATCGGAAATCCAAAATTTATGTAATACAAAATGTACTGGTAATGCATGTGTAAAGGAAAATATCTTCCCCAGAACAATAGGGCTATACATGTATTGATCATTGCAATGGTGAAAGCATCCCAAAGTGTGTGAATTTATCATAACTCTTTTGTCAACAATTTTGAATCAATATTTTTTGTGCAATCATTATGAGGAAAAATGAAAAAATAAATAACCAGCTCCTGAAGAACGCATTATCAAAGTTACTTGAGTGGGTGTTACAGCATTTAAGCCTCTTCTTTAATTAATTTTTATCTTTGCATAAAGGACATCATCATTATCTTTGAACTTATTGACTTTTTCCTGAAGATTTACTCATCAAAATGTAAATTTATTTTCTAACATTGTTCTGTCTTATTTGTAGATATCTCCCCCATGGAGTAGATTCTATGTATTTAGAGATTTTTGATGAGGTAAAAAAAATTATACGATTATATAGCTATGAAAAAAATACATATGTACTGCCATAAATAAAGAAGATCTAAATGTAACATAAATTTTTCACATAAAGTGCCTTCAGAAAATGTGTATCAAGTGTTCTGATTTTAATAACCATATGAAAAATTTAATTATTTCGAAATATAAAAATGTAGTATGGAGTTTGGTAATTTTTGTTTGTATTTTTTGTTACAGAAACAGTTTACAATGGATGACCGCATTGCCTGGGCATACATTAGCATTCCTCAATCTGTCCTCAATGGTGATACAATGAATGAGTGGTTCCCCCTGAGTGGTCGTCAAGGAGACGAGAAGGAAGGAATGATTAACCTTGTTATGTCACTAAATGTAAGTTACAGGTTGAAGCTATTCTTTTGAACATAAGCTGTCCCATAGTTTCAGAGTTCTTGAAATCTTTCGATCCTGTCAGCAAAACCGATAGAAACAACCAAAGACAGATTACTTTGCATTCCGTGTCAGTCCAAATGACTGGTAATTGTTGACAGAAGAACTTGTGTCAATCTGACCAAATTTCGTACGAATTCCCTATAACCGACTGATCGTAATCTTTCAAACGCTTTTCTGTATCTTGTAATGGCTTCTTCAATGAATGCAAGTGCCAAACTATGATTGGTAATCTAGTTAGTTGATGGCGCTAAGGTAAACCAGGTGAGAAAATCGAACTAGATTGAAAACTTATGAAGAAAATGGACCCCAACGAGAATTCAAAGAAAGTTGTTATAAGACGATCAAATCGGCATGAAGTGTGCAGTGTTTATTGACGCTGTGTGCACAATGTATTGATAATGAATTTGAATACAGTATACGCTTATTTCATGACAATGAGGGGAACAGTCAAACTGTTGTCCCGAGGTAATGGGGAAGACTTTGGAAACTGTTGCCCGAGGCTGAAGGACAACAGTTTGACTGTTCCCCTTGTAGCCATGAAATAAGTGTATAATGCCTAATTACAATTTATATAGTAGGTTAGGATATAGTACTTTATAGCATGTTTCTTTATGTTTTCATAGGAGGTACAGCAACCAGCAGTACAACCCACCCCAGTTCTATACCAGCAGCCCGTCGTGTACTACCCCCAACCAATAGGTAAGTCCTTAAGGAGCTGTTTCTCTTCAGAGCTCTACCAATGCCAGTGATGTCTGTCTTCTTAAAAGCTTTACTCAAGGCTTAAAGGGAATATGGTTGTATTAAGGCAGTTGTTTTGCTTTTTGCTAAACATATTCTATTCTATACATGGATCTAAACAATGTTTTAATAAAACTAGAAACCTCCATTGGAATTGTGTGATTTTATAAAACTTGGAATTGGCTGCTTTCAGTATCCCTAGCAGTATTATTCTGAGCAGAGTAACCATAAATAAAATCTTACGATATTACAGGAGGGTTTCCCATTGCAGGTAATGTGCATTGTGTTGGCAAAATTTAGGTTTTTACTAACTGTTATTTACAATGTTTTTAAAAAATCTTTTTGCGTTTTGATGTACATCTACTGGCCTTGTCAACTTCTATTTGGTATAGCCATACTTTATAAAGAAAGGAATTTTTTGTGTTATCAATCTATGCATCTGTTTTAATTTCTTGTTATTACAACCCCTCATATAATTTTAGGGACTGTCTGTGTACCTATTTTTTTTAATACCTTTTTTGAACCTGGGACCTAAGAAGCGGGGCATAAGTATAGCAATCACATTGTCCATCTGGCTAGCTAGTACCTTGACAATATATCTTTGATGAATGAATGATTAAGTCAAAACATTAAGATTAGGTTAATTCCTAAGTGGAATTTTCATCCCCCATCTGAGAATCGAAAATCACGGTGTAGGTACAGGTGTAATAAATGGGCCATTTACAACTGTTACTAATTTACTATGGACACTTGCTCCTACCCACACTGCTGGTAGTTTTAAAAATATTTGTTATTGAAAACAAATAGTAAACTGAAGAGCATTGAAATTGTTTAGATAATGTACTCGTTGACAAGAAAATTATTGTTTCAGCCTAGGCTATGTAATACAAGTTTATCGTCCTTTCTGTAAATCAATGTGTTGTAGGGAAGAGGTTAAGTGTGACCATGCATATATAAACTTATGCAAGTCAGCAATTTCAGCCAAAAAAAAATTTAAGGGTTTGTTTCCACTTTCTTTTTTATTTTCCAGATGTTCTTGCATTTAAGTTGTGTCTGTATGGAATTTTGGTGCATGCTCTTACATTTCCTATAAAATTAAGTTTATGTACATATATTCAGAATCATTAGGTTAGTCTAGAATGTTTTTGCATGGTTTTGACAAAAATGAATAGATGTACTGCAATTCTTATTGCTCCTTTATATACTAGTATACAGTTATGTTTATCTATATACATGTAAATATACCAATACTAATTTTGTTGTAGTTTCTATTTGGTTATGGCAGTTCTTAAAATATTTGTACAATTAAGTACATCATGGTAATTTCATGAACCTGAATGTATGATACTGTGTCAATCAGAACATTAATTTGTCTTTGTTCTTCACTTCTTTAATTTATATTAAAAGGTACATGTATATGTAGTTCAAGATAAATACATGGGCAGTGAGACAACATAGTCATAGAACTTACATGTATTTAGAATGTTAACCTGCCTTTGTATGTTCTATAATTTTGCACACCTGAAGTATCATTTAAATCAGTTTCTACATGGTCCCTTGATTTAAAGCTAAGAATCTTGATTCATTCTCTTGGATCTGGCCAACCAATGTAAGATGGGTATACAAGTGTAAACCTATATCAAGGAAAAATAAAAAATGCCAAATCCATTTACTTTGTAATCCCTTTACTTTACACAAATGTTTAAAATGCCTAAAATACTTCTTCTTTAGATTTTCATAGCCATCATTTTAAGATATACTCAATTGCTGGGTAGTGAAATCAACACTTCAGTCTAATACAAACTTAAATTTTTTTGTTTTCTAGTTCAACCTGTGCCCGCTGGAATGCCCGTTTACCCTCAACAAGGGGGAACCCCCCAACCACAACGCCCTCTATTCACAGAGGAAGACTTCAAGCAGGTCAAGGACATGTTCCCCAATATGGAGGACGAGGTCATAAGGTCAGTGCTGGAGGCTAACCGTGGCAACAAGGACGCAACCATCAACTCCCTTCTACAGATGAACAGTGACTGAGGTTAATGTCCAGCTAAAACCAGACTTTTGTTTTATAGGTGAAAAACCAATGCTACTAAAACTATAAAATGCCTATGATAAGGACTCTGTTTCAATAATAGAATTGTACTAGTAGGTTTCTAAAGTATAGAATAAATCGGTTAATGATATATCATCATATATTTGTATTTGTAGCAGACAGATCATCATCAGTTTTCTTGTTTCAGTGATATAAAATTGTTACATATGCTGTTTTTAGCCTTTAACTGTATGTTCTTTATTTACTGGTATGTAACAACTCTTAGATGCCATATAATTTATCATATGTATAATATCAACAAACACACAGTAAAGTTTTGCTATATATGTATGTATACATTGATAACTTCTGGTTCATGTAAATGTTTCCATTCATAGTCTTACTTCAAAATCGAGTAACTACTAAACGTATACACATAGCACTTATTAATAGTACAAATGAATTACTATTGTCCATCATTCAACATAAGTTTGAAACAGGTGCCGTCTGTCTGTCAGTTAAGACATAATTTTGTTACAATTGTTGTTTTGTTGTACATGTTGTGTGTTTGGATCATTTTCTGGGAGTGATAGTTAATGACTGTGATATAAGAGGGTGTGTCATACATTTCTGCCGAGCAGGATGATTACTTAATGATTAAACTTAAAATTCAAAACCAGATACTGTCTTTTTCTTTTTGTTTGCTTTGTCATTTTTATCCAGGATTTTATGTTAATAAAAAGCATGAAATAAAGTATGCAGATAACAGCACACATACTGTATTTTTACATAAAATAGCAGGCTTCATATTCAAGCAAATCTGGCGCAGACAATGATGCGCTAATTCATGAAGTCCGCTATGAAATCTTTAAAAAATTTATAAATACAAGATGCGCACTGCATTGGTGTGTGTTGCTAATTCTTAAATATGCCAAAAACTCGATATTTAGATACTGAGCTAAATTTTTAATACACCAATTAATGTACACATACAGTATATACCAGTAATATTTATTTTAAGTATACGTATATTTTCCTTTACTAAGTTCTATGTAGAAGTCAAGAGTTGTCTTTCCTTTATCATTTTTTTTTCTTTCTTTTTTCCCTAGTGTATTCTCTTTAAACTCTAACTGATTTTATCACTGTTGGTTAGAAATCAATAAGTTCAGGAAAGTATGCTTAAAATCAGATATTTTATTAGCTATCCTTAATTATATAGTTCACAGAGAGCAATTAAGTTGTTAAATTTTATGAAAAATGAGAGTTGCTAATGGCAAACAAGTTTCCTCTGAATGTTTAACAATCTATAAAATTATCTCACAACCACGTTTGTGCAAGTTCTTGAGGGAATAATTACATGGATTGGTTCAAAAGTAATGTCATAACTGCTGTATAAATCTTAAAAAATTAAAATTTATTGACAAAATGTAATACATGTATTAATACCTCGATCTATTTTGACCTTGTTCTTTTGCCTTTAAATTTCATTCAGATATAGGTAAAACTTTTTTGAATTATTAAAATAAACATGTTTGGTCTCATCTATCACTAAAAGGTAAGAGTATACAGACATTGTTATGCTGTTTCTCTTCGGCACTCACATGAGGTTACAAGATTTCTGGATAATCTGAAAATGGATGTTGGAAAGTAACGTCTGAACAATGGTTACTGTAACATTTCCGTCTGGCAGCATTGAACAAAATTTAATCTAAATATTTAATTAAAAAAAAAAACAGCAAATGAAATATTAGAATATTAAAACAAAAATCAGAATAGATAGGATATTAGCATCTAAAAGTTTGTTAATAAATAATCAGTAATTTGAGACTTTTTTTCGTTGTTTTTTATTTCACATTTAAAAGAAAATCTGCATGGAGTGCTCAAACAAAACCCCTCAAAAATTACCTTTTGTATTTCACAGCTCCATTTATTGCTAATTTATACTTAATCAAATTTCTACTACATGTATAGAGTCACGATATAAATTTTGTATTTACAACAATTTGTATTTACAACAATAAAAATGTATCTACTTTAAGTACATGTACACTGTAATAATTTCAATTATAAGTAAAAATCATGATAACAATTTGATTTAAAATTTGATTTGAAAAAATGGATATATAAAACTTCAGTTTGAAGAGGAATGATATTTCTGACAGATTATCATGAAAAAAAATTCATGTATCTCTCAGATTAAATAATAAGTTGATATCTGTAATGCCTTGGTCACATTTAAGCCGATGGTCGGGCGATTAAATTTTCTGGTCTTGTCGGCTGAAAGAACATGATCGGCCGAAACAAGTATCGGGCGACACGGAGCAGTCACATTGATTCCTAGAAACACCGATGACTTGGATAAATAACACAAAAAATCTCTTTTCTTTAGAAATTGGCAATATTTTTTCATAGATCTATATTCAAATAGATGACGTGAATAATGTTTGCAAGGCAAAGTGGCAGAATTTTATAAGATTGCGACTCAATGTTAAAATTTGTGCAAAATTTTGTATAGAATTGCATAAAAACATATCTATGCAGCAAATAATACTTAAGATTTCTTTATATCTCACGGATTAATTATTTATGTTATTTCCGTTCAAAAAATATACATCAATCCATGCATCAAAATTTTGTTTGTGTTATTGCATCCTTAATAGGTAAAATATTCTCAAGTCGACCAACCGTCGCCCGATCATCGAGCTCTGAGCTACAGTTTGATTTTAACCATCGGCCGAAATTTTAAACACCCTTATTGTCAAACGACGGACGACCGACTTAATAAACTGACTGCCGATAGTCGGACGATGATCGAAGGTTGGTCGACAGATAACTTCAAGTGAAGAAATCGGCCACCGATGCAGAAAATATTATAACTTGGACCGATGGACAAAAAATTGGTCGGCCGACAAAAAAGAGTGGTCAAAATCGGGCAAGACAACGGCCGATGAACTGCCGACTGTCACCCGAAGAATCCCATTTTTGGTTCAAAACCCGTCGGCCGTTGGTCGTTTTTGGAAATGTGACTGGGGTTTAAGCGAGATGCCGTAGGGACACCAGACAAAATATTTAGTCCCTACAACATCTGGCTGCGATTAATAATAAGTCAAAAAGCAAAGCCTTAGTAATTTGTGTGTTTACAAAGAAATAACATTTCAGCTCAACTAAATCAAATTGAGTCTAAGTGCAGAAAATTTTCTCTTTCACATCTGTTGTTTTTAAACTTCTGATATTTCCATCTATTTTTTCAGGGAATATGGAGACATTTTAACAAGACCTTATTCTAATTATACATCCTCAATGATATAAATTCAAATTAATAATTGAGATACATGGCTTCCACATCCTAAAAGGAGAAAAATCAATCAAAATTGAAAATGAGAAACGTAATAAAATATTCAGCACCATTGCGTTTTGAAATTGAACTTCTTCACTGACAATTATGTCAGAGTAAATGATACTTGTGTGGATTGCACTGTCTTCTTGTCGTCCATAATATGATGACGTAAAATATTTTTCATTTGAAAATAATTACTATAATAGTCTAATATTTTTAACCTGTGCGTAAAAATTTCAAAATTCATACGTTTAATCAAATGTAAAATGTCTAATAATTAAGTTTGAAAATAAATATCTCTATATGCATCCTAAATATCATAACAAATGATTAAGGAAACATCATCATATATAACACCACAAGTCTTAGTCCCATTCAATATGAACAGAAGATAATTGACACTATGAATAATTAAATAAGTTTAACACATAAAAAAATCAGCTCCTGACCACTAATAATAATTGTTTTCAGTGATCCAACTGCACACGAGGGGAGATCCTTCCTCTACACAGAGTTTCTGTGACTAGCAGGCTCTCGTCCTGACCGCGCGGATCTGACATTCCTCTCCCCCCTGTAGGACCTCCCTCTGCTTCTTCTGGACCCCATTAAGACACCCCTCCCAATCCTTCCACTGGCCAAAGAAACAGCGTTCTGAAAGAAAAAAGCATAAATCCTTTATAGTAATTTAAAGAGTTTTAGAATTCCAAATTAACAGCATGGTTTCTTAAAGGTTTTTTGGGTGACCTTCTGCGATCTTTTTTCGTTTGTGTCATACGTCATGCACATGGTTACGTTACTTACTTTTTTAACTTGTTCTCTGGAACCCCTAAACCATTATATGGATTTTTTTAAAATGGCTACTATGGCTGAAAGAGAACACAATTTGTGCCAAAAATTGTGCCTCCTCCATAATGAAAATGCATTATTTGTGTGAAAATCTTTTATGCACTTTGGTAATTAGCAAACAAACTAAGTGCAATATATTGTAACATCTAGCAAGGGTGCTTTTTCCAAAACTTTGTAATTCATAGCCATGAGACTGAAGTTCTGAATAGCCCTGGGGCTCTTATTTTAAATTGAAAATTCATTAACTCTATGAAAATCCTCATCTCTCCCCTCAGTATTTGGGAAACAAACTGAGTGCATGCATGATAATGAAAAGAAGGGTGCCTCTTGTGAAAATCATGGCTCCTGATTCAAGGGTTTGCGGTTAGGACAGCTCTCTATTGATTATATGGTGAATATGATGCAAAAATTCTTTGAAAATCCTTGATCCTAGGCCTGTCCCTGGGTATTTATCATACAAACAATATACCGGTACATGTAGTCTACATGCCTTTGATAAGTCAGCTAGGGTGTCTCTTCTGAAATTGTGAAATTCATGGCTCTTGATGAATATCTTGCTCTCGGGGCACATCCACATTAATACTTTTATTTATTTTATTTTATACTACAAAGTGGATTTATTACATCTGTAATATAGTAAATATACTAAGGTGATCCATAAAGCCCTTTGGACTCTTTTATTTAAAAAAAATACCACTGAAATATCCCCCACCAAAACTGCCATAAAAAATATGAAAAGAAGAAAAACCATGTAAGATTAAGTGAACGTGATATTCTAGTACATTTTATATACAATTTAGTGTCAATCCATGATGTGATTAGTGAAAATGAAAGAGTGAAATACGATCAATTTGTTCAGGGAATGATTTCACAGCTGCTACACTGATAGAGATTCAGCTGACCACAATATTAATCTATATTCTCTATTCTAACAAGACCATTCCGGACTGAAGATTTTTTCATCAATCAAACCTCATTTTCTTCTTTTATTTTCACAGCATTCAAACACATCTGAGGTCTATTTACGAGACTTTCTGATGACATCTGATCAAATATGGACACAAAAATGGAAATAATAACTTTAAATGAAAAAGAATTGATGTATAAAGGTCAACATGAGGTGAAATGTATTGATACAGGGCATATGAGGTTATTACACACTCGACACGCACACAAAAAAACACACCCTTTCCCACCCCCCCGCCCCACCCCCCCCCCCCCCCCCCAAATACAGACAGACAAACTGACCTCTTCCATCTGGTCTGATACAGAGTCTGTGAATCTCTTTTGTAGATTTACATTTGATGGCGTTTCCCTTCACCAGGGTCAAGACTTTGGTCCTCTTCTTAGTCGACGGGTCACATGGTCCCCATGGACTCACTGTGTACTTGCAGGAGTTTCCTATAGTGCATAGTTTTATAAAATGTTATAAGTATTAATAAAGTAGATGACAGCTAGGGCATTCTGTTAAGTACAGAAGAAGTATGTACATTCACCAGTTTGAACATTGTAATTAAAGTTTAAAAGTAAAACCGTACATCATAGGTATTGAACAAATTAACTCATGTACATTTTAAGAAACAATAGCTGGTGCATAGACTCTATAGTTCTAACATTGTATTCACACACATGGGCTCAGGTCAAGCTAAAAGATTAATGGACATTGAAAAGAATTGTTAGCCTTTGTTCAACACTGATTGCTTCTTCCTCCTGACAAATTACTTGTAGAATGAATTTCTTGTAGTAAGGGACCATTGCTACAAATTTAAATATTCATTTCCTCTCGCTTCAGTTTTTATTATTTGTTCTGGGGCAGGAATGCAAATGTTCTTTGGTAAATTAAGCTATTGGTGCAAGGTTTCCATGCCAGAAGTAATAGATTAAGAAATGCGGAAAGCTAGGGGAATCAGTGTTTAGTAGAAGTTTAATTCAGCTTCTGATTACAAATAAGGTTCATAACTACAAGTGACAGTTTTATTGAGGGAATTGTTTCAGGACAAGACTATTGATGTGTCATGGTATTGCTATAGTATCAATATTCAAATTGTTGAAATATCATTTACAACAGAACACCACATTGCAATTAAAGAAACTTTCACAAATATATATAAAAAAAGATGCATGACAATAAATGGTGTTTTTAGAAAAAGAAATGTTTTTAAAAAGAAAATCCTCCAATAAAAATTACTCACTCTTTTTCATTCTCCGGCAGTTTTTAGTCAGAGTTCTATACTGAGCACAGAATTTAGCACTGTTAGGTTTGAGTCGATCCTGACGTTCTACAAGACCAGTTTTAGGATCACAGCGCCCCCATTTACCAGCCTTGTATTGGCAGGCTACAAAAGATGACAATAATAAATTACTAGTAGAATATTGTTACAGAAGAATTTTAATATTTTTATAAACTTCAAAGAGATAATAAATAAATAGATGAATATTAAACTCATTTTAAAATTAATTGAAACCCTCAACCAAAATTCAGTGTGCATAATCAACTTTGCTTACTTGGGTACTAACATTTTCGGCATGGTTTACGCATGACCTTTGTTTGTGGGCAGTTATTGGTGTCACCAGAGGTCAAGGTCAGGGTTTTAGCCATTGTGTCAGTGGTAACATCACATGCTTCCCATGGACCATCTGTATATCGACAGGTGTTGTTACCTGTAATAATAATAATCAACAGTATGGTTACCAGTAATAAAAACTTAGATCTGTGTATCCATAGGTAAGGTTACATGTAATAATAACTTATATCTGTGTATCCATAGGTGACGTTACCTGTAATAATAACTTAGATCTGTGTATCCATAGGTGTGGTTACATGTACCTGTAATAATAACTTAGATCTGTGTATCCATAGGTGAGGTTACCTGTAATGATAGTTCTGTGTATCCATAGGTGAGGTTACCTGTAATGATAACTTAGATCTGTGTATCCATAGGTGAGATTACCTGTAATAATAACTTAGATCTGTGTATCCACGGGTGTGGTAACCTGTAATAATAACTTAGATCTGTGTATCCGTAGGTGTGGTTACCTGTAATAATAACTTAGATCTGTGTATCCATAGGTGAGGTTACCTGTAATGATAACTTAGATCTGTGTATCCATAGGTGAGGTTACCTGTAATGATAACTTAGATCTGTGTATCCATAGGTGAGGTAACCTGTAATAATAACTTATATCTGTGTATCCATAGGTGAGGTTACCTGTAATAATAACTTAGATCTGTGTATCCATAGGTGTGGTTACCTGTAATAATAACGTAGATCTGTGTATCCATAGGTGAGATTACCTGTAATAATAACTTAGATCAGTGTATCCATAGGTGAGGTTACCTGTAATAATAACTTATATCTGTGTATCCATAGGTGAGGTTACCTGTAATAATAACTTATATCTGTGTATCCATAGGTGAGGTTACCTGTAATGATAACTTAGATCTGTGTATCCATAGGTGAGGTTACCTGTAATAATAACTTAGATCAGTGTATCCATAGGTGAGGTTACCTGTAATAATAACTTAGATCTGTGTATCCATAGGTGTGGTTACCTGTAATAATAACTTAGATCTGTGTATCCATAGGTGAGGTTACCTGTAATAATAACTTAGATCAGTGTATCCATAGGTGTGGTAACCTGTAATGATAACTTAGATCTGTGTATCCATAGGTGAGGTTACCTGTAATGATAACTTAGATCTGTGTATCCATAGGTGTGGTTACCTGTAATAATAACTTAGATCTGTGTATCCATAGGTGAGGTTACCTGTAATTATAACTTAGATCAGTGTATCCATAGGTGTGGTAACCTGTAATGATAACTTAGATCTGTGTATCCATAGGTGTGGTTACCTGTAATAATAACTTAGATCTGTGTATCCATAGGTGTGGTTACCTGTAATAATAACTTAGATCTGTGTATCCATAGGTGAGGTTACCTGTAATAATAATTTAGATCTGTGTATCCATAGGTGAGGTAACCTGTAATAATAACTTAGATCTGTGTATCCATAGGTGAGGTAACCTGTAATAATAACTTAGATCTGTGTATCCATAGGTGTGGTAACCTGTAATAATAATTTAGATCTGTGTATCCATAGGTGAGGTAACCTGTAATAATAACTTAGATCTGTGTATCCATAGGTGAGGTAACCTGTAATAATAACTTAGATCTGTGTATCCATAGGTGTGGTTACCTGTAATAATAACTTAGATCTGTGTATCCATAGATGAGGTTACCTGTAATGATAACTTAGATCTGTGTATCCATAGGTGAGGTAACCTGTAATAATAACTTAGATCTCTCTATCCATAGGTGTGGTTACCTGAAAAAAAAATGAATTATATATGTGCATTCACAGGTATGTTACATGTAATAATTACTTATAATAACTTATATCTTTGTATCAAAAGATGCGGTTACCATATTAATAATGAACAATGTGGTTACCTGCAATAAATTACAATGTAGATTTGTGTATCCACAGGTGCTTTAACCTGTTATAATAAATTACATCTGTGTTTCCACAAGGTTATGGTTACCTATAAATGCTGTAAAAAATTTTAAATGCAAGGGGCATAACTCTGTCAAAAGAGACCCGATGGTGTCCCAAACAGAACATGACCTAGATATTTTTATAATAAATCTGTGTACCAAATTTCATTTCAATATGAGCAACCTCTTCAAAGAAAACGAAAGGAAACTGATGGTGAACCGACAGAGAGATAGCAGCAGAGCAATATGCCCTCCCTTCTTCAAGGGGGCATAATAAATTGAATCTAAATATCCACAGGTGTATATGTTGTTACCTGTAATAAAATAGATACTGGTATGGTAATTTTAGCATATGAAACGTGATGAAAAACTTTTCACTGTTACTTCAGGTCCTTAATTCTTCTTTACCGTAGACTAATTGCAGCTTATATAAATTAAAGTAACGTTTCCATTGTATTTACTGAACCCTAAAATATGGTCAGCCCTTCTGTGAAAATACTTTAGAGTTAGTTTAGAGGTCTGACTGAAATTTAACTGTCCCATGATTAGGACATAAATTACCGAGTTTTGTTATTACATGAGAAAACCAAATCATTGTTCTCTCACACAATTATAGCCCAATTCTGCAGGCTCTGCAATGGAGTCATTTTGTTTAATGTTGACAACAATTTGCTGTGTATATAGTGTGAAGAAGAATCAAACCAGAAATCCAGTCTTTACAATTAATTTGTTTACTTCATTCAAAATCTTAATTCAAATATGTGAGTACCAGCACTTTTATTTAAATGACTTTTTAATATTCCTTTTTTCACAAATGACCTTGGCTTGATTATATTAGCATTATTTTCTCAAGTCAGGTACCAGTAGAAATTTAGCCCAGTCCCCCCTTTGTCAAACTATTTTTAGGGAGGATCATATGACACCCCCTCTGATCAAAAGGGCCTTTGTTAAATAACAGTTTCCAACTCTCTTTTTAAAACTAATATTGCTATTGCATAACAAGCTCAAACTGAAGGACAGGGCACTTATTTAATAATATAGTATTGTTGATTTGAATTTCAGGTTCTTGATAAAGATACATTTTAATCAAACAAACATTTTTTTCTGTACAGAAATACCAATGCCAAAGCCTTATATGATCTATAGAAAGCAAGCCATATTAAATTGATACCAACAATTATCTGAGAAAATATTTACACAATGTCACAAAAGATGTAATTTTCTTTACAGACTAAAATATTGCATCGGCGAGATCAATATTGTTTCATTGCTGGAAGCCTTTTGATGTGTCAATCACAATTTCCCAGACAAAAACTGCTATGCGAATTGGTCCATTGACACTTTCTAAGCTCAATACTGCTATCAAGTAATGGGTCCAGACTCTAAAATACCACTGGAAACTGAGTAAACTTATACCATCACAACCACAAAATCAATCCTTAAATCCCAAAAATATTAACTAAACATGGAGTTGGTCATCTGCCAGGGTCTAATATAGTGCTGCTTGGAGACAATGAGCCTTTAGACTAGTACAATTTATGAAAATGGGAAATTTTAACGTCATATTCTGCAATATAGTTAAAATTATTGGATCAGTAAAATGTAGAAAAAAATCTTTCATTTTCCAATAACCATTATTCTACTCTGTCATAAAAAAATCCGTAATTATCTAAAATCCTATTTTTTAAGTATAAAAGTACTTTCATATATTTACTACTGAAAACTATAACCACAGGCTATCTTGGATTACATTTCACAATCATGGTAATTCTGTCTCAGTCATGTACTTTTCATATACTGGTGTTAGGGTATATTGTATAATTATTCTTGTTCAATTATTCAAAACCAATCATTACAACAAAAAATTATTTATTTGTGAGACAAATAGAAGTACGCCTCTATAGTGACGGCAATGAAAAAATAATAGTACATGTATTAGACCTTTGCCTATATGACTATGACCTTGATCTTATGTAAAATCAAAATCTTGACTAGACTTAATTTTCTTTTGGTAAAAACATAAACCAAAAATATGTCCATAGGACTTGAATGTCCCACTGAGGGGATATTAATAATGCAACATGAAAATTTTTATTAGTGCAACTGTGCATAAAACTTTGTAGAGAATATCTTGAGTACAGTGAAACTTGGTTATACTGAAGTCACTGGGATCAGTGAAATTACTTTGCTATATCCGTAATACCTTATATCAGTATAAGTAAATTAAGAAATTCGTAAAACTTATATAGTTGTGGATTAAAAAAACTTCACGATATCCATGAATTCGCAATATCTGTGTTCATACTAAATGAGTTTTACTGACTAGTTTAATTTTTTGCAGTTGAAACTGAAATCTAAAGAGTTTGATGTAGATGATAAACTCTTACCAAATAATGTATAAGTGCATAAGCTTACATAAAAATATTTCTTTAAAAACTAAGAAAAATGCAAATTTAAGAAAAGTGATGTCATGGTCACAGGAAAGTTCAAGGTCAAACATTTTTTATGCAGTTGAATAGCTTACTTGAACATGTATCAGCATAATTACGCTTGGTTACGCTATCTTGAATGTTTTTTTTTTAAAACTGAGCTAAACACAAATTTAAGAAAAGTGAGGTCAAGGTAAAAAAAATGTTGCTGCTGTTGAATAGCTCTTATTAATATGTATCGGCATTGAAGTTTGATAAAAATATCTTGAATTAAGTTTCTTTGAAACTTATAGCTTTGAACTGAGATAAATGCAGAGTGTGACAGAAGGACAGATGGAAGAACAGAAGACAAGCATGACAAACACTATATCCCCCTGCCATTCATATTCATGGCAGGGCATAAAAATAGTGGTAGATTCTGAGGAAGAACTTTGGGGACTCTTTTAGGTATAATTACAACTTTGCTTATACTTTCTCATCTGATAGCCACATTATTATTAACTATCTTCATTTCCATCTGGATCCAAGATTGAAAGGATTGGGTATTATATAACATTTTAAACAACCAACCATTGAAATTTTGTCTAACTTTACATACATAATAGTCTCCTGACTGTAAAAATTCTCTTTATCTTTGTTCCTTTTGAAAGACATAGTAAAATTGTTGTTTTTAATGTTTTGACCTTGTATTTCTAATTGTCTGTGTACAAAACTTGTCTGATCCGATCAAACAAGTTTTGTACACACAGATCCAGACAACACTGGTTGCAAAGAGGCAACATCTTAAATTCAACATTTAAAAACAATTGAATTCATTGCAATGAGACTTTAAGTTTACATGGTATTAGACAAGGTTTTGGATTACAAAACATCCAGATTTGACAAAGTTTCACTCAATATTTTTTGTCATCAAAAACCCTCTTTATGTTCATTTTCTCTCTTTCTCTACCTTTATTAGCATCTTTTGAAATAAACTCCAAACAACCCTTCCCAATTTCTTTTGTTGATCTTATAGTCACACCTCCTTCATTGTCAAAGGCGTCGGAACGGGATGGGGAGCTAAGCTGCCCCCTTCTTTTTTTTTTTTTGCAAAAATATACACAATCTAGCCATTTCACATAGGGGCGTAGGATTATCCACCCCCACCCCCTTTCAACAGGCAGAGGTTTCAGTGTAGTCAAACAAGGGTAAGCGGTAGAGTGCGAGTAAAAACTAGCATTGATAGAAGTTTGATTCTACCCCAACCCTCTCCACCCCAGAATATTGGATTTTCACATTTGGAGTATCACTATTTTCCCTTCTTTTTTTTTTCGTCATTATGTGAAGTATTTTTTTTGGATTGATTTTTTTCTCTTTCAATTTGCCCCTCCTCCCACTTTCAATTTGCTTCTGTTGCCAATGATTGTCACAAACTCAATGGGACGGAGTAAAAAAAATTATGATAATCAATAAGGCCATTCTAAAATAATGTTTGCTTGCCCCCTCCCAATGCGGGGTAAAATTATTGGGTCAATGTTGGTGGGAAAACTTTTTCCAGAAAATTTCAACATATTTGTTACCTGGAAAAGAGGAATAAAAAGAAAATATCATGTCCTGGAATGTAAAAAAGGTTTCTGAGTCGGGCCATTATAGTCAGTCGGTTGGGAGCTGAGGGCAAGCAAACAATTTATTAAAGATGGCCTAACCAAGAATTCAAGGATAATACTAATAGAAATAATATGTTGAGACTTCCAAAATCAATTTGACATATCAGATATGATTTAAGGTATGGGTGCTCAAGTTATCTTTACATTTAAGTTCCACTTTCTATTAAAAAATGATTTCAAAGAATTTAGATCAGAGAAACTAACAATCAGGTATCTTGTTCAGACTATAAAGACAACATTCCAAATATGAATTATGGCCACATTCTTCTATATATAAATACAATTAACCTTCGCAATCTCAAATACTGATATTTCGAGTAGCATGGGTATGTCAAAGTGATTTGGAAGTCCCAACTCCTAATTCTTTAAGTATTTTATCCTGGATATCTTGAAGTATCTCAAAGTTTTTCTCAGTCGCATTGAGTTTGAGATGACAAGGTTTGTCTGTATAATAAATCCTTCTGTATTGAATCGACTGGATTTTGTGCACGAGAACTACTTTATATGTATAGAACTATAACACATAATAATTGAAATTTTTCTAAAAACTACAACACAGAGATCAAGTTTAGAGAGACTTTATTGACTGATGAGAAGAGAAACCGCACAGATAAAACAATACACACAATGATTAAATACAAAGGCTGTATTGCTTCACAGCTCATATTATTATAAACAGTTGAAAATTTCTATAAAACACAAAAAGATATAAAAATCTTTGATCACTCTAAATACAGAGGGAAACTTCTGCAGATCACATTAATTTTAGCAGAGCCCTAATCACCAGCCAACAAAGAATTTATTGGCAGACCTTAGATTGTTGGTTTAAAGTACAAGCTCTGTTACATTTTTTTCCAAAATTCTTGGGACAACTATTCTTTCAGTACATTTAATATCGGTGAGAAAACTAATCTTGTATTGATTTTTTCCATGGTGAATTACAGGATTAAGAATTTATTTGTGCACCAACCAACAATTCATAGGTTGGCCTGTGTTTAACTTTATCTACATTTTTCAAAGAATTTTTAAAAAAATAAAAATCAACAATTAACAACATTCAAAACGAAAAGAAAAAAAGTCTTTCCTCATAAAAAATCTTCTGCTCTGTGCAATAGAAAAGTCTCTAACATACATGCATATACAATGTAAAATACTTATATGGAAATACATGTTTAAATTCATGCTTACATGGGACTAATTTTATATGTAAAAAAATTATAAATTATGCCTAAAAATGCAGTGAACACTTTATGAACTATGAATTCCCTCAAGATAAATGATGAATTAACTCATTCCTTGTGCTTTGTCGACTGGTAAAAAAAAAATTGACTAGCTATAGCTAAAGGCTGTCATGTTAAAATTCAAAAATTTAAAAAGCATTTATAAACAGCAATCTTATCTTAATAATTTAAAAGCTGGTTATTTTTGTAATTAATCTTGCATTCTGAGAGAGATAAAAAAAATCCAAAACAAAATTTAAGTAGATGAATCATTGGTGCAATTGAGTCATTAAGTTTGTTCTAAAGAACCAGGGAGCATGAAGCACATGGGAGAGCACACATTAGCACAATGTGCTGGTTTTGTGCTTATGCTGTTGGCTCCTCAATCATTGCGGGGGTGGTACCTTCTCTTCTGTTGTGTTTTCTGCCCTTCCTTTCTGCCCTAGCTGCTTTCCTGGCAGCCTTTTTCTCGGCCTTTGAGAGCTTTTTCCTTTCTTTTCGTGCAGCCTTCTTTGCTGCCTTGTCACCTGAAATTTTAAAAATTGAAAATGCACATAAACACCTGATTTACTGAAATAAGATTTAAAGCATTGTTCAAAAGTTTTTAAAATATATTTTTCAGAAACTTTTTTTTGAGAATAAAAATCACCAAACAATTTCACAAAAAAATAAAATCTCAGCTTTCTAAGGATAGAAGCCTGACCCAACAATTTCACAAAAAAGTATAAACTGCTTTTTACTATAAAACCTCCAGTTAAATTTAAAACTGCTACACATTAACTATGAAAAAAAGTCATTAAATCTCTTTGATGCTGGTATGATTAAACACTCTATCAATGAACTAATTTTGTTACATAAACCAGCATCAGGATCAGCAAAGTAGGATCAGGATAGAACACAAGCATCAGCATTTAAAAAAACAGCATTCTTGGATCAGCATACAAGCAAAGGATTAGCATTGACCAAAGTGAAAACAGATAAAGGAAAGTCATTTAATACAAATTACAAATAAAAATTACCCCAAAAATTATTTTTAATGGCTTAAAATTGTGTTTTTGAATTATCCACTTCCGGCAGGATCATTAGCAATAACATTGACCAAGTTTCAAACCAGCATCATAAGGATCAAACCAGGATCAGGATAAGGATAGCATCAAAATAAAGCATCAAAATCAGCAAGTTTCAGCATTGATGCTGTAACAAAATTATTTCCCTTCACTGTAGGAGCGATCTTGTACATTGATCATGCAATATGGATAAAGTAGATTCTGCATTGATTTGGAGCTCTTCTAGACAGTCTCCTCTCAGGGGGATTCAAATGAAAAAGAATGATGTATTCTGCATAAACACACTAGACCACTCTTTTACATAATATCTCAAGTCTCTACCTAACTGCCTCAAGACATAACATGTTCTTCAAAATAGACTTCTTTACATCTCTTTCTGACACAGAAAATATTCAGGGCAAATTTTAACCATGTTAACAACTCTTTCAGGACATTTATCAAAACGTAACTACAGCCTTCAAAAGTTCTAACTCAGCTTTAATGGTCCTTCCTAAACAAGATGTCTGCGTAAGTTAGCACTAGCAGACTTTATTTTATGAACCTTCCAATTAAACCTGGAGGTTGACTGAGTTGTTTTAATTATCTACATGAAGTAAATTATAACCTAGCTAGCTTAATTCATGAAATCTGGCTGGAGAGTAAGGTAAAAATGATAAGGTGAATAGCTGATGATCCTGAAGAGAATTTTTGGCATGTTGATTCAGTTCAATATAGCTAAATCTTTAAGGTATTGATTACACAATGTTTATTAATCCCGGGAAAGTTTGGTATAAAATCAATTTGGTTAGGGTGTTGAAAAAAACATTATCTATTCAAATTTTACCATTTTAGGAAGTTTTTCATATCTCAATGTAGCTTTTCTATATCAGGTTCAAAGGAAAAAAAAAATGACCATAAATCTGAAACACAATGTTTGCACTTTAGGAAGATTTTCTAAATTCAATATTGCTTTTCGTTTATATTGTTCACTTCCAGATATTGATCAATAATTTCAAAGAAGTGAGCCACAAAAGTGAGACTATACATTCATAAAAATCTCGGAAACAGCTTCTTCCTGATAAAACATTCACACCCTTTAATTTGCAGTAGCTGGGTTTCTCTTGACTAAGATCGATATACCGCACTATCGGTGTAAGCTCTTACCAAAAAAAATCCTTTACATGTTCTGTCCCATTTCCTGTAAATTCAGTTTTATTCAATGCCTACCTGGGTAGTTAAGAAAAGGAACGTCTAGTCGTAATAACCTCCGATTTTTTTTTTTTATCAGACTTTAAAGTGTCAGGTCATCTTATAAGGTTATTAAGGACAAATATACAACTGTACATGTTCCTTGCAGACTTTAATTGACATCAAAGAAAGTGTTTTATTGCCCATGTAATCTTTATAGCCTTTTGAGTTTTAATACTTCGTAGAGGTGAGCAGAACAATACAGAACTGACCAAAATATTTTATATCCATTATATTCTTCCTCCTTTATGACATGCTCCCAATTTATACAAATTCCCTTTTCTGTAAATATCTTGACAGGTTCACTGTTTAAGCTTAGAGAGGCCAGACATCACTTTCTCCACATAATACGGGACATAATTACGCTATTCTGCCTAATATGACATTGCCGTGACCCTTTCCCCTAATTAGAGATAATCCTTGGAGAATTTCTCCAATGCTTGTACAAATATATTACACCAATCACTATACTCTAACCTGTCACAAAACTAGTAAACAACTTATATCTATATATGAACTATACTGGGAGCCAAGAAAGCGAAAATCTAATTTATTGTCATGGTAAATGATGTTTAATTTATCTCAAATGTAACCATAGACAAAAATAAGACTGTTTTTGAAATGCACATGAAATAAATACCTCCATTTATCTGTCAGAAAGTACAAAATCCTTACATCACAGGAGGATAGGGATTAAGGAAATTAAGATAAGGTACAGCCTTAAGTATGGAGGGAAATTCCCTTTGCTTTATACAGCTGAGACTTATTTTACGTTAAAAAATATGAACTGACTCCCATCACCATAGATTCTCATCTCTCCTGCCCCCCTCCCCCCTCCCAAACCCATCTCTCAATCAGATAGGTGCCTACCTTTGTTCTTACACCTCCTCTTCTCCACTGTGATGGTTTTCTCACACTTGGTTTCGTCGCCTCCTTCCTTCAGCTGCATAGTTTTAACCATTCTGTTGGTTTCCTGGTTGCACACTGAGCTGACCACATCATATTTGCAGTCTAAAAAATCCAAAAAATATTTAGTTCTATTATACTTAATCTTGGTGTTCCAATTAAGATATTGAAAAAAAAAGAGAGATATGGCAAATATTGATACTTATAAGTGTGTGTTTAAAATGACGGGTAGGGGGGTGTCTCTTAAGTCCCTTCTTTTACCAAGAAGTATGGGTAATAACTTTGAGTAATTATCTATCATACATACTCAAATGTCTTTTTCAATAAATATTCCTCTGGAGTGACTGACAGGGGTTAAATAAATCAATCCATATTCTATATTTGTACACTGACCTTTGTTTCGGCACCTCTTGGTCTTTGTGAGGGTGGGCTCACAATCAGCTGGTCCCGATTTCAGCTGCAGGGTGAGGGTCATAGTACCCTTAATACACTCGGGTCTCCCCGCACTTCTGTCTCTCTTGTACCTACATCTGTCTGCAAACACAATGAAAAATTTCATGCTCAATTTTTTTTTTTCCAAACACCATTTTTTGCAAAATTTGATATTTTTTGAAGAGTGGGGGTATTTATTTTTTATTACAAATTATATTTATAAATTTAACAGCTTATGTATATTCATGCACATACTTGGTTACAAATGATGATTTTCTGAGAATAACAAATATCTGAATAACATAAAATTAAGAAAAATCCTAATGTTACTATATTTACCCTGATCTTTGTTGGCCTTGTTTCTCCTTCGTCGAGCCTCAGTTACAGAGACTGCCACCAGCACGACCACTAACAGTACTACAATCTTGGTGTTCATCCTGTAAAAGATGGAATCGTTACCATGAAAGGAAGAGGAAAATTAGAAACAGGGGAAAAAAATCAGAGTGCATCTCACAAATTACACACAAGGAAAATAAGTAAAATAAATTTTATATTTACTATAAATAAGCAAATTAGATACATTCAAGAAATGGAGAAGGGGTGGGAGGATTAAAACATTACCAGGGAGAAATTTATACTGTCAAAAAATGTTTAAATTTTTTTTCTATGAAATTAAAATCTTATTTAATTCCATGTTTTAAAAAAAAATCAAGGACATTACTATTTGTGACTTTACAGGGCTAAATACATTTCCAAAAAACCATTGATTTTTCCTTTTTTTTTTTTTTTTTTTTTTGATTTAAAAAAAAAACATCATGTAGATGCCTTCAGAGGCAAGGACTATAGCAGACAAGTCAAGATGGTAATAGTGTAATTCTGTATAAACAATTATAACCTCTGAATAAGAGGACAGCAGTTTCAGGTTACCTTTTATTTTCTCTTTATCAAAAATATTTTAAACCATAACAAAGAGCTTTTTTATCACCATATAAACTACTTATACTGTTCATATGTTTTATGCTTGATTTCAAAATATGATACTTTGGCAAATGTTTTTAATGATTTTAAACATAAATTTCAACCTCATATTTTTTTATGCTCAGATTTCCCGACCTATAAATTATTTTTTTAGTTTTACAATAAAGCATTATCTCAAACTTAATCAGGTTTCCTTCACACAATGTTATCCCGCAAATCTCTTTTTAATCAGATGAGAAAATATGAAAAAGAAAGTTATTTTTAGTGCTAGGATCAAATTACGTTATATATTGAGGAAACTTTATTCAAAATATCAAATATTAACTTAGTGTTTCAAAATTTTTCTTGTGAGGAAAGTAAATTGGATCAAATTACGTAACATTTGCAAGATTCGACAGGTTGCGGTGAGTCACAGGGCAAGAAATAAATGGATTATCAAATACAACCTTAAGGTGTGCCTTTGCATGCAGTTTCTTATGCATTATCCTGTTAACATACAAACCCCCATGGAACACAGAAAACCAGTCAGTACTGGTTATATTTCTCAAGGGACCACTTAACTACACACTACCACTCCACATAATGAACATTTTGACAGACTTGTCTAGATTTATTGTTATTTAATACAACACGTACTGGAGTTACTTGATTTGAATATATAAACACAGTACCATGCTACTCCATACCCCCCTCTCTCTCCTAGTTTCCAGAGTAAGACCGTGGTCAGTATGGTATAAAGGACCCCCCACACTTCATTTAACTCGGTGAATGGAACCCTATTAATTCTTAGCTCAAATATCTGACACTATTGCTAGTCCACCTTACAAGACAGGTTAATGTCAATATTTTAACTATGACTTGTATATTCTCAATTTTCTAAATTCTACCTTTTATCCATGAAACACAGGTATCCCTTAATTTATTTTTGATATTAACAGAGCTCCTACATTGTATATTGTTCAATTTTTTTGATTTGTTAATATTACTATTAAAAGAAATTGACTTTATCATTGCAGGTATTTATAATTGAAGGCATTCACATGTAGATATATATATTCAGAACATACAAAAAAAATATTGGTACTATCTGAAGTACAAAGGCCTTGAAGCATTTGCGGCTCTTCAGTATTAGTGTTTCAAAGTAGAGAACGGTAAATTAATTACACTCCCATTAGAATCCTAATGAAAAATAATGACATGTTATTGACATATGGTGGTCACTATCTGGTGACTTTCATTACAGTCACTAATGTTAAACAAACAAACGTATTACAATGTCAATAAACTAAGGTTATACGATATCTCCTCATTCCAAAAGAGGAGGGAGCATTAATATTGATTTCAGACTTTCTGGTCAAAAACAGGACAGATGGTGTATCTTACATATATTGAGAACATTAAAAAAACGTATCTTTTTCTCTGAAAATCCCAAGGAATTTGTCAATTACCCCCCTACAATGGATTTGACAGAGTGCGATATTGCGACTAACACAGTTTGATGTGTAAGAGCATGGACAATGAACATTGTTATCTAGAAATCTTGCGTCAATATTTGTGATGTATGGATCTAGATCGACTCGCAATAAGACTGTGCGTTTTTAACATTTTCTGCCATCAGTAGTCCCATGAGCTGACAATCTGATGAATTATTCAGGAGATATACCATTCTCTGGTTTGATAGATTCTGGTGTTAGCCATTATAGACATATCTACCATATTTAGCCTAATTGGACAAAAAAATATTATGGCCAAATCTCCTCAGGGAATGCTCTGCCATGCTTCTATGTAGAGGATTCAATCCTTAATTTATACAACTCACAGAGGTCAGCAAAAATAAAGGGGGGAATTATAAATGTGAAGATAGAAAATATATGTTCATCAAATTATAAACAAAGGCAAACCTTAATTTCTGAGTATCAAATACATTTGAGTTGTATTTTCTTAATGAAGTTAACTCAAATTAAAGTAAAACTGATCTATTTTCAACTGAGTTCATTTAACGATCGAGATAAATTTAACTCAAGTAAAACTGGTCTGTTTTTAATTAAAGCTGTGTATTTACAAAGATTAACTCAAACCCAACTAGTCTGTAATCTGTACTTGCTTTTTACTATTATTAAGGTCATTAATTAATTAACCCAGTTTAAATTCCTTTATTATTTATTGGGTTTGGGTGATTTAATATATTCATCTTCTTTTTGCTTTTAAGCACTTGCAATGAAAGACCATTAAAACATCATAAAATAGTGAGTCATAGATTTGCAAAATTCTCCCATTTCTGTATCAGGGAATATCTGCATATAACCTAATTAAGGCAGACAAAGAGAGTGTAGCAATTTTTATAGAATTTGTTTATCACATTTAAATGTTCGTGATTCCTTTGTTTCAATACTGAAACAAAGCAGATATGAACACCCTAGTGTGCTAAACAGATTATTTGAACCATTGCAAATCTAAGTTTTAAGTAGTATGTCTCAAAATCTACTTCTGATTAAGGCCCTACAGTTTCTGCTTGTTTTTTGCATGAATACTCTGAAAAATTTCCCATGCCAATTATTGAGTATGAGCGAATAAATCATTACAGTAGTTTTCAAAAACTTCCATTAAAACTCTTCTTTCTCTGAATCTCTCTCTCTATAGAATTCAGAATTGGCATTAGTTTTGGTCATTTATTATAGTACAAATGAAGGATGCAAAAAAAGCTTCAATTTCTTTTGAGGAAGATGCTGGATTTTTTACAACGATCGACAATTGACACTTTAAACTTAATATACATGTCAGTCTTTAAATCACTTCCATGCAAACTCATAGCGTTTAGAAAACAAGTACTTGCCTTAGGTTGCTTTAGGACAGATGTTAAGGCTGGTTGAAGCCGGTTAACGGCTGGTTTTTTCTGGTTTTGAGTGGGTACTTTATTCCTCTGACTATGTTCTCATTGATAACATGGTCTCATAACTCCCAGTGTTATATAGTCTCACCATAATATTGGCAGGTCATGCTATTAGAGGCAGCCAATCAGATTACAGCTTTGGCCATAAGCCCTTCCCTCAAGGCAAAAATAAACCATGTCGCATGATTCCTGACTGTTTGAAAACAAAAACAAAATCTTTTAGGGGGGATTAATCTGACATACGTCATTGAATATATGAATCAAAAGTTTAACAACATTTGATCTAGTGGCTAGGTCAAGAAGTAGATACAAACAGAAAAGTTTAATATATAAAGTGTCAGTGCGTATTCATGCAATCTAAGAATAATTAAACCCCCAATTAAAATAAAATAATAAATCTTGCAAACCAAAAATACCATGCAGTTGTTTTCTTCACTACTTTATAAGTTCATAATTATAATTAATAAAGAGTTATCAATTATTTAAAACAGAAACATAACGCATTTAAAATCAAAGAAAGTAGGTTATAGAATGCTATAATTTAATGATCATTCTTTACTACAAAATTTATTGACATATCACTGCAAATTTTACTTACACCTAATTTCTATACAGTTTCTGGGTTTTTTCCATCGAATCAAATTTTTCCCCTGCATGTAAGAGTTTACTTTAGAGATGCCAGGGCACGTGAACTTCATAAACATGACCTACATAATTAAATTTCTACGTAGTATCATGTTCTTATTTATCAAATTCAAAATCACGTGCATTTTCTTAATTCTTTAAGTATTTCGTCTCCACTTTGCACATAAGTCATTAAGTGTTTAATCATTAAGAACTAAGCCAGAACGGATACAAATACTTCATAGTTTAGGACTCCAAAATGGGCAATATTCAGGATAAAGAAAAAAAATTGCATAAGTTCGTTGTTCTCTCATCCTAAGATTCCTAAATTCCTAGCTAGTTCATGTACATTTAAAGTCCTTTTCGAAAATTATAATTTTTGTCAAACAATTGACTAAAATATACTATGATTTACATGTACAGCTAGAAAAAAATTGTACCTCAATTAAAAGATTAAAATCTAATAATATAAAAAAAGAGATGAAAATATTCACTAAATTTCTGTTTAAATTTTTTCATCACTTCAAGGAGAATGATTATGAGAGATGAAGAGTTTTCAAGCATGTTTTTGAAAATAAATTTAAAGAGTTATTCCCCTTTAAACACAATCTGAACCAAACTACCTAGCAATATAGTAGCATTCTATAGTAATATTTTAGTATACTTGGTAAAATTAATTTGAGGCTATTAAAAATACAATTTGGATATTTCTTCAACCATAAATAAATTCACTGCATGAATTGATTAGTAAAGATGATGTTTTGATTTCAGACTTTCAATACATCTTTTGAGACAACCCTATACTCCTACTAAGTTTAGTTATAGTTATAACTACTCCTATGTATTAATGTTTATTCCTTAATATAAACAAACAAAAAAATATGTTCACCATGCACATCATCATAGTGGAAGTAAAAAAGGATGGGCCTTATAGGTCACCTGAGCATTATTCAACAACTTTCCAGTGATTGAATTTGTTTTAGAAATTAACATTTACAAGTTGATATTATTACACTGTAGCAGTTCCTTAGTTTGGTTACTTAATACCCATCAAGACTGATTCAACAAATGTAATCCTTGATGATCATAACCACACAGGAATCCTCCAGGCTTTGGTCCACACAAGCCTTGCTTTTCAAAAAAAATGTACATGTATCATTTTGTATATGCCCCCCCCCCCTCTATGCTGATGCTTGAAATACAATCAGATATGTCCCTTGCTCATAACTATATACCTGTTCATTTGTTAAAACATAGGAACAAAGAGAAAAACATTATTCCACTGTCATACATACATCACTTAATGTAATAAATGTAATTTGTGACTTAATTATAATAAAAAATTATAACATAAAATGCTCGTCAATTGATCAGATTATAGGAATTACTACTTGACTAATCTATGTACACTGGCCCAGCTTATATATATGTCTGTCTTAATTGAAATTATGTGGTTATAGTTTTTATTTTTCTTCAAGTACATTTCTTGAATCTTGAAAATTACAATATGAAAGTTTTCTCTTGCAAATTAAAAGTGATGTGTAATTCTTAAAAGTTGAGTTCTCCATAACATGAACATGTACATTTCTTATATTTAGAATTTTAATTAGCAGTCAGTCAGTACAGTGTTCACAAGGCTTTGATGGGTTGAACCTGCTGTTACATAGGGGAAAGAGAAAAACAATATTCCACTGTCATACATACATCACTTAATGTAATAAATGTAATTTGTGATTAAAAATAAAAAATTACAACTAAAATCTTTTGCAAAGTGCACAACACTTGTGAAAAGTTTAGTTTTATTTTTCTTCAAGTACATTTCTTAAAAACAAGGGTTAATTTTCCTTCATGTGATGGCAGGCATAAACATGTACATTTCTTATATTTAGAATTTTAATTCCCTCAGTACAGTGTTCACAATGGCCTGGTAGCAATGAATTCGATTAAAAATAGATTGCAACTGATCTTTTGCAAAGTGCACAACACTTGTAAGTTGCGAGTCCTTAAAAACAAGGGCCCCATGTGATGGCAGGCAACTTGGCACAATAATAAAACATAAAAACATCTTACAATTAATCTACTTGACTTTCTTAAACCTGTTATTGCAAAACAACTGCATCCACCTGGTAAACATGTAATAGAGCAACAGGTCTGTGAAATAAATTATTTTCATGCATAATTTCAAAATCTATTTGGAAAAGATTATGTATACAATCAGAAATTTAACTTGATCCCCCCCCCCAAAAAAAGTACTAGTTCTGAAAATAAATAGAATCTTGACTGACTTATCAGAAAACTACACAAGAAAAATGATTTTAAATAACTGTCTCAAATCACTTCTCTTTTCACAAAATGTAATCAATGTCTTAGAATTAAAGGAAATAACTTCTGAAATTCTGTAATTTCATAAGCGAACATGATCAAGTATGTAGAGATTTAGCTGCAATAATGTAGCCCTCTCCCTTTTTTTGGGGGGGGGAGGGGCTACAACTCCTTAGGATTTCCGTAATGGTGCAAGTGCGACAGTGATTCACTCCAGCATGGATTTTGGCTTAAATTATCAGTAAATGGCTATTTAATTATTTAATTAACATTTCTTACCTGAACTCCAAAAATGAATTAATGCAAAACATAAATCTATCCAAACATACACAGAAAGATCCATATATCGGTTATTTTTCGTGTATGTCAACATCGCAACTTGAATTTATCTGCCATGTTTACTGACCTTGATAGATTTTATTTTTGGACAGCCAATGAGAATTTAGGATCTAGTAGGAGCGGATAACGAGAGAATTATGTAATTAATTTATACCTAGTTTTTGTGTACAGGTTTGGCATGTTTAACATCGAGGTGGCTTCCCTTATTTCAAGCACATATATCGCTGTTTACAAAAAATAACACATGGAACAAAAGTAACACATGGAATGGTTTTATTTATCGATGTTTAGTGATACTTTTCATTACAATTATTTATAAACACCAAATTTGCTTTATGGAGTTATTCTAAATTTCAAGCGCAAGTCTCAGTATATCATGTGTGAACTGTCATAGCTGCTCTGAGTAGAGTGACTGATAAACACAACACAGATTTATTTTACACAATTTTTGCATTTAATGGCTATCTTGTTGAAAGTGAATAATAAAGATTTCGTCTTATCAGATGTTTGTTGATTGTAAAAACAATTTATTTTGCCTGCAGTTACCAGAATTTAAAAAAATATATTTGCACCATTACAGAGATGCTGTGGCATTGTAGCCCTCTCCAGAAACATCAGATTAAAAAAAATTGGAGAGGGCTTCATTATTACAGCTAGTAAAGACCTATTTACAGTCTACATTTAATTTATATAAGAATGTAGTTATTGTACATTACCATTATATATGAGATCAAAATCAAATGAAATTCTCTCAAATAAAATTCAGAGATTGACTGTTGATAGGGCTATACCTCAGAAACTGCATTGTTTATGCTTCATCCAGAGTGATGGTTCCTTCTTCTCCCAGTAAGGAGTTGTCTTCTTCTATAAGATCCCGAATGAATATAAAAAACGTTGTTTATGGAAATAATAATTTTATCATGTAATTTTACAATTATTTTTCACACCATTTTCAAATTTTAGTTAATTTTAATGTTATGTATAATTCTTAACCATTTACTCTGATCTAAAATATTAATTAATTTCTTATTAGACTAAGCACCAAATCTATTATAAAGTCTTTATTAAGACTTAAGAGATTATATCATAATTTATCAAATTTTATTAAGCAAAAATACTTGTCAGAATATTATTTTCAAATTCAATTTTTTGAAGGCATGATATATTAATTATTTTATATTGAAATATTTAAAATATATAATTTTTTTTTTATATATATATTTCATTTACAGACAATAAATAACTAGAAATCATTTGCGTTCTCTAAGAGTTCTCTGGGATTTAAATAGTATTTACATTTTAGTAGTACCCCTATTGACCCTTTTCCTATGACATATTTTGTCCAGGAGTTATTCCCCTTAGCCACCATATTGTAGGGCAACATTCCCAGATCCCTTCATTATTCAACCAAGTTCAATTTGTTATACTGGTTACTGATCGGGTAAAGCTAATGTGAATCACAATGTGATGGTAGCTAGGTTCAGTTAAAAACAGGAGGCTTCCTCTTTCAAAAACAGATAAAACTATTTAATGGAAGGTGTTATAATTGCAATTTCTAACAAAAAATCTCGGCGCTGGCTAGATTTGTTCACATATTACCGTCTTCCTTGTGTATACAGCTGTTAATATCCAGGACACTTTTGACAGTCGACTTTTTGAGTTTTTCTTTTTTTGGAATTCCACACCCGATCGAAATTTATGAGCCATAGGCAATTTTGAAGCCAGCACATAAATAAGAAACAAATAAATCGTATTTTACTGATCTTTGGCACCTGATCAAATTCTTTAAATGTAATGTTCATATAGAATGTGATCTGTTTTCTGATGGGAAAATTTCTTAAGTTTTATCAGTTTGATTATGTTGATAAACACAGAAAAGGCCACGGTGAAGACAGCGAACCGAAATCAAATTCATAAATACCATAAACAACACAAATCCAGAATATGGAGGGAAACAAAGCAAGATGTCCTTGAAATTACACCTGTACAATTTAGGATCAGGTACCTTATAGAAAGCTTAAAGCTAAATAATATGCAAATCATTTTATACTGAATTAAAATACCAAATGGTAGACATGACCATTAGGTTTTGTATACTGTTAAAACTAACTATCGAAGATTGCAAAAAAACAAAACAAAAAAGAAGAATATCTAATGATTTGAGAAAAAGTGATGTGACCTAATAACGTGTACAGTAAAAATGAGCACCCTGGTGTCAGTGACTGTGAGTCAACGTAAGTTTTGAAAAAAAAACAAACAAACAAACAAACAAAAACGTGCTTAAACATGTACTTGTCTTCAATGCATCATTGTATGTGTCTTATACCCCATTCATACGACGAATTTTTGCAAGTGTGCAAATATACATATGAGTAAATCTACACACGTAAGTAAAAGTTAATTTGCTATGCGTTCAGATGAGATTTTTGTACTGTTAGTAAATCCTCATATATTTTCATATAAAATGAGATGGACAAAATTGTGAATCTTTATAGAAAAGTGCATTTCCTTACTGTTTGGGTAAAAGACTAACTTTTGAATGTTCCTTAAAGACTGGGATGGAAATCCGATCCAGTAATTTATTGGTAATGAAATTTTTGTTTAATGTTGGAAAATGTTTTGGCCTCGGTCCTAAAGACTGTAGAAAAGCCATTGGGTGTAAAGAAAAAGGTGACTGTTGCCGTCTACTGATTGACGTCTTCAGCAGAAATAGGACAATTGGAATCTTTTTGGTGTTGGGAAATCTACAGTATATCAAGTGTGTGAGGCCAGTATATGAAATATCCGCTTGAATATGATACATGAAGGATATTGAAATAACGAACAAAAATTCAATATCAAATTCCAAAAAAACAATAAAAATAGGAGCACAGCAAACATGGACCCCCAAAACATCAGAGGTGGGATCAGGTATCATGGAGGAATGATTATACCCTACCAACCGGTCACACTCGTCGTGTGCTCATTGTCATGACCGGGAACTAACGGAAAAAATCCGTCGTCAATTCAGTGTACATGTATATACAATTGACTAAACAAGTAATATGAAAAAGTCAGTCATGTAATTATGTATTTTCAAGGAGAATGAAAAGGATGAAGACAACTGTAACAGTGACCGATCTCAAAAATCTTTGAACAATACAAATATGTGAATAGGAAATTAACACGAACCCCTGGACATTCATACTGGGATCAGATACCAAGGAGGATACTTACGATTGCATGTTACTTTCAACAGGTTTATTGAAATTCCTGTAACATTAACTTATATGTGATATGTGAGTAGCTTGCCTGAATTAAAAACAGAGAAAGGTAGAAGAGCTAAACGGTAATGGGGCCCGAGCAATGGATGGAATGTATGTTCCTATCATAGCTTCGGAGCATTCCAAAGGAGACAACTTGTATCGTAAGGACACTGCAGTATACTTATTGATCCTACACGGCACTTATTTCCGACCACAGCTATAACTTTTGAGACATAAACATAGGTTTGCCAGAAAGGGTGCTAGATGCCCTCATTTTTGACAAATTCGAAAATTCATCTCGGAGGAAATAATGGCTCCTTGTTTAGAGTTTTGCCTTCTATCCACCATGTTTACCAAGTGATATTTTACACGCCAATTCATACACAACCAAAGCAACACTTAAAATGGAGATTTTTGCAATAAACATAACAAAATAAATACATAAGTAAATTTGCTGAGTGTTCATACGTCAAAAATTACACACATGAACTAATAATTTGCTACAAAGTGTGTTCAAAAGTTAATTTGCACCTAGTCCTGACCAGGTGTTAATTTACTCAACTGTGCAGAATCTGCATATGAGTAAATCAGTTCATACGACAAAAATTGCACATGGACGTATTTTTATTTATGTGTAAATAAAAATATGCAAATCATGTCGTGTATTAGATCGTCAGTAATTTAGGTCAAAGCAGTTTGACAACAATAGACTGGAAATGCATCTAGTTATGATGAGCGTAATATTTCGAAATACTTGTAAATACATCATTTCAGTTTTTAGTCTCGTTATTTGTATAAATATGATTTGATAGACCTATAATAAAGTCATTCGTGATTTGAAGCAGAGTTAGATATTAAGCATGCTGCTATTTCAAACACAACTCGTATTCTGTGTATTGTGCTTTACCCTGGGCGAGGGAAGAAATATAATTTTAACAGGAGATGATGCCTCTAAAAATATAGAAAACTTTGCATTTGACCTAAAGCTCAGCATTGGAAGTAGCTATAGTTTTGGTATAGTATTTTTATGTCTGTTTTATGTTGTATTTCATTTAATCCTTTGATAATTTACTTTCTTAATAAAAATTAATCTATATTAATCTTGATTAATTTATGATATAATCGTGTTTATTTTCAGTTTCTGTTAATGAACTTTCCAGTTCAACTAAATGTGAGTATAAATTTGAGTTAATAAAAGAATTTAATTAAGTCTATTTGTTTTTAATTTTCTCATGATATGTAGAAATATCTTTGTGTTCTTTGAATTTTGTTTCTTAAAAAAAAAAGACATGGACAATTTAATGTTAGTTTAAATTGATGCAGGAAATGAAACATCTACTTTAACGTTAACAATGAATGCATTTTTTCCCTAGTTTCCAACACAGAACCAGTCATAAAATGTAAGTCTTTTAAAATACATGAATGTTTGTAAAGATTGAGAAAATATTTTTCTCTTCGAATTATTTCTGTCTTTCACAAGAAATACCATAAATTTATATTATCACAAATCGTTATAAACAAGAATAGATATGGGTTACCCCATATCCAAAGATATTCGACTGTTAGATTTAATATGTTTAACAGTGTTTATAATGACGTTAATAAAAAAAAACTGCACTGTCTAATTATGGAACTGTTGTAAATATCGTGATTCCATAGCATTACGGGGACCCAGTCTCCTAACAAACAGTACACATAGGCCTACATGTACCTGTAGCCTTGGTCTACACACGTGCAATGGAGGTATCACACGCATCCAGCGAGCTCGGAGAAACACGTTTTGTTTTGCCGAGAAGTTACGGTGTCAGACAAAACTTTTCTTTTCTTAATTAGATCATATAAATACGAATTCTGATTAATAAAAATTATACAATCCCTGTTGAACTTTATACAGTTTGTTCTAACATTTGCATCTGCAACAACTTGTGTTTAAAATGGCCGGGCTGGGAAAATCAGGACTGTGATCGGAAAATTCTAAACTGAAAACATGGAAAACCTTTTTTGTTTTGAAAATAACTGAAATATACTAATATATTTGTCGCAGAAATTACTTACATTATTCAAGTTCTATATATAATGGTATTGAACTTCAACACGTGAAGTCCAGAGAGAGCTCTCGTTTTGCCACACATACCCTACAGTTTACAAAGTGTACACACGAGCAGGCCAGGGATTGAAAATTCCGTCATTTAATAATACACACACACAGAATGATTAATTTTTTCTTTAAGAACAAATTGTATGATAATTAACGGACTATAAACATGTACTTAATACAATTGTTGATATAGTATTATCAATTCATTGGTGAAAAGATTACGAAGAATGACCTAATTATTCTCTGTTATCAAACACGTAAAAAAAAAAGGCTGAGGAGGGGCGAGCTTTTGTTGGAATATTGATATTTTTTATTTACATTTCGGGGGGAAAGTGACTTTCTAATGATATTTTGACGTTATTTTTGATTTCTTTAACGTATGACATACACAACTTTACTCTTATCATCAACAATAATGTTGTATCTACTTATCATGATGGAATTATTTTGGTCGGACCAATATGTGTGAGCTGCCGCTGAATACAGTTATATATCTTGCAAAGATAGTATGCATTGATCGAATATATAGAAAATATATAAAATATTCTAGTTAAAATAAATGACCTCTTTCTATTTATAGACATACAGGACGGGGATTGGACTCTTGTTTTTAGAGCCCAGAGTCTGACGGGGATTTCACCCTATGAAATCTACAAATCACAGGGCGTTCGGCACGAAGTCAGGGGTTCATTTCCTGAACACTGCACCGAGCTGGCTAAAGTACCAGGGTGTTTCACTCCATACAGAACTGGTTTGATCGACGACTGGCAAAAACTAGACGTTCAACAGGTAATTTTGATAAAATCACCAAGAAATAACAATACAGATCTACTAATACCTGTAATTCAAATTTTATAGCAAATTTAGTCTGTGATTTAAAAAAAAACAACTAATTTTTGATCGTAAGGAATTACAGATTTTGATAATATTCCACTTTAGGTTCGATTTTTGGTTATTATCAACAGTGAAGTCCAGAGAGAAATTATTTTTGACGGGAAAAATAGCACCAACACCGACTGGTTTTCTAGTCGGCGGATCCTAAATTCATCTTGGACGGATCTCACACCAACTCAAACATACAATCTTTTCTCTCTTCAAGGAATACAAGAGTACGTAATTAATGACTCTAGACATAAATGATATCAATAAATATGAAATTACTTGCATAGGCGTTGGAAGGGGGGGGGCTTTTGTTGCAAAGATAGACAATATAGGCATTGAAAATTGGTGTTTACCTTTTTTTGTTGGTTTAGCCACCCCACCCCCTCACTTTCAATTAGCCCCCCCCCCCCAACACTTTCAATTTGCTTCCGACGCATATGACTTGAATGTGATCTAAAGGGATGATTTCTATAAAGATTATGAAATTTATACGAATATAGATCAAGCATAATTTATGACAAATAAAAATACAGAACTCGAAAACCATACATACAGACAGTTATACAGCAAACTGGATGAAGTGATAGTACCTGTCAGATTATATGAGTTGCATTTTTTGAAGCGCGATTCCAGAGTATTTACTTCAAGGGAAAAGTGCGAAAAATCAGTTAAACCACTAAAAATATTGAAGTCCCATTTTAGGGATAGGAATATTGAAAATAGTTTGAAGAAGGGATTACTGTTGGAATTTGGAACCCACCTTGTTTTGCCAATGAGATGTCCCTACCTTTAGCTATAAAAAGGGAAATTAAAGTTAAGCTTCTTTTAATCTTTATTTCAGTGGCAGAGTGAACAGACACTGGTCAATTTCCCACAATTTTGGGGGATGTCCTAACGATAGGGCCTGGTTTACCACCTCATTCTACCCTCCCACCGGATGTGACTTTGATAAACGAGAATCAGCCATGCCAAACTTCGTCGTCTGTCCCGGAACTACAATGTGCAATATGCAAAGAGGTAAGCATGGAATCCGGATAGGCCCACGCATTTCACTATCGCATCATCGCACCATCGAGTTTGAGTCGATATTGCGATGACACGATAATGCGATGACGAGGAAGCGATGGTGCTATAGAGATGAAGCGATGGTGCGATGAAGATGATACGGTGGCGCGATAATTCGATGACGATGATGCGATAGTATGATGAAACGATACTGTGATGAAGCGATGGTGCGATAGTACGATGAAGCGATGGTGCGATAGCGATGACAATGGTGCAATATTCACTAACGCACCATCGTGCTTTCGCACCATCGCATTTGCATTGTCGCGCAATAGCATCATCGTCATCGCACCATCGTTATCGCGCCATTGCATTATCGCACCATCGACCTTTAAAGTCGATGCTGGATGGTGCGATAGTGTACTGCATGGTCCTATCCAGATTTCATAGGTAAGGGGTTTTTGTATTTGTTATTTTCCATGTACTTTTCTATTTTTTTTTTATTTATTTCATAATCAGATAATAATCAAATAATAATCCTATTACAATTTTATTTTTAACCAATGAGTGTAGACTCATTTAAAGAATTGTAGTACTCATATAGCTAAAAAGAATGAATGCCTGTAATTACAGTCACAAGTATGCATTTAATGGATATTTTTATTGTACTTTCGTATTATACTTGTATTTTATTTTTAATTCTTTCAATATACATATTGCTTCAATATTTTATTTTTACAGATTCAATCAATGCGGATGCATTTGCTATCCAGATCAAAGCTAAAAATAAGTTGCCGATGATGTAGCTGGAGTGAATCAAAGAAGAGTATTCTTATAAAGACTTATCTAGTGACGGCTGTTTATATACCTGACAGAAAAATGACTCATGTGAAAACATTTTGATCCATAAAATACATACATATGGTCGATATAAGCACATGTATGTTTTTATTAGTTTTTAATATCTTGAAAAATAAACATGTACCCAAAAGAAAAAAGTTAATCTTTAAATACTATTAATGTAAAATAAAAATGTAATGTGTACATTTCTGAAGAGCTCTTCTTAAGGTGCCTTATTCAACCTCTGGAATTTCAAGGAATGGAAGTAACTGTTGTCATTTGATAAAAAGTCGTAAATATATCTAAATGTCGACTTGGTTGACACAGCAAGTGTTTTCTTTTTCTAATCGATTTTTTGTTCAATTCAACTTCAAAGGAATATAAAAACAAGTCGGCTCATAATGGAGCACAACAAGAGCCCATCGGTATTCCAATGGTTTATTGAAAGGCATTGTCTCAAAGGACTAAATGTACACAAAGGTTGGCATTAAGAACTCAAAGTAGGATTGAAATTTTTTTGCGTCATGGAATCTAAAATTATTTTGAATTTTTTTTTTACTGATAGATTGATAGACAACCTGTGCCAAAATTCATATAATATATCAGTTGTATATCTAGTCACTTTGCAGGAGATATGATATTAACATAAAAGAAGTGATAGTTGCTTTTCATAAGGGTAAGGTAAATTTTCCAGGAAATGTTATTTTGTCCTATGAAAAAAGACATCTGTGTGTATGATTATATGAACTTAATTTTTCATGAGGTGTTTATTTTAAAAGCGAACGGATATCATATTTGATAATACTCAATCTATACAGTCAGTATCAGAGGTAATGTTAAACTGTGGGTGGAAAAGTTCCTTTCATTTTAATTAATAATACATGAAGTATTTTTAAGATGCTGTAAATGATCATCGATACCAAAAGGTAGATCCTCAATTTAAAAAAAAAAAACATTATAATTACACGTTTAATTTCATAGTGCAGCTCTTAATGTGAAAGTATCAATATGCCACTGCATGATATTTCATCAAAAATTAACAATCCTAATACACCTGTATAGTTTTATATATAAAAAAATAATTCAATGTTCTTATGAATTTTAAAACTCTGAAATCTGACCAAAAACACATTGATTTATTTGTCATAAGTCCTAGACAAATCAATTTTCTGTCGATAAAAATTTTTGCCTTACAAAATGTGAGTACACTGTATAATCATGCTTTTCTTAAGAGCAGTTTTGATGGGCACAGTTTTCTGTTTTTCTTTTTGTAAAAATGTTAGCTGTATTTCGAATTTAACCACTCCGAACACTCGTTTAATGGGACATGTTGTAGACAAAATATCGCCAATCGGATTACAGATGTGTCTGAAAGAGTGCTTGGCTAGATCTATTTGTGCGTCCTTGAATTTCTACCGAAAACAATTACAATGTGAACTTTCCTCATCAACTGGCGATTTACATCCTACAGATATAGTCCAGGACCCTGAATATGTGTATGTTGAGATGAAAAAAGCACCAAAGGTAACTGTTAACAAATAAAGATTAAAATTATTTTATTTAATGTTTTTTTAATTCCGGAGTTAACGTTGCAGGTGTTGCAGAAAAATTACGCGGGTTTTTGTGATTTTTTTTTCTGCAATTATATAGCTGCAACGTTAATATATATATACATGATATAAGTCCAGTACAAAAAAAAGAGAAATGCATATTATTGTTTAGATTAAAAATAAATTTCTGTACTATTAATCATTTAAATCAAGATATTGTATTATTAATATGTAGTACGTCCTTGCGCGTTTATTGATGAAAAGCTAGTGATGAAGACTCTGTACAGGTGATATGTTTAGCAGTGTTTACTGACTGATAAAATACAATGGTCTTGTTATGAAATAAAGGAGGTAATATTCATTTGATGTTAATATTAATTTAAAGAGCTAACAGAAATGCAAGATTTGTATCGGCTTGCTTAAAATGAGAAAATGACTAAATTACTAAACCCTAAATATTTTCTCTCATTTTCGAACGTTTATATTTTTAAAGTTGAAAGTCATGCAATAAATGGAAAACAAAACATATGAAAGGGGACATTTAACTTGTTTTGATATGTTAAAATGTATGTAAGACATCAATTACCATTGGTTCAAAGTACATCCATTCGCATTTCCACTTTATAGTCTTAGATAAAGGTTATGCAAATCTCTAACCTGAAAATTGCTTTTCCAGAGATATTTTGAAGAATGCAGTGAATCTTGTTCCTCCGAGAGTAAATGTGTGAAAACAGCTTCAGGTCCAGTCTGCGTCAAGTCAGGTTTGATATTGGTGATGACATATTTATGATAAGATCATCTATAAATTAATGTTTATTTGTCCTATTCTGGCTCGGGATGAAAAAAAAAATATGGGTCAGTAAGTAGGAAGGATTTATTTTCCAGAAAAAATACAACATTAAAATCGCATACAAAAATAATACCCGGTAGTTTCATGAAGATTAAAAAAGTTTTGATCATTTTAAGCCAACCGGAGATGGCAACCAATCGAATTTTCGAAGATGGCCTAATAGGAAAAAGTCAACTTGGAAAGTAAAAGGATGTAATATGATTAACTGATTGATTTTTGTATTTGATAGATTGTCCTCGCCTTCACCCAGACAGAGGTAATACTTCTGTAGTTGTGACCTCCACCGCTGTAGGGACGGTTCTGAACTATCACTGTTCGAAACTCCCAAATGTATATGTGTATGTGTCCCTGAATTCTACTTGTCTCCCTAATGGAACATGGACATCCCAGCTGGAACTCTGCTCTATGATTAAGGGTAATTAACAAAAGGGAAAAAAAGAATATACGTGTACATTCATGATGGTAATACTGTGTATTTCAGAAATAGACCCCGTAAAAAGTAACATTTTACTTATCTTACTTTATATCAGTTTATGCATAGAGCATATATAAATTTTGTTCATAGATGTTATAGTGTAATTGATCTTGCACAAAGAATATCATAATTAAATCATTGCTTTTTGAAAGACCTTTCAGATTGCTTAAACTTTTCCTCGTCATGTTGGTATCAATACAACGTTACCGTGGACAACTCTTGGAATAATTGCTCTGGAGGCATAACATATATCAGAAAAACAGCATATACCTCCATGCCTCTGGTCGCTGTAATGCTCTGCAACAGTACCAGGTCAGTAACTTTATAAAGTTACCATTAAAATTAATGCACTTTGTTGGTCATTAAACGTTACAATAACCATAAAAATTATTGCACTTTTTGGTCATAACGTTCTAGTAATCATTATAATTATTGCACTCTGTAGGGCAGTAACGTTACAATAACCGCTTAAACTACTACACTCTGTATAGTAGAGTACTGCAAACTGGTAGATGGTCAAATATTCAATTGGATGAAAGAGTTTGTACATTGTGAAATACAGGGCAAATAGCAGACAAATTTCATTTCATTTTATAATGTTAACAGGATCAGAAAGAATCTTATACATCCCAGATTTTGTAAAACGCCAAATACGCTCAAGTTTTCTGAAATTATGTCAACGACAAATTTAAAAATCTTAGAAAACCTTTGTACATGTACATGTATATTCATATCTAAAATAAACGACACCGTCTGTCCTCCATAATTTAAATGTTATCATACCATTTTTTCTTCTTTCATTGTATATTTATTGCTATATGTGGCAAGCCCTTTTGCTGTTTATTCGGAAAATAAAATTTATCTTAAAATTACAGAGATGTCTCTCATTTTAGAGAGATGTCTCTTAAAAAAATACAGATATCTCCCAACTTTAAGAGATATCTCTCATTTTTAAGAGATATCTCTATGAGAAAGAGATATCTCTTAAACTTAGAGAGATATCTTTTATACATGTACGTAGAGAGATATCTCTTTTATAAGAGAGATATCTCTCTATGTGAAAGAGATATCTCTTTCTCCCTGAGAGATATCTTTTTCTGTGAAAAGAGATATCTCTCAGTGAGAAAGAGATATCTCTTTCACCTAGAGAGATATCTCTTTTACTTTTGGAGATATCTTTCCAAGTTAAAGAGATATCTCTTAAAGTAAAAGAGATTTCTCTCTTGGTTTGTATTAAGAGATATCTCCCAAAGTGAAAGAGATATCTTTCAAAAGTGTCTAAAAGAGATATGTCTTAAGCAAAAAGAGATATCTATTTATTGCAAGGAGATATCTCTCTTCATTATTTTTATTTAGATTCCATTTGAAATGACTTCTCCCTTTACCGGAAGTAAGCATTTTATTCACGGAAGTACATTAAAGTATTTTAAAACTTCGACATATTCATGATATTATTGTTTGTTGTTTCAAACAAGGGATTTATAGCATTTTTGTCTACATAGTACATATATTATTCTGGGTATTGCATGCTCTTCGAAGTCTTTTTTCTTATAACAACGAACTTATTCCAGAGACTTTAATATTTACTTCCTGTTTCGCTTTCATTTTAAAAGGGAGGACGAATTATTTTATTTTAAGGATGACTGGAAAAGAGATATCTCTTTCATTTAACGAAATATCTCTTTAGCTTAGAAAGATATCTCTTTTTGAAAAGCTTTTTAAAGAGATATCTCTCTAATTTTAAGAGATATCTCTCTCACTTAAAGATATATCTCTCTAGCTATTAAAGATATTTCTCTCGCTTAAAGATATACCGGTACCTCTCTTACAAAAAGAGATATCTCTTTTGTTTAAAGAGATATCTTTTTAAAGTAAAAAGATATCTCTATTAGTCTAAGAGATATCTCTATAAGCAAAAGCGATATCTCTCTATGCTAGAGAGATATCTCTCTTATTGAAAAAAAATTTTATTTCACGAATAAATAGTAAAAGGGCTTGCCATAGCTATACTTTGTACATATGTATGCGCCTCTCCTTTTATGCTATTGTATCATAATTATATTTATTTATTTTCTTTACAATTATGACGACTAATTCATACACTGTACACTGTACATGTACCTCATGTACCACTGATGTTGGTGTAAGTGAAATAAATGAACTTGAACTTCTAGGTCAGTAATGTTACAGTTACCAATTAAATTATTGCTCTCTGTAGGTCAGTAACGTTACAGTTATCAATTAAATTATTGCACTCTGTAGGTCAGTAACGTTACGGTTACCAATCAAATTATTGCACTCTGTAGGGCAGTAACGTTACAGTTACCAATTAAATTATTGCACTCTGTAGGTCAGTAATGTTACAGTTACCAATTAAATTATTGCACTCTGTAGGGCAGTAACGTTACAGTTATCAATTAAATTATTGCACTGTGTAGGTCAGTAACGTTACAGTTATCAATTAAATTATTGCACTCTGTAGGTCAGTAACGTTACGGTTACCAATCAAATTATTGCACTGTGCAGGTCAGTATCATTACAGTTACTAATTAAATTATTGCACCCAGAAATGTTACACTTACCGATAAAATTATTGCATTGTTTAGGGCAGTAACCGTATTCTGAATTTTAGATACAAAATCTTTGGAGGACAGAGTTTAACAGACACTTTTCTAAATATTGCTGACGGATCAGGCTCGGGAGCGGATCACTGTGAATTGGTGGGCGGATCTGAGGGAAATGCTCACTTAGCTGGCGACTATCCGTACGCACCAGTAGTAACAGGTATAATCTTGTCATAGTGGGACTTCATGTACAAAAGTCCTCGAACCGCTTCAAGCTTCACCGGATTCGTACTTGGAGTAGGCTGTGAAGTCATAGCTAGGCTTCTTGTAGACCTATAGAATTTATATTATATATAGTTAAAAAATATTAAAATGATAATTTTAATCTAGATTAGAAGAGTCCTGAATGTCATCATTGCGTGTAAATTGGAGGCAAGAGAAAATTTTCAGATTTATACCCCTCTTGAAAAGCGGGAGGGTATATAGTAATCGGTATGTCACCGTCCGTCTGTCTGTCTGTCTGTTACGCTTTGGGGTGCCTATTTCTGATCCGCAACTACTCTTTGACCACTGAATGCAATTTTATGAGACTTTCACAGAATCTTTGTTATATAATGCCATTGTGCACTTCCTATTTTACTTTTTGATCGGACACATATTTTGGGTTTTGCAGTTTGGCATTTCCAGAGATTTTGAATACACATCACAAGATTTTAAACATACATCACAAGATATTGCATATATATCACAAGATTTTGAATATACATCACAAGATTTTGAACATACATCACACGATTTTGAATATACATCAGAAGATTATCAAAGACAGCAACGGTTTACATGCCATATTCCAGAGCAAAACATTGACACTGCCATTCTTTGAATAGTATTGAAGGGTACTCTTATCCACAACTCCTCCTATACTATACCACTGAATAAAATTTAATGATACTTCACAAAATGCCATTGTGCACCTCCTATGTTACTTTTTATACTCCCCGCTTGAAAAGCAGAAGGGTATGTAGTATTCGGGATGTCTGTCCGTCGGTCTGTCTCTACGTCCGTCTGTTACGCTTTGGGGTACCCATATCTTATCCGCAACTCCTCTCATACCACTGAATGAAATTTGCCATTGTGCACCTCCTACTTTACTTTTTGATCCGACACATATTTTGGGTTTCCTATAGCAAAACATGGACACTACCATTATCTTCATAAGGGAGGCGGGGGGTATCATTTAGTGAGCTCATTGCTCAGAGTACCTCTAGTTAATTTAGGTCTCCAAGAGCAAAACAGTAATCATATGCAATCTAATTAAAATTAGATCCTTTACGCTCCTGTATTTTGTATGTCGCTGTAGCGACATAACAAAATACAAGAGCGTAAATGATCTAATTTTGATTATATTGTTATCATATGGGGGCGGGGGGTATCATTTAGTGAGCTCATTGCTCAGAGTACCTCTAGTTTGAAAGGAATACATGTGTATTGATAAAATTAATATTACAAAAGTGTTTATAAAATTGATATTATGATTTCATTTGAATATTTCTTGTATGTTTTTCAGGATATTATCACTCCCATTTTGGGGGACAATTCATGTACGGAGACGTAAGTTACAGGATCAATTCCTACTTTTACAATTCCTGGTACGAGTGTGGAGTGACCGTTCCTTGATCTAAATATCAGCAGGAATTTATGCAATATACTTTAAATGATTTGCACAGAAATGATGTTCAATATGTGTGGTTGTTTACAATTTTGTCATTTAAACTGATTATAAAGTTTTTCTCAGATGTACATGTACAAGTTTCCATGGGAAAATTTTTAGGTATCTTGTATAATAAGTGTTTTCCTTATACATTATACATGTATATTTAATTCTACTACAGACATATATTTTTTAATCTTTTAAAGTTACATATGCATATGGGACAGAATTTATATTTTATATTTCATAGCGTATTTCTCTTATAGAATAAGATGTGTTTGTCAAACACTGATGCCCCCATATGGAAACTTTTGGCAAGGGTTGAAGTTTCTAAAGTCCAAGTCAAACTTCAAAATCAAAATTGTTGGTATCTAGAGGACAGTTTTTTTCACATGGAATACACTTGTAAAATATGAAATCCCTAGTACTAACCATTCAGAAGTTATGGTCAAGGTTCGAGCTTTTACAAAATGGGCCAAACTCTAAAGTCAAGGTCAAAAGATAAAAAAAAAATATTCCAACTGACAAGAGGCCCAAGGGCCTTGAATCGCTCTTCTGATAAATTGTACTATCATTTCTATTTGATGCCTCTAACTTCAAGTATCCTAGGGCCCAAGATGCATCAACTGACAAAGTTTGATGATTCTTAGCCAGTTAGGACTGAAGATATTTCAATATAGCTTTAAAATACCATAAGTAGGTCACTGTGACCTACTTTTTGATTGAAATTTTCTGAGACTCTAGATGCATTAATTGTCAAAGATTGATAACTCTAAACCAATAAGTACTTCAGATATTCAAAAGTAGGTCACCATCACCCACATTTTGGTCGACATTCTCCGAGAACCCAAGTTGCGTCAACTGACAAAGATTGACGAGACGATAAGTACCTGAGATACATAAATATAGCCATAAAATGTCACAAGTAGGTCACCGTGACCTACTTTTTGGTAGACTTCTCCAAAAATCTAAGATGCATCAACTGACAAAGTTTGATGATTGCAAGCCAAAAAGTACCTGCATTCTCTGAAATCTCAAGATGCATTAACTGACAAAGTTTGATGATTTTAAGTCAATAAGTATCCCAGATAATTAAATATAGCCATAAAATGTCACAAGTAGGTCACCATGACCTACTTTTTGGTCGACGTTCTCGAAAACCCCTAGATGCATTCTTTTTGGTCGACATTCTCCGAAAACCCAAGATGCATAAACTGACAAAGTTTGCTGATTCTAAGCCAATAAGTACCGGAGATACTTAAATATAATCATAAAATGTCAAAAATAGGTCACCGTGACCTACCTTTTGATTGAAGTTCTCCGAAAACCCAAGATGCATCAACTGACAAAGTTTGATGATCATAGGTCTGAAAGTATTCAAATTATGCCTTTTAAATAATTTGAAAACAAATGCCTGCAAAATTCAAAAAGTAGGTCACGGTGACCTACTTTTTCATAAATATGTTTTAAGGCCCCAAGATGCATCAACTTACAAGATTTGATAGTTCTGAACCTCTCAGTGTCTGAAATAATGGGATTAAATGTTTTAGAAAAGATTAGCCATCAAAATTCAAAAAGTTGGTCACAGTGACCTACGAGGACCCACGATGCAACAACTGACAAAGTTTGATGATCATAGGCCTAAAGTGTCCAGAATATGCCTGCAAATCAATTTGAAAACAAATGCCCGCAAAATTAAAAAAAATAAGTAGGTAGCCGTAACCTACTTTTGATTTAACATGATGTGAAGTCCTAAGATGCAACAACTTACAAGATTTGATGATCCTAGTCTTTATAGTAAGCAAAATATCAACGTTTTTAATAAGTGTAAATTTTGGTCAACTTTGAAGTGAACTTGAGACCACGCCCTTTGACCCAGGGTGATGCCTTGAATAATTTTAAATCTTGAACATATTCTGATCCTTGTTTGTAAGTTTGGTGAAAATCTGCTTAGTGGTTCGATCTGTAGTGGAAGATTTTTTAGCAACCAGTACTTTTGGTTTTATTTTCCTGATTATCTCCCCTTGTTTAACAATCTTATATAGAGAACCCCCCCCCCCCCCCCGCTGATCAGATACCAAGCTCTCCCGGGTCCGAGGAAGCTGAAAGATGAAAGTCCTCTATTCCCCATTTTCAAAAGGTGAGTTATTTCCCCTGAAGGGAACTCTTTTACTGTGTTTAATACGCATGCGCTATAAATAAAGTCACTTCCGCGGACGTTCTTGATGTAAACATGTTCATGGTGTAATGCCTCTGTCATATGGAAAAATGTTATTGTGTTTGTGAATAAAAAGAAATCTTAACTGATTCGTATTTTTTTTTAATTGCCCACTCATAGTCTCTTTCTGGATTTGTATTAATCTGTATAGTACTATAATAAGGTGCTGTGTGACCCCCCCCCCCCCCTTACAAAAAAAAAAATCGAAACAAATTACTGATAAAATGCTGATACATATTCGAATAGGCCTATTTAAGAAAAAAACAAAAGCTAATTTTCGGTAGTGGATGTTCTGCAGACGGAACATCATTATTTAAAAAATGTCCGGAACAAATTTTTAGTTATAAAGTTTTTAAGAATTAATCTAGCCTGCTGCAGCCATATTTTCTTTGTATCTCTAGGACTTTTTTGGAGACTGATGACGTGTCCATCTACAGTTTTACCTCTGACATTGCTGCATATATACAGCAGTAGTTCGTCTTCTGCGACCGATACCAAGAAACTGCGTTTTTGCTCGATTTTATGTCATAACATAGAACTTTTACTTACAAGAACACATTTGGTGACAATTAAAGGCCTATTTCATTTGAATTAACCGTGTTTCTAGAATTTTTTTATTAGTAAAATAATTGATTCATTGTATAGTATTAAAACTTTGAATGGAATTCTAAATGAATAATTTAATCTCATGTGCTCATGTAACGAAGAAAGACTAATTAAAATAGCATCGACCTGAATTCGTGTTACATATGTCGTATAAAGTCTAAGCTGCATTTAATCAAAGTTTTAGTGTAGGATCTAAGCATATCTTGTATCTTGTACATGTATATTCCCGAGTAAAACACACATTTTGTTTTAGATCAGAGAATTGAGAGCAGAAACACGAAATTGATACAATAATTTCCTAGCGTATTTCTCGTTAATTAACGGAAAACATTCTTTTCTCAAGTGTTATGTATTTTTTTAAAGTGTGTAAAAGAGAGGGAGAGAGAGAGAGAGAGAGAGACCCGTGTAACTGACATACATGTACATCTGTGAAAAAATATATGTACAGTAATTTTATTGAATTCAAAATTAATAATTCTAATAATTTTTAATTTTCACAACTATGGTTCATATTCAACTGTTCAACCCATTTGCATGTTCGTTCTCTGTACCTTTACGCACGGGGGGGGGGGGGGGGGGGGTCAAGGGGCTTAGCCCCAGCCCCACTTTTTCCCAATATTACTTTTTCTATTGAAAATTTTCATTGATAGACAGGTTGCCAACCCCCCCCCCACCCCCCACACACACACACAGTTTATACCACGGTAAAGTTATATAAGGGAAATGTAGTATTGTATGCCAAGGAACTGGTACTGAAATAAGTAGCTTTTTCAACTTTGGGCAAGGTTTTTCTTCGCTTGTCAACTTTTCCAGGTAAGAAAAAAATATTTCTTTGGCTACCCCCCCCCCCCACTTTTAAAGACGATGCTACATGCCTGGCTAATTCGTATAGCTTTCTAGAAAGGGGGGGCTAACAGACCCTTTATAAAATAATTTATCTAAAAAAAATGCAAACCATTTCCTTCTTTTAAAATTTTTAAATACAGCGTGTAAGTTGATCACTATTTTGTTGAATTATCGTATTGCGTAGTCCGCGGAAGTTAGGCTAGTGTAGAAGAGTTCCGATTTTGAGGGGAGATAACTCACTTTTGAAAATGGGGATTAATGAAAATGAATCAATAAAGTTAGTCAAATTAAGCATAAATCATAAAGAAAACAGCAATATTTTTCAATTTTTCTAAAAAATTACCAAATTACCAGATTACATATCTTCTACATGGCTGAATGTTAAAAAAATGGATCCGTCAAGATTAGATCCTTTACGCTCCTGTATTTTGTTATGTTGCTGTAACCGGGTTTTTCCCAAATAATGATAAGGAAAATCAGTTCTGGATGTGGGTTCTTTTTAATATGTGAAAGTATAATTATAGATGGATAACAACCCTACAAAACATGTAAACATAATAAATATTTCATAACATTAACATAGGTTACCGTATATACTTAATCACAAATTATTTCATTAGCATAAAATCTATATTTACAATCACTTCATGAATATTATCAAAGGGAAATAACTCTTATTTCACCATATTTAACCATATGCATATAAGTTCAAGTAAATTCATATAATTTACCAAAAATATTTACAGTTCTCAAAATAAGTAATAATATAAATAGATACCAAGTTGTGGACCTAGGCTGTCCTCGAATAAATAATCTGGGTGTCACATCTACCTTTCCAAACCATATCTGACCTATATTATAAAACATATGGTTGTATTGACTAAATCTTATAATATACTAGTATACAATAATTACATATTCCTAAGGTCAGATTTCATCATAAAAGATATTTCATATATATTAGTGTAACTTAAAATCAGATCTTTAGATTTATATTCATTTAAACCATTTACTATATGATTTTACACATTTTCCATTAACTCATCAAATACTATATTTCATTCATACTCATTCATTCAACCAAGCAAAGTGTTAGTAAAAGAAAATAAAGAACTTACTGTAAGCAGGTCTAATGTCCAGTCACAAAAGAATTATATATATATCAAACTAAATGTATATCAGACAATATATCCCAGCACTCTGGCTTATGGCTGGAATTAAAATTTAAAATAACAAAAGAAAACTCACTAAGGAATTTGACCCTCAATGACCTACCAATAAAAACTCTGCAAAACAAGAATAGCCAATCGACTACGCTTGACCTAAACTGGTTCTCCTGAAAACTACCTGAATGAATTAAAGAGTTCTAACTAAGAAAAGATAACTCTAAACATAAAATAAGTACTACC